AGATATCTTTCAATCATTCATATTCATAGCAATAAAGTTTGCAAAAAATCCTTAATGGCAACCTCTTACACTATAGATTGTATTTTAATTAAATTAAATGCAGCTGCTTCTCAAACTTTATAAGAGGAGTCTGAAAAAATATCTAAGAGTTTATTTCCTTCACTAAACCAATTTCTTTATACAACTTCTTCTAAAAAGTATGAATAAGTTGTATCAGTAATAATTTCTCGATTTAACGCAAGATCCTATTATTAGAATAGCTAGGCCTTTTAAGAAACTACTTGTAATGTTTGTATTGATGCTAGATTTTGGTCATCTAACAATTGACCTAAATTGCATAATTAAGAAGAGTTATTTTGATTCAAAAATATTCTTGAAACATTTTGTTAAGTCAATTTTCCTATCCGATGATATTTCTATAATATCTTTATTAAATGTATGTACTATTATCTCATTTATTGTTTATTTATATTTTATTGTTAATGAAAAATTCGACTTCTTTTATTTTAATAACCACTTAAATTTGATTAAAATTTATATGAGTTCTTAAACTTATTAGTATTATTCTTTATAATGATAACAGATTTTGAGAACTAATAAAATTCATCTATACTCTTTAAATTGTTAATTATTTAAATTACAAATGCTAAGAATTCTTTTTTGCAAAATTTAGAGTTTGCCAGAGGTTTTTTCATGAGGCAGTTAAATCATTTAATTAGTAGTTATTAAGTGATTCCAAATTGCATAAATTTTTGACCGTGTTGGTTTTAGTTCTTCTTTCTTGATTATTAGTCGATACAACATTAACTCAGTTATGAATTTAATTCAACAAAATGTATCATCCAATCTTAAGATAATTTAATATATTAATTATAACCTTGCGGCAATGGGTTAATAGTTTTGAACTGAATATCCTAGTTTCTATTAATTGATAATTGAACATTTTAGTTTCTCAAAAAAATAATAAACTTCATATTTTTGTAATGGATGCTAAATTTATTTTCATAGAAATTGAAAGGTGATTATTTTCTGGTGTTTAGTGGGGAATCGATTAATTCACTGCTAGGTTTAATTCAGAGATATTGAACTTGCAGCACTATATAGTATTGAAATTAATAATTCTTTTTCTCATTCTGAATTAGTTTCTATGATAAATTAACCTAATTTAATAAGCTAGAATTCAAATTCAACTCTAGTTTTATGAATGTTGATTGATTCAATGCTAGTTTTGAATTTAATTTCTGTAATAATTTCAAATGAATGATATTTGAGAACTTCCTACGTATATCTATCCCTCCTCATTTTGTAATTGATTTCAAAGGATTACTCTAAAGAGATCATCACAAATGTCAAGCAGTTAATGGAATAAGAATCCTGATAATTTAATTTATATTATCAGAGATTTTAACAATACTTCAACTAGGTGATAAAATTTTGAATTTATTCAAACATCATTACATATTATCTAAGAGAATATTCCTTATTGTTGTAAAACCAAGAAAATGCAGAGAGGATTTCAACCTGTTGGAGTTTATCTTAAAAAGTGAAAGATTTTTCTGAGGTTGTCGTTGTGAATTCTGATAAAGTTGTAGTGAATTATTGAATTTTCCTATTTAAACTTTAGGAATCTTTGTATTTCCACATCCACCTCCCCTTAAGCTCGTCTAATTTTCAAACCAAGAAACAATATAGTATTATTAAATTTGAATTTAAGTTAAACTCTAGGAAACAAAAATTGGTTGAGGAGATTAACTTGCGTATTATTCTTCAAATGGACTTTAATACTTTTTGAGAATGGAACTTCATAAAACTTTCTAAATTTTGAAACAAATTTTTTCTATACACATTTTTTTCAACTTAAATTTCTATATATATGATTGGGAAATTACATGAAATTCGTATTTTAGATCTTCAACACTATTCTATTTTGCAATGAAAACTTTATTTCTAATATTTATTCAATCATATTATTGTAAAAGATAATATTAGGTTATCAAAAATTCACTCTACTTATGGCAAACATAATTTGTAAATTTTAATGAAGTAATTTCGAATATTTTATTGAATACTTTCTGTAACTTAAAAATAGGCATAATAAAATCAATATTTCTAAATATAAATTATAAGGATTTGGATCACTCAATTATTATATCTTAAGATTTGTATCCAACATATATATATATTGAATGATAAAATTGTGTGCAGAAAGTTTTATTTACTAAATAAAATTTCATTTCAAATGATTATTTAGAAAAATAAATCTATTGTAAATAATATTTGATTAGTACCCTTTTTAGATTACTCCATTATTATTAAAACATAATTGAGACTTTTCCAAGATTATATTAAGTTTATCTAATTCACTAAAATATTGATATGCTATTTAGAGGTGTTAACTTTAAGGTCTATCAATATATTTTTATGTTGAACAAATCAATTTAATTTTCTATAGTAGGGTCTAATTTCATCAAAGTCATTAGAGATTATTTTATTTCCATCTAAAATTTAGAATAGAATAATAAAGTAAAATTAGATAGTATTGAATATTTGGTCCTTGAAGATTAATGACGCAGCTCAAATTTAATGATTCTACGATAAATATACATTAAGAAAATTTTATCTGGTTATCAAAATAATGGCTATCTTACTAAATAAACCATTATAAGTAAATAATGGCTTTAATGATTTATTCTATTTTAGACAATGTATTATTACTAAAGACATATTTAAAAACAATACAATCTCTTATAATAATGGTTTTTGTTCAAAAGCTAATAAGCAGCAACTATATGTTAGCATAACCTTAACTTGTTTTGTAATTATACCATTTTGATTGACAAATTACACGATAATGTTGTTGACACCATTCTTAAGCGCAATAGATAAATTAAGTTTAGAGGTAATATTGCTGAATATATAAATGATAATATTTCCAAACTTCATCCTATTTATTTAATATACAAGACATTTTACATTAGAAATAAAAAATAATGTTAAAAATGATAATATTTGAAATTCATAAAAATCTCAAAAAATCAATCCGTTATGTTTCAAAGACCTCTTAAATTCTATTCATTTAAAGTAAAATTTATGCTAAAAATATAAAAACTTAAATATACTTTTGGCATCGTAATAGTGAGAAATTTCAGGGTTTTTCTAAATCGCTTAATCAATATATGCAAAAGCCTCTTCTAATTTGTTCATTTCAGCTAAAGCAATCGCTTAAAGTATACATTTTAAGCATACCTTTTCCATAAAAGTATTCAGAATTTTCAGAGTTTTTGTAAATTGCTGTATCATAATTTAACAAAGCTTCTTCAAATCTTTTTATTTTGTGTAGTGCAAAAGCTTAGAAATTATATGAATTAACTTAAACCTTTGTTGAAGAAGACCTTTGAATCTTCTGGGTTATTCTATATTGCTATATCAAAATTTTTCAAACTTTCTTCGAAGTTCTTCATATTTGTTAAAGTATTAGCTTAAAAAATTATTCATATTAAACTTTACCTTTTCCATTATAATACTCAGAATTTGCAGGGTCTTTCTGAATTGCTGTATTATAATATTACAAAGCTTCTTCGAATTTGTTCATTTTATCTAAAGTCATGGCTGAGGAATATTACATTTTTTATACCTTTGTTGTAGTAGTGTTTCGATTCTTCTGGGCTATTCTATATTGCAAAATCATAATTTTATATAGCATCTTCTAATCTGTTCATTGTTTATAAAATATTAGCTTAGAATTCCTAAATATTAATTTTACCTTTACAATTATAAGATTCAGAATGTTGTGGGTTTTTAAAAATTGCTAAATCATAATTTTCCAAAGCTTCTTCTACTCTATTCATTTTTTCTAAATTAAAAGCTAATAAATTCTACATTTATAAGTATACCTTTGTTATGGTAATACCTATAATCTTCTGGATTTTTCTAAATTGCTGAATCATAATATTCCAAAGCTTCCTCCAATCTGTTTAAGTTTTGTAAAGAGTTAGCTAAATAATATATATTTTATATACCTTTCCCATTATAATATTCAGCAAATTCTGGGTTTTTCTATATTGCTAAATCATAATTTTCCAAAGCTTCTTCTAATCTGTTCATTTTTAATAAAGTGAAAGCTTATTAATTACTACAATTTTAAATATACCTTTATTAAAGTAATTAATTGAATCTTCTGGGTTTTTTTATATTGCTAAATCAAAATTATTTAAAGCTTCTTCTAATCTATTCATCATAAGTAAAGTATAAGCTAACATATTATACATAAATAATATACCTTTATTGGAGTAATGAATTGAACCTTCTGGGTTTTTCTGAATAGCAGAATCATAATTTACCAAAGCTTCTTCTAATCTGTTCATTTTTAATAAAGCGCCAGCTTATAAATTCTACAAATTTAAATATACCTTTATTGTGGTAATACCTTTAATCTTCTGGATTTTTCTAAATAGCTAAATCAAAATTTTCCAAAGCTTCTTCTAATCTATTCATTTAAATTAAAATAGTAGCTAAATTATTTATATTTTTTTATACCTTTGCCATTAAAATATAAAGCATTTTCTGGGTTTTTCAAAATTTCGGAATCATATTATTCTAAAGCTTTTTCTAATTAGTTCATTTTATATAAAATATCGGCTAACAAATTATAAATATTTAATTATACCCTTCCCATTACTATAGCTAGAATTTGATAGATTCAGCTAAGTTGCTAAATCAAAATTTTCTAATGCTTCTACTAATCTGTTCAATTTTGTTAAAGTAATCGCTAATTTATTATAGATATCTAGATAAACCTTTGTTATGGTAATGCATCCAATCTTGTGGATTTTTCTTTATTGCATAATTATAAATTTACAAAGCTTCATCTAATCTGCTCATCTTATCTAAAATAATAGCTAAAATATTATACAATGTTAATTATACCTTTATTATTATAATGCCTAAATTCTTGTGGGTTCTTCAAAATTGCTAAATCATAATTTTCCAAAGCCTCTATTAATCTGTTCATTTTTCCTAAAATAACAGCTAATAATTCTATATATTAAATTAAACCTTTGTTGTGGTAATACCTAGAATTTTCTGGGTTTTTCTAAATTGCTGAATCATAATTGTACAAAGCTTCTTCTAATTTGTTCATTTAATCTAAAGTCAAGGCTGAGAAATATTAGATTTATTTATACCTTTGCTGAAGTAGTACTTCGATACTTCTGGGTTTGTCTATATTGCTAAATCATAATTTTCTAAAGCTTCTTCTAGTCTGTTCATTTATAATAAAGTAGCAGCTTATTAATTCTACAACTTTAAATATACCTTTATTAAAGTAATATCCTGAATCTTCTGGGTTTTTTTTCTAAATTGCTGAATCAAAGTTTTCCAAAGCATCTTCTAATCTGTTCATTTATAATAAAGCAGTAGCTTATTAATTCTACAACTTTAGATTTACCTTTATTAAAGTAATATCTTGAATCTTCTGGGTTTTTTTTCTAAATTGCTGAATCAAAGTTTTCCAAAGCTTCTTCTAATCTGTTCATTTATAATAAAGCAGTAGCTTATTAATTCTACAACTTAAAATGTACCTTTATTATTGTAATTCCTAGAATCTTCTGGGTTTTTTAATATTGCTAAATCACTATTTTTTAAAGATTCTTCAAATCTATTCATTTTATATAAAGTATAAGCTAATATATTCATCATATATAATTATACATTTTTAGGAGGTAATTACCTATAATCTTTCTGGGGTTTTTCTATATTGCAAAAATCATAAATATAACAAAGCCCTCTTCTTAATTTGTTCATTTTATCTAACATAAAGCCTTTAGAAATGTAACATTTTATTTAAACCTTTGTTGAAGTAGTACTTCGATTCTTCTGGGTTATTCTATATTGCAAAATCAAAATTTTATAAAACTTCTTCTAATCTGTTCATTTTTTCTAAAATATTAGCTTAGAAATTTTGAATATTAATTTTACCTTTACAATTATAAAATTCAGAATGTTTTGGGTTTTTTAAAATTGCTAAATCATAATTTTCCAAAGCTTCTTCTAATCTATTCATTTTTTCTAAATTAACAGCTAACAATTCTACATAATTTCTTATACCTTTGTTGTGGTAATAACTAGAATCTTCCGAGTTCTTTTAAATTTTTGCATCATAATTTTTCACAACTTTTTCTTGTATGTTCAATTCTAAATTGTTTAATAACTTTAAAAGATAAGAATTATACCAATGCAATTTTAATAGCCAGTATTGTCTTGGCTTTTTTAAATTGTTGGATTATATTGCCACACTGCTTTTTCTATATTAATATTTTTCCTTTATTTTATCTGGTATTCTTAGACTTATCTTATCTTCCTTGTTCTAGTTTCTTTGATGTATTATTTTAGCTACCATATTGTTATTGTAGCATTTTACTCTTCATTTAAATATTAAGGTTTACTTGATATCTCTCTTTATAATATGCTTACACATGATATCATTTCTTTAGCCTATTTTCGGCCAATTAATATTTAATTATTATTTAATCTTATAAGCTCACAAAAATTACTAATCGAAGCTTAGTATTGTTTATTTTATACTTATCTTGTTGTTTAAGCCATTTTACATTTTTTATTTAATATTATAAATTATTATTTTCTTAATTAAATAATATTGTTTTATACTAGCCTTACAATCAGAATTGAGTGTATAAACTTCAAGGATAAATCCTTCTTCATTTTAGGAGAACTTCTAAATAAAAATAGCACTCATATATATACAGAAACATGTTTGTTGTCATTAAATAGAGACTATAATAACTTTCTTATATCAAATGTAAGTATAATAAGGAAGTAATCTTGAAAATTGAAAGCACTAATTTTGAAATTTGCAATCAGTAAACGAAACCGAAAACTAAGTCTTCAAAGCCTAAGTTTAGCCAAGTATAAAATGCCTTAAAGATACATAAATAATATTTAAGTAATAATTATAAATTTTATGTTAAAATTAATGATAGATTTAAATTTCATTGATAAAATGATACTAGAGTTATTAAACAAGATCGATCAAACATTATTACTTTGTGATTGCCAATGATGATTTGAAAATAAAATTATTGAATTTTTATATTGATATTTTTATTATGAATTAAATTTAATCGTATAAAGGTAACTCAGATATCAAACGAAGTTATTTTAGTAGGAGATAACAAGGTTGGGAAGACAAGCTTTTTTATTCGAATAACTAAGAATGTTGCTCCAAGATAACCCTAATCAACAATTGGAGTTGAGTATGCAACAAAGTAGGTTGTTTTTAAGGAATTAATAATCAATCTAAAAATTTGGGACACAGGTATTATATTTTTGATTTAGCTGGTTCTGAGAAATATAAGTCTTTAACTTCAAAGTATTAATTACACTATTTAGCCATTTTCATTAATCACAAGGGGCATTATTGTTTTATGATCTGACTGATTTATATTCTTATGAAAATTTACAATTCTGGTTGAAAGGTAGTCATAAATAATAAATGAAGATATTTACAATAATGCTGACGATAGAATTGTGATTATAATAGTAGGAAATAAATTAGACCTGATTCACGATGGAGTAGAACTCAGATGTATTGCATAAGAAAAGGTTCAATAATTTTGTAAGGCTAAAAACCTGTTGTATTGTGAAATATCAACGAAAACAGGAGAGGGAATAAATGAGTTGATTGATTAACTTGCTCAGAATTTATAAGCCAGAAAAGTCTCACAAGATGTCCTGTAATAAAGACCTCGACAGAATTGTTGTACTTGATGGAATTTTGTTTTTCTTTTTATTATATTGATTTTTAATTCTTTGTTGTTTTTATAATTAATGTAGCACATAAAAATAAAAATAGTCAAATTTACATAGACTATGTGATTCATGAATAAATATGTATTATAGAAATTTGATTAATACGGATTCTTAAATTCCGAAAGATTCCATTGTATAGAAATCATAATTAAAGGACATCACCCACCAATATAAATTTAAATATTTAAATAATTTTTTAATTTAATCAATGGACCCTCACGGTGATGATGATGAATAAGTAGGAGAAGACTACAATCCAGAATAAGAAGTGTTTGTAGGAGAAGGATAGGCAACTCTTCCTTAACTACCTGTTTAAACCGGAGAAGAAAATGATGAAGAAGTAGCTAAATTCCGAGCTAAAATTTATAGATTTGCAGATGCTTAATGGAAGGTAATATATATGATTTACTCTTAGGAAAGAGGTGTTGGAGACATGAAATTCCTTAAAAATAAATAAACAAATAAAATCAGATTACTTATGAGATAAGATAAGACTGGAAAATTAATTGCTAATCATTTCATCACAGCATAAGAGGGCTTTTGCAAATTATCCTAATTGAAGACAGCCGACAAGTCATGGATATGGACATGCTATGACGCTTCTGATGAATAACCAAAAGTTTGGCAATTGTGTGTTCGATTTATTTCACCAGAAGAAGTCGAAAGATTTAAAACTGAATTTGAAAAAGCCTATGAAAGCAATAAGGCCTTGTAAGAGGAAGTTCCAAAGAATGAATGAATTATAATTGTCATTATTAATAATCAACCATTATTTATTTATGAATTCCTCATAATTGGACTAAATATTCAATTGCATTTATATTTAAATAAATTAAAATAATTCTAATCACAAAATGAATTGTTCATCAATAATTTATATTGAGTTATACAAATAAAAGTGACACCAAATCTTAAATAGTGTTTAATTCACTAATTTTATAACTGTTTTCATTACACTTGCCAAATTTATTATATAAAATTTCTAGAATTATCCAAATTAATATATGCTTGAACTTAGTTATAGCTATTCAATAACATACTGAAGCATATTATTTTTAATAATTGTTAATCTAATATATATCACCATTTAAGCACTTGATTTCGAATACTTTTGTTGATCAATTTAGTAAAGAAAACGAAAAAAATAATTTTGATTTAGGCTTTCATTATTGAATGAAATCAGAAAAGACTATTCGGTTCTAACAGAAGGCAAGAGTTTGTAGATATTAATCGGTATTTAAGAATAAAATTCTTCATAATTTATAGAGATTATATTATTATTAATAATTTTATGAGGAATTTATTAAATAAATTGAACATTTTCTTAAATGCTAAAGAAAACCCTCATCTTACGCAATATTTAGTTTAAAATTAGTCATTCAATAAGTTTGTACACAAAACAGAATTCATGAAAAAAAAATTTTGGTAAAAATTAGATGAAGCTGCTTTTCCAGAAGAATACTCAAATAAATTACTAGAATAGAATAAGAAAAATTCTAAGAAATGAATTGATTACCTATAATTACAAATTATTATTCAAATTGTTAGTATTTACACTTTACAAAATTAATTTGAGATGTAGAAGACCGTAATCTAATATAAATATTGAGTCTGAAAATTTCATTAACTATTCTGAGTTATATAGTTTAATAAGTTTTATAATAAGCTCAATGAAATGAGAGTATCATTTAAATGAAGAAAAAGACTAAAGTTTTCAAGAAAAAGATGAAGTAGTAAAAGAATAGCTCTTTTTGTTTGCAGCAAGAAAATATTGAGCGCTCAATTTTTTTAAGTAAGGCTGTTCTTAAAGGATAATACAATTATCAAGTGATATCAGAAATAATTAATATCCAATAATATATTTTATAATATAATTTAAAACTTCTTAATAATAACATTACTATAAATTATATATTGATTCTCAATAGAGTTATAGTAATAATAAAGAATTAGATTTGATTACAAGCTTTTTATAATTATTCATAATAATGAGGATTATTTATTTTATTTTTGAGACATCTCAGGTAATAGGCACAAGCTTTAAACTTTTTTCGAGGATTTGGTCAGTTACACAGATTAGAAATTAAAATTGAGTAATTTAGAGATATTTGAGGATGATCGGCTGAATTTATCGGATGTTTAAGATTGAAGTGTTCGATTGGAGGTAAATTAATTTTTGTTGAAAAGAACCTGCACAACTTCTTTATCGGATACTTCAATACTTCCTGTTGATAGTTTTTTTCTATGTTATGTTTCTTTTCTGTTGAATCCAGTCATTGTAGTTTGTTCAGATTTTTATTGAAGAGGTTAGGCTGGCTTAAATAGTTTATCTAAGGAGATCATGCTTCTAAATTTATGCTATCTTTGAAATTTGTAAGCTTAGTTTTCTGGTATTTATAAATCAACAATGTGATTTTCTATTAATTTTCTTCTAAGTAAACTTTTCTGCTTTTTTGAATGCTCAATCAGTAATTTTGCTGATTCTGGAAACAATTATAGCAATACTTTATCTATTTTAAATAGTTATGCATCTTTGGATAGAACTTATGCTGAATAATTAGCCATGGCACATTCTTCGTTGATAAAATCCATGGGGTTGCACTCCATAATAATGTTTCTTTTAGTATAGATTTGCACTCTTCCGGTAAAAATGATAAACAAGTTATCCAATTTTTCATATAATTACATTATACAAGCGAGTTCTTCATAATAGAAAAGCTAATGTATTTATGAAATACTTATAGTGAATCAGCAATTTGACATAACAATTATTTATCATCCACATTGGTAGGTTTGAAAGTATTTAAGAAAAAGTGTCTTTTCTGTCTGATTAATTACTCATGTTTAAGAAGCAACGATGTAATGTCTGTAGGTGTCAGCATAAGCAAAGTACAATTTTCAACTGCGAACTAATTTAAAATATTTCTTACGATTTTATTCATATTTTGTCTGTCTATTAAATAACCTTCAGGTAAGTCTTCCTAGTACTATTATTTTTTTTTCTTGATAAATTTGGACTTTGAGGCAAATTCATCCAAATCCTCTAAATCTGATAAATCTTATCTCATCCTTCCTTAATAAAACATATATAAATTGTCCAATTCATTTTATGGCACTAAATTAAATGCCATCAATTCATACACTTTAATTCTTCTAATAAGCTAAAGAACATAAAAAAGTGAAGTTACTTCTAAATATTCAGAATGACTTTGTAGAGTAAGCACTTTTATAAATGGTTCTAACTTGTTGAATTGCTCTTTATATAGAATCTATTTAAACATAACAAAATACTTCGATTTCAGCTTAGGTTTTCACAGGCTTCCTAAACAGATCCATTAATTCAATATTTATAAATAATATCAATTAATCACAAAAATCACAAATTAAGTCCAAACACAGCTCCATTTCCAAATTTAAAATCTATTCTTTATCTGCTACATTGTAATATTGATTTTATAATTTGAAAATGTGTCACGATACCAATTTTACTTTAAGTTTGATCTTCTTTTATTTTGTTTACAAATCCTTACACTCTACTGATTACACCCCTGCCGTGTTCTAATTAAAAGCTTGATCCTTTTCTGACAAACTCATCAACTATGAATCTTTCGAAATCTTCCTTATTTGCTTAGCAATCTCTTAAGTCGTAACTTTTTTGTAATAAATTGAATTGCCAAAACTCAAGATTATCTGGCATCTAACTAAAATCAAATTGAATTGGATTTCCATTCTAATAATAATTTATATAAAGGATACATCTTTTAATAGTTATGTAAGGGTGCCCCATTTATAAACTGAATTTATGGTGCTTATTTTCTCGCAAATATCTGGACATAGGATAAATTAAATCTTCTCCTTCTATGGATGGTTACAAAACAATAGTTGAGTTGTTTGTATTGCTCTATAATTACTTTCAAATAATATGCCTTAACAATGGTGACACATAGACTTTATCAAATTCCAATTTATTAATTTCTAACTTTAATTTATCACATTGTTTAGTGCCTAAATATTGCAAAGGAGGATCAATCAAATCATAATGATAGATATTTGAATCCTTAAATTCTGTTACTCTTTTAAAATAATTATGCCATGCCAAAGCATGCCTTACTAAAATTTCATTCTAATTTCATACTGATTATGAATTTACTATTCAGAGTGTTCTAGGGAGTGAATTCTAAACTGATCTTTAATTTTTTCCAACCTTGGTCTTCATCTTTCATCTTATAGATTTCATGCTCCAATTCTTTTGCCTACTTTATTTTCTATTCTAATATTAAATATTTGTGTTTTAATTATAATGGGCATCTAATATAGTTAGAAATAGCTTACATTTTAGATAATAGCTAAGCATCATAAATCTCTGGTTGCTTTACAAGCTAACTAAATTTAAACAACATAAATAAAATTGGTTAATTTTTAAATCAAATATATCATATATAAATTGGTTTATAAAAATTCATATAAATCCTAGGATATTCATTTATAAATCACACTACAAAATCCGATTTCAATACTTAAGGATTTGACTTATGTATAATATCACAAAATAGAGATTTTTATTTAGTATTTGAGTTATGGTCCTCCATCAATTGTGGTTTAATTCAAAGTAAGAATCAAAGACCTGAAGTGAATAGAGTAAATTATCGTATTTTATATTAAAAGATAAGAATAATTTTTGAAAAATAGAACAAATAAATCTTGCTTATTGTATAATCATTTTAGCTTTATGAATCAAAAATAAAATAAAATAAATTAATGAATTGATAAAGGCTAAAACTATATAATTTTATCATTTCTACATTCAATTTTAAACTAATGTTTCTCTTTTTGAGTCTACGCTTATTGTTTGACTTCCATTTTTACTATAAATACATTTTCTTTATTATAGAGAGTGTATTCTAGCAGGAGTATCACAAGGCTATGAATTTTTGGGGGTTTAAAGTCTCATCAATGTTCTAGACTGAAAATTTGATGATTGTGTTGGGGTTTAATGTAGATTCCTTTTTAATTCATTTTGTCTTCTGTCCAATAGCAATATTAAATTTGTGAGATCTTTTTCTTAATTAATAGATGGAACTTAGAGCGTTTCACAAAAATCTTATAGTATGTCTAAAGAATCTTTTGTTAGGTTGAAGCACTGATTAAGATATTTCCATTAATATTGTAATTAAGAATTCAACCCTTTAATTTGTAAGGGAAGATCAGCTGAATTTTAGTTGGTTTTGGAGATACTAGAATTAATGATTTCGAAATATTTACCTTTCTTTTAATTATTCAATATACTTTTATTACCGAGAAATCTATTTCTGAAGAGATTTAATTTCTTAATTAAATTGTTCTTGAATAGATTATTAATTGGATTTTATTCCAATATTCTACTCAAGAATATTTTACAATTTAATATGTGCTTACTCTAATTAATTACTTTATCTTTCCTAAATTAGATTTATTTTTAAGGAGTCTTCATCAAATTTTTTGACAGCTGAGTGCACTTCAAATTTAACTGCCTTTGAATTGTTGACTTCAAGTTCTTAGTACATATTTGCTAAAGTTTTAAATTTTTCTTATGTTTAATTGACATCTTCGATTTACTAACTAATATGTACCGATTTTACAAATATCTATTTTTTTTTACAAAGATCCTAATTAAAGAAAGCATTCATCGATTTGTTAAACTTCTCTCACAAGATTTTGCAATCGTTCATTAAATTGCGAAGTCTCCTACAATGTTTGGCTTTTCATTTCTTTGGTATTTTTAAACAACAGTTATACATCATTTCTTAAATAGCTTATACTTTAAGATACATTAGAAATGCAATCACGGATTTCAGTCTATTTATATTATGAAATATTACAAAATTCTCATCCAAATTCTATTTTAAAGCATATTTATGTTTAATATATTCCACTTCTTCGTTAATTTTTTCAAAGGTTTACGCTTAAAATTTTTATTATTATTTTGCATTCAAAATAGTCTAATACGTGGCATCAACATTGGTTTTGAATTAATTGATATCATCCTGGACATCTACAACTTTTTTGCTGAGATCATTATCAATTTTAGAGATCTCAGATGAAACATATTTTTGAAATTAAGCTAATTAATCGATATTTATGTTTTACTTGTATTGAATTCAAAAAGACTTTCTAAGTTTGAATTAAAGGATTTTTATAATTTCAGGAACCTTTCATTTATTCCAAGGAAATCAGAATTTTCATTTAGTGTAACATATATACATGTTTAGTTTTTTTAATTCGATTCCAAATATTTGCTCAATATGTTCTTCTAATCGTTACAATTGTAATTATGCAATTGAAATACTTACTGTAATGCATCAAATATTTCATTATATTTTAAAAGAGTTTAAATTATCACTTGCTACATCAATTATTCTCTTTAAAAATTATATTAAAGAAATGTGTATATAAAAATATTTTTTTATCATATTAAAGATAATTAAACTCTTTCGAAAGACACAAAAATGAGCAATATTCTCCTTTTTATATTATTAAATGTATTCAAATTATTTATTATAGCCGAATGATTAATTTCTGCCTTAAAATAAGGAAAGATAGAAAGGCATTTTTTATTTATATTCTTTCAAGCTAATGTTCATACAAGATATTACAATTGAAATTATTAGATAAATTATACACAATTTATTTGCAATATCAAATTTTTATTTATTTTATTAAGTAAAATCTTGATTATTTATAATTAGAATCATGAAAACATAGATTCAAACGTAAATTTAAATTATAATGAAATTAAAAAATGAAAAAGAATATTAAAGTCTGTCTGGTTCAACAAAAATATTGGCTTTCGTAGTTGTATTAGAGTTGCTGATCCTACTTTTAAGTGGAAAAACAGCCTAATTCAAATATTATGTAAGTACTCCTTAAAAATCAATAATTATTAAATAATATTATGTCTTAAAAGCCCAAATTACCTTCCAGTCGAAAAGTATATCCAGTTACAAACTCCGGATAAGAGTCCCCAACTTAAACTTAATATATTGAATCTTCTAAAACAATTTCATAAGATAAATAATAAAAAAAGAATGATGACATTAAATTGATAACAGATGAATATGTACTCATCCTATTTAAGTAAAGCCACCTGTTACATAGGAGATATTGAAATTAAAGGAGAAATTGCAATTGGTTGATAAAATTTCCCTCTCCTTTAAGGAGGTTGAGAAGGACGATGTGTATTTTTATGGAGATGTGATATTCAATATGAAATGTGGCTTTGGTAAGTAGTTCAATAAGAATAACTTGAGCTATTATTAAGGTGAGTTTATGATGGATTTGTTTCATGGCAAAGGTACGTTAATTTATCAAGATGGCACAATAAAAGTAATGAATCATATTTTAAAGTCAGCAAGGCGTATTTTTTCAGGGAAGACTGGTTGAAGACGTATTTCCTTTCTTATAACCTTCTTATGATTTAAAGTTGGATAGTTTTCAGAATTTTCCAAATGGTGCAAACTTTACTGGTTTACTTGATGGAAATGGAAAGAAAAGTGGTGTTGGGAAATACATTTGGAAGGATGGTTCTATGTATTTTGGAGAATTTTTTGATGACAGTTTTAATGGTTATGGATAAATGAGTTTTGCAAATGGAAATATTTATTTGGGAGAATGGAGATATGGATAGATGGATGGTATTGGTCATTTCATTTGGAAATCTAATAATGAGGAATATATAGGGTAATATAAAAGAAATAAAAAAAATGGATTTGGAATTAATAAATTCTCTGATGGAAGGAAATATATTGGCTATTTTCGAGATGGTTAGTTTGATGGATAAGCTATCCTATAGAAAAAGAATCATTTGGATAAAATCTCATATTGGTAAAACGGAAATCAAATTGTCGAGCCAACTTAATATACATGCGAAGACAATTTTTGATTAATCTTGCCATAGATGATTTATATATGAAAATATATTCTTATCAACATTATATATTCTTTCTGATAAGAAATTCCTAAAAATGAGTTTCATGAAACCTTAAAATAAATATAGATTAAACCAATGAATATTATTCTCAGAAAATTTGATCGTTTGCCTTCCTAATTGATTTCACATTAGTTATTATGAGTAATATAGTATTTGAATCAAGTTTTGAGATCTAATATTTCTTCTATAATTTATTTATATATTATAATAATTACAGTTTTCTCTTATTTTAAATTATTTATTTATTATATTATATTCATGTATATAAATAATATATATAAAAATAATTATTATAATAATTTATGTGATATAATAGTTTCATTGATTGGTTTCTGTTTATGGCAATACCAAAAACTTAGAGTACTTATCAAAATACATTTCTAAAATTTAAGCTCCTGTTTTCCCTCTGCTATCAAGAATAAAAAATCCACAATAAATAGTATAAAAGAGATCTATGCCTCCGAAAATGTAAAATGCTCCAGAAATATTAACACCTTAAACAATGTAGGGGAAGGAGAATATTAAAATGGCTTAGAATATCCATCTCAAATCCATAGTAAAGAAGGTTCCATCACTATCATTTAATTAGGGTACAATCCCCTAAACTATAACAAAACTTAATTACCCAACACACTGGACTCAATGTAGCAGCAAACACCATAATTAAAAGCACCAAAAAGACAAAAATCAGGAATAGTATAGTATCACTTTGATAATTCGATAAAACTGCTATGGTGATGTTAATGCCCCCCATCAAAACAGATCCGATGACTATTTTGATATAAGACTATTATACTCAAAATATATTTTTGGCCCAGGCGAGGCAACATCGGAATAGTAGTGAATTAAGCTGCAGCACTAAATAGACCAATACATATGGTATAAATTGTCTTCAATACCAAATCTCCACCTGATAATTACTCAAAAATTTATGCACTATAATAAAACACAGCAAATGAGCCACACCAAATTTACACAAACATCTAAATATATAGCAAAATCATTTACTGATATCACACCAACTTGTAATCCAATTAGGTTCTTTTTCTAAAATATATGCAAAAAGGAATTCTAAGTTTTTAACTGCTCGTTTTAAGCTATTTATCTGTATCTGTCTAATTAAGCCTCTACATATTCTTCCTTATAAATTTTTCTAATAACCTTTTTAATTATAATTGATTATTACTTATTTTGCGTGTTCTACATCGTTTCTTTACAATGATTACTCTGGGCTGTCATAATTGTAACAAAAATAAATAACAGAAGATCTGATTATAAAGATTATGGCTGGAAAAACAAACACAACCCTCCACCAGTTCGAAGTTTCACCATGATACCTATAATTATCAATTATATATTACTTTATATATCCAATACCCATTAGTTGTCCAATTGCCAAGCCTGTATTCACTCCATATCCCAAAATCATACTAATTTAGTAATAATATTTTTCAGGGCACAAGGACTTTACATAGACAGGCATAATTAAACTAGAGATGCCATTTGCAACTCCAAGAAAAAAACGAAACACAATTACTACATTTGTGTTGGCTATTACAGCCAAGAGACTTGATAATCCAATTAAATCAGCAATATGAATACATTATTTGTTAGTAAATTTTCTTTTGAGAAAATATCCAATTATTACACCAACAACACATCCTAAAGGCAAAATTCCATTTATTAAACTCAATGAACTTGTTCTTTCTTCCTTTGTTATGCCTCTTTATATTTAAATCAAAAAACATACAAATTATCAAAAAGTGTGTCAATTGTAAGTGTTAAATAGGAGAGAACGTACCCAATATTCAAGGCTCCTAATTAGATATTCACATTCATCAAGACTACTTAAAAAAGTGAATTAACTTTAGGTGAATTTTCGCTGATATTTGTTTTCATATTATATTTAAAATGAGATATTATTAATTTTATACATACAAATTAATAAAAAATGATTGGAATTCAGAATTTCCGAAATTAACAGAAGCATATCTTATATTCATATAATTATAGGAATTATTGACATTTTTTATAATTGATTTTGATGTTACTAGTTTGCTTGTTTAATTGTTGTATTAAAAAAATATAACAAACAAAACAGCATAAGTAATATAGAAGAAATGTTATTAAATGTATTCTGAAACACAATATTAAAGATGTATTTAAATGTATGTTATTTCTGAAGAGAAACAAGAATTTTTGAATTAATAATATAAAATAACCTAGCATTGATAAAATAATAATAAATAATAATTGTGAAAAAGCATTAACTTTTTTTAACAATTTACACGTAATTCCTATATTTTGTTAATAAAAATCATTTTATTTATAAATTAATTAAATAAACAAAAAAATGTTTGAAACAAGATTTATACCTGGTTTGGTTGTTGTAGTCTTGGCCTATGTGTTGAATGGGTTAAAGGGCGCTTTGAATCAAGAATAATTCTTTGCCTTTATGGGTTATATGGTCTTGAGTTTCTTTGCATACGTGTTATCATATTGGATGATTCCAAAGATTGCTTAATTGACCGAGAAGGCAGATATTTTCGGTTATGATATAAATAAAAAAGGTAATTTATGCATGAGATTTTATAGGCTCGGATGCTGGTAAAATCAAAATTCCAGAATCACTAGGAATAGTTCCTGCCACAATTTATCTCATATTCAATATTTTAGGAATATTGTTTACTAGAGCATACATGCCTGATTTAATATTATCACATATATCTGGATTGTTGGCTATTACATTTATAGTATTTTTGGGTTTTGCTGATGATGTGTTGGATTTGGCCTGGAGATATAAACTGTTATTGCCACCAATCGCAAGTTTGCCTGTGATTGTGGCCTACACAGGAGGAACCTAAATAGTTTTACCTCAATTGATTAGACCATATCTTGGATAAACAATTGATTTAGGACCAATTTATTACCTTTATATGATAATGCTATCGACTTTCTAATCGAATGCAATTAATATTTATGCTGGAGTTAATGGATTGGAAGTAGGATAATCTATAATAATTGCATTGTCAATTGCGGTTTATAACATCATTGAAATTTCAACATAACAATAACATTTGTTTAGTCTGATGATAATAGTACCCTACATCTCATCAGCTTTAGCTTTGTACAATTATAATCGATATCCTTCTAAAGTCTTTGTGGGAGACGTGTTTTGTTATTGGTCAGGAATGACATTTGCAGTGGCAGCTGTCCTTGGTCATTTTTCAAAAACTTTGATGTTATTCTGCATTCCACAACTTATAAATTTCTTGTATTCACTTCCATAACTATTTGGAATAATTCCATGTCCTAGACATAGACTACCAAGGTAAAATATGGTTTGATTTATATGTAGATATGATTAGAGTACAGGTTTGTTATATGCAATCAAAACTAATTTGACTTTAATCAATTTGGTGCTATTGATTAAGGGACCTACAAGCGAAAAGAATTTATGCAGAGTTTTATTGTCATTTTAAATACTATGCACGATAATTGGATTTGGTATAAGATATTTGGGGTCATAGATGTTCTTTTGATAAATATTTTATAAGTTATAAATTATATAAATGTTAGCCTCTTTTTAATAATAACCACTTGTCAGGAAAATGGTCAAATCATAAGTTGAATTATCCATGCCACAAACCAAAACCACTTCGGATTTGCTCTTTTAAAATTAAAGATCTTCATATCAACAATACAGAAAATAAACCTAGCAATCAGATGAAATTTCAGTTCAGAAATTATTTTTCAGAACTACTGAGCCTTCCATTTAAGAAACACCCAGTTCGCTGTATTTAACAAGACAAAGAGAGGAGCCTTTCATTACGGCCAATACAAAATTTTAAGAATAGAAATACAAATAGAGAATTGATTTCTCAAATTCAGACCATAAGAATTCACTCATAGAATTGCCTAAATTCAGAATGGTTGCAAGTATGTATGGTAGAAGCATCCTGTCTACAGCCAAAATTAATAGAAGAATGGCCGAATCCTCTGATAGTGAGTTTTTTATGTAATCGCCAGGGTAAATTTATTATAAAATATCAAGAGATTAAGATAAATGATAATTTGTAATTAATTATTTATGGAGGATGAACGATTCCTCTATTAATTTATGTATGTTCCGGATTTGACATAACCTAAAGAAAGATTTGATGATTTTGTCAAGTGCTTAAGGAATGTGCAAAAGATTAATAGCAAAAGATTATATTTTTATTTAAAAGATGGAACTCCCATTAACTCTCACTTAGACATTCCCCCAATTCACAAGACTTTAATTTATAGTCAGAACTCTGTATATAAACCTTATGAGAACCCACAATTAGATCTTTTAGAATCGTAATGCAAATCTTATAACTTCCTCTAAATTAAAAAAAAGTAGTATAAGAACAGTAATTCATAAGTAGAGGATATCATAAGGACTCTAAATGATGGATAGGATGCTCAATACAATTCCAAAGAATTGAAATCACAGTTAAAAAATCTTTCATTTAGAAAATCAAGTTTAAAGAATTCTCTAGAAAAATTAATAAAGCCAACTCAACTTAACATAGACAATAACCTAACCTAACAAAAAACTGTGACTCACACTTAAATAGATAAAACTGAAACTTAGGAATAGAAGAAAATGGAATTATTCGATGACATGTTGTAACTGTATGAATAAGAATTGAAAAAGATAGATTTCAATTAAAATCAACCTGATGATATCAATTAAATTCAATTCGATAATGAAAATGATGAGATGAGATTGAAAATCAAACAAGCCGCCTGTTTATTAGAACCCTTATTAAATAAATTCTTGAATCAACCTCAAAAGAAGGAGGAAGTTGTTGAAGAATAATTTCAATTAAATAATATGGAATAAAAAAAATAAACAAAAACACAATAAAATTTTGTACATAAGAATATTAAAAGGAGAATAAGCAACAAATTTAGCTTGCAATAATTATTAAAAATCAATCGAGAATTATTTATTCAAAATATCCCGAAATTATTATCATCATCAAATTTTTCTCGATATGAATTACACAATACTTATGTTCTCTATTGTGCTTTATAGTAAATTACATCGTAGAGATACAATTATTATAATATCAATGACGGAGTCGATTATTAAACTTACAGAAGAGGAATATTTTAGATATTCTTTCAAAATGAATTTTTGGCTCAATAGATATTTAATCGCATAGATTACAATTATAGTGGATTCCTTAATTGGGAAGAATTCCTAAGACTCATGATGAGCATTAAAGCAAAAACTGTCGTTGAAAAAATAGATCTCTTCATTTCAATTTCTGATAGTGATGGAAATGGTAGACTTTCTCACGATGAAATTTTTAAATTAGCCAAATTATGCCTATCTCATTATGTACAAGATAAGGGCGAGTTCTTGGACATTTTATGTGAATATTATACGAGGCTAATCTTTTAAATTGTCGATAAAGATATCACAGATGAAATTCCCTTTGAAGAGATAAAAAAGGCGATATTAGACAATAAAGAAGACAGCGATCTCTTATTAATGTTTTGTGGAGCAGATGTATGAATGATGTATATAAATGTTTTAAGTTACATCATTACAAATTCAAGTTCTGTGGTATTCACTTTGAGTTGTTTTCAAATCATCTACTGTAAAGTAGTAATCATTAGCTCCAATTCTATTCAAGTATAATGCATGTATGAAATGAGAATGCACGAATTTGGATTCGTAATCACCAGCATAATTGATATTCTTGTGAGTCCTTGGTTAACTTCTATCGATTCTAACTAACTCTGATAAACCATGTCTGATGGATTGCTTAAATAGTTTATATTGTATATTTTATAAATCTGCAATTGGACTTGTTATTTTCTCTTAAACACATTATTACTGAAAAAGTTTAACTTCACCAGATGCTATAAAGTCTTAGTTTTTTGTGAGGTTCTTAAAAATCTAGGTTCTTTTAACTTGGTTCAATGATGACTTTGATATCATTGTTGCGATATTTCTTGAGATTGTTCGAATTTTGTTCATAAATATAAATTATTTTTTAATTATTAATTAAAACATCCTTGCATAAGGTTGTTATTTCTTATTTATGTGAAATTAATATAAATTATCTACGTTTATATAAAGGTATGAAAACAAAAAATAAATAATTACAAAAGAATTTGACAGTTATAAATATCTTTTTTTTGGATAACAAATAAATAATAATATTTTTATCGTATGGGAATTTGTACAAGCACTAAATAGATCTAAGTTCCTGCTCATGATCATGCTCCTGAAACAGAGTATAAACCTTTCGTTTTCGACACAACTATTGTTCCTGAATAACAACCATAAGTTGTGCAAAATAAAACACACACTATTGCTGATCGAATTGTGCCCTAGCATACTGTTGCCAATTAAACTAAAACAGATTATGATTTGGCTCTTGAAGAAATGTATTGATTTTGGATCATATTTAGGCGCAACAAATCATAAGCAATATTTGAAGATTCCAAATTTCCACCTGTTCGAAGCAGCCTTTCATCGGACCCCAATTTTAAGAAGGGAAAAGACATCGCATGGAAGAGACCAGACCAGTTTTTGCAGGCTGGTTAAATCAAGTTGTTTGATGTATTAATCCATACAAAATCAATAGTCAATTGATCCAATGGACATCAAGTAAGGAGAACTTGGAGATTGCTATTTTTTAAGTTCCTTGTCTGCTTTGGCTGAGATCCCCCAATAAATCTAGAAATTATTCAGACATCAAGAGTATTAATAAAGTGGTAAGAGTATTATTTAAATTGTTAAGGCCTTTATGGTATTTATATGTGTAAGAATGGAATTTTACAGGAAATAGTTGTGGACGCATTCACTATACCTTGTAATCTTTAAGGAGGTCCAATATTTTCAAAAGCAAATGGAAATGAATTGTGGGTGCTTCTGTTGGAAAAAGCTTATGCTAAATTATTTGGGTCTTATCACAAAATTGAATCAGGATTAGCAAGTTGTGCCTTAAAGGATTTAACTGGAGCCCCAAGTGAATATTTTATCAGAAAAGGGGAAACCTTAAAAGATGCTGATTTATGTTGGGATTTCATGGAGAAAAATGACAAACAAAAATACATATTGACAGCATCTTCGGAGACTAATGAATAAGGTGTAGAATTAGACAATGGAGGTGGTATAGTATCTTAGCATTGCTATGCAATTTTGGATGTGCAAAGGGTTACTGGAAGTGATGGACAACCTGATAGAATCATTAAGATTAGAAATGTATTACATTTAGTGTAAATTTGAATAGCCTTGGGGTAGAAAAGAATGGACAAAAGACTGGAGTGATAATTCTGCAAAATGGACACCTGAATTAAGATAGAGATTATAAGTATAATAAAAGGATGATGGAATCTTTTGGATGAGTGTTAAAGATTTCATAACTGAATTTAGTTAGGTTTGCGTGTGCAAATTCAAACCAGATTATTTCTATACAGCCACAACACTGTAGGTAAATGCATAGGACACAGTTACTACAAAAGTGATCTTGATGAAAGTTTATTAGAAAGCACACGCATTTATTTCTTTGACCTAATCAGATAAACGATTTTTCTAAAAAGGTCATTAATATTCATTAGCCAGATTGATAGTTGGTGAATTAGATAAGAATACAAAAGAAGTATTACATTATTCAGGTTGTGCTTTTGATAATGAGAGGGATATTGTTGTTGAAAAGACATTTGAACCTGGATATTATGCCTTGTATATTGAAGTAGATTGGGCATAAAATTATGATCGATATTTAGCAATTTCTTGTTACGGATCAAATTCAGTCTAATTTTCTGAATTGCAATTTCCATCTGGTCAAGAAAAATTGGCTATAGGTACAATCTTCGATGGATTCCTAAGAGCACATGAAAGAGACACTGATGAGGAAAAGGTTAAAGACATTGAACCAGGAATTAGAAGAATTTCTGGAGTCGTTGGTGGATATCTTTATTATTGGTATCAAAATTAGACAACTAAAAAAACTCTTCAGGAACTTCTTCATTTGGATAAAATATAAAACTTAGAAATTTGTCCTCCTTATACGAATCCTGCCGATGTTCAAATCTAATGCAAGCCTCTTTCTACTGTCATGGTCAAATATAGAGTTACTAAACAAGGTGGAGGTTCCTATGGATACGCATTGAAATGTTAAACCCAAGTGATCGAAGCCAAAACTGATTAAGATATCATTCAACAAGCTCTCCATAAGCCAGATTAAAAAGTCTAAAGAAGCATGTAAGGATAAGTATAATATTTTACATAAAAAAGAATATACAAGTTTTCTTTTATCTTGTTAAGTTCCCTGCTGGAGTTGCTTTCTTTTATGAAAATAAAGAATCCAGAACATATTAAGAGACCATTACATTTGAAGTCACCAACCTGAAAGGAGTAGGCATAGATATCTCCAGAGATGTAGTCGTAGAAATTCCTCCTGGGTAATCAAAACTGATATAATTACAATCCGTCGATCCAAGCAAAGGATACTCATACAAATAATCGATTATGTTTAAGTTAATATGAGATACAAAATAGCTTTATGCAAATTATAAATATTAATTATTAATTCATCAATTATAATTTGATTATGCTCATTTTTATGCTGTTGTAAAACATAAAATCAGAGTTATACTCATTTGAACATATATACATTATTTTAAATACAATTCTTATTTATCTCTTTTATATCATTAAACATTCTTTCAACATTCTCTTGATTATATAGTAAATATCTTGGTGTAAGGTAGATTCATTAAAGAAATTTATTTAAAGGGATAACTGGAATTACTTAGATGTTAATCATCTTAATAATGTATACCATTTAATCTCTTTTATTAAAACCCATTAATATGAAAATTTAAATGTAACAGGAATATATTAATAAACCTAAGAATTCAAACGATAATATACAAATTTAAAATATTATGTAATATAAATGTTAAAAATAATTTTTTCATCTTAATTTTAATAATAATTATTTCATAAATACGTCTTTATTTAATCGAAATCGTAATAATAATTTACTTTAAAAATAAGAAAACTCTTTCTTCGCAAAGTGATAAATTATTAAATTATGGCTAAACCTTTAAATGCAGTTTTGGGCACATTCTTCTTTTAATTCTGGATCTTATTTATGGGATTAGCAGGCTACATGTTTTACAGATTGATTGCTTATAGAGAATCTTGGAATATTGCCCTATTTGTTGTGACTATGATTTTGCAATTGAAGTATGGAAAGTCAGAAGCCTTCATAAAATTTTAACTATGGTTTAATATCATGGAATGGTTTGACAAGAGAGAAATAGTGGAAATGGAGAAACCCAAAAAAAACAATTCAATGGTAAAAGATGGTAATAATTTAGTTTTGCTTCCATCCACACGGCATATACAGTATGGGAATGGTTCATAATTTGTATACGAAGAATACCTTCTTTGAAAATTTAATTGTATTGAGTTCACGATTCGCATTATCAATACCATTTTCGGGACTCCTCCTAACACTATTTGGATTGGAAGGAGTGCATCCAGAGAATCTCACTAAGTTGTTGAAGAAGGGATCGAATGTAGGCATAATGGTGGGAGGTTTCGAGGAGGCCACACTCACTAAATATGGAGAAAATAGGGTTTACATAAAGGAGAGAAAGGGCTTCATAAAGTATGCACTGAGATACGGGACTACAATCTACCCTGTGTTTACGTTTGGTGAAAATAATATGTTTTATACTTACAACGGGTTTTAATCTTTGAGACTTTGGCTTAACAAATTTAAGTTGATTGGGACCATCTATTGGAGCAGATTCTTCACAGTGCCTGTATTAGAATGTATTATGTTAAATAGGAACCTAACATTGAGATGATAACAGTTTGTGGTAAAGGAATAGAATTGCCTAAGATTGAGAATCCATCAAAAGAAGATGTGGATAAATATCACCAAATTTATATCCAGGGATTGAAGGAGTTATATGATACTTATGCTCCAAAATACGCGCCAAAAGTACCATTATAGATTTATTGAAAATATATTGTTTATGTTTATGATAAGTTGATATAATTTGATTTAATCTATTTGTTTGGTATTATTATTAAAATGAGTTTAGGGAAGTTAAAATTGAAAGGTTAGTTTGGGGAGAAACAATAGAGAAATGAATTGAAGATAAGAAACAAGGTAGAAAGAGAGGAACTGGCATAAGATGAATAACTATTCTTGGAAAAGATTTAAGAGAAGGGACCAGCGAAGAGAGTGGTGATCGAGAAACCATTATAAGATGGAATGGGAATGATATTTACATCAGGGACCTCTGTTCATGGTTAGGACACTTAATTCTTAAAATAATTGGAAGCAGGAGACTTCTTAGTGGTTCTTAATGAATAAACATTGGAAATGGAATCTAGAGAGATTTTGACTATGTTGAATCAAAAGTCTCTATTAATAAGAGAACCATTTGGTTAAGACATTCCAGTGTTCAAACCATATCAATTTCGCAAGAAACCGACAGTTGAGGAAATGAAAAGTTTAGAGGATAGACTGGAGGAAAAGTTCGCTGGAGTGGCTAAAAAAATACAAAAATAGAAATAAACACTTGAGATGCGTTAAAAGAGTGGAATGTGGAGTTATAAGACTGATAAAGTGGCTGTTGATGGGGGATTGAGTAGAGAGGAACTAGTTTTAATGAGAGCAAAATAGAGTAGAGATAGACATTGTTGGCACTGATAATTAATTATAGAATAAATATTTAATTAATTTCTCATTTCCTATCGTAATCTAATTAATCCATCTCTTTAACTAATTATAGGTTCTTAACATCTTCAAAGTCATCATTGCTATCATTTCTAACTGGTTCAATGAAGTAACCTTTAGTTTTGCGATTAATCGATTTAAATTCAACTTCTTTATTGAAAGTAAATAGAAATTGATCAGGGAAACTTTGTTCAAGTAATTGTTTAGTTTCCTCTGACACTTGGACTTTGCCACGTTCTCCATTGGATTCCATCTTATTCGAAATCATTACGTCTGCTCCATAAACATCATATCTCACTATTTCAGTACCCAATATTCCTCCAATTACACAGCCCTATTGAATTTAAACAATTATTTACTGTGTGAATTCCAATTCTCATATCCAATCCATCAAACCCTATGATGGCTCTCACTTGTCTAATAGTTTCGATCATTTGGAATCCCAATTCAACAACATTTCTGGCTTCCTAAGCTGGGTTTCTTTGGGTTACATCAACGATACCAAAGGCAACATAACAATCTCCAATTGTGTACAATTTATAAGCATTCTAAGTTAAACATTTCTTATCAAATTCAGTGAATAGATTCCTAAGCATATTTACGACTTGTTCAGGTTCAACTTTGCTGGAATATTCAGTAAATCCAGCTATGTCTGCGAATAATAATGTGGCATCTTCGAATTAATCAACCAGCACCATTCTTTAATTTGTATTTGATAGGAACTATTTCAGTATATGAGATGGTAGTAGATACTTGACCAAATTTTAAGTTTGCAATTTCTTTGTTTCAAGGGATCTTTTGTTATTAAATGTACCTAAATCCTAGAAGAATAAATGGTATTAAATAATGAAGGTCATGCAACTTTAAAACACAGTGTAATAGGCTACAGATAAATCTTCGTATTTAATTAAGACGATCAACAATTGAGCTACAAAAAAACAAAAATTAAAGCAAATTTTGAATTTTATTGAGATGTTTGGTATTGAAGAGAAGAAGCATATTAGTAGGATTCCTTCTGCTGCTTACAATTCGACTGATTTCTTAGTTAGGATAATAAATTCCAATATTATGCTGATCAACAATGCAATATAAGTAGTCAAGAAATATTCGTATTTGTAAAAGCGATGTTTTAATTTCTTGTTTTGTAGTATTGCTAATACTAACAAAAGAGTGGAGACTATAAATCGTATCACAAAGACAGCAAGCCAATTTGGTTCATTTTACATAAAAAGTAGAGAAAAGGTCTTGGAGACATATTAAATAAAGTGCAATAACAGTATTAACACTATGTTAATGCCTTCTTTTTAATCCATAAATTCTTTACCCAATTCCTTTTGGCTATCTTTAAAATCGAGGTAGAATTTTGATTTCTCTAACTAAAGTGCTTCACTAACAAATTGCTCATCCTCATCAAATTAGATTTTCTCAATTTCAATTTCATAATCTGGTGCCTCATCTATCATTTCAATGTATAAATCTCTTCTGAGCTTTTAAGATAGATCATGGAGTAGGTTTGTTTGATTTTTTTCATGAAATGATTCTTCTCTGAAATTGTTGTTTGAATGGGCACTTTCTTCAGCCTAATAAACCACAATCGGAGGAAGATTCCTATTACTAGTTTATTGGATCGCATTCTAACTGCCTGAATGTTGTAATTGCAGAGCCAAAGCAGATCTATTATCTTGTTGTTTCATAATTAAAGTAGGACCTCGTTGTCCTCGTTTTCGAATGGGAACCAAATCCTTTTATAATGAATCCTTCAACAATATTTGACTATTTGAATTATTTTCTTAAGATAGTTATTTTTCAATTCGCTGACTGGAATTACTCGTCAGCATATCAAATTATCTTGATTGTGATGGTACTCTTAATTAACGATGTTCAGTCTTAGGAGTAACAGGATCTAGTCTATTCATTGTTTACTGATCTTATTAACTTGAATCGAATTTGGGGATAAGTCCCTTCTTTTTCCTTTCTTTCTTATCAGTATTTCTCTTAATCTGAGTGATGATTTACCACGTAATCAATTCTCCTTTACCCTTAGCATTGACTTTCCTCTAATTAAACTATAAGTCTGGCATGTTCAATTCCATATAGGCTTCATTAGAAATGGTGACTTCTCCATCTTAGCCAGTGGAACACACTCTGCTTGTTGTGTTAACAGTGTCACCAATTAATGAGAACTGAGGCTTGTGGTGTCCAATAACTCCAGCAATCACTCTGCCATAATGAATGCCAATTTTAATTCTAATATTGCCAGTCTAGCCAAACTTGAATTTCTTGGAATATTCCATCATCTCAAGGGATAATTAAACTGCCTTCGAATATAGGATAATGAATTTACTCTTTTCACAGCGCTTTGGTTGATGAATTTTGTGCCTTGATCCACTGCTCTCAATCCTCCAGCTGCCATGTAGGTCTTTCCTACAGTCTCAATCTTTTGCATCCCATTAGAAACACACAAAGCATCAAATCCTCTGAATAGACTATCCAATAGATTAACAACGTTCTCCTTCTCAACTGCAATCAAATCATCAAATCCACATATGTCACAGAATAGAATGGAGACTTCTCCTTGATTCTCCTGTATCTCATACATCCCCTCTTAAAATATCATATTAATATCTTACTTGCATTGATCCTATCTCGAATGAACTTAGGCAATAGAATGGACAGCACATTGGTCATTTGTGTGGTCTCCTGATTGAGTGTTGCAGTCAACATGAAATCCTACTTCTCCAGCATATTCAATTTGTATTGCAAGGATATGAATAGGATTAGAGTTATCAGCACTATCAAATTGCCGTTGATTATCTGGTAGTAATCCTTTCCAGCCAAGAATTTTCTAAAGAATCCTACTATGGACAAGGTAGCTATGGTAAAATTAAGCAATGGGATGTGCAATTTCGAAAAGATTATGATCACTATGTAGGATTGACTCAATAGGATGTCGTAGGTTCCATCCTATGCAAAATCAGACACCATTTTGGTTAGGAGTCTAATGCAAGCTATAATTAAATTGATTTAAAAGAAATGTTTCAAGTAGATACTTGAAAATATTGTTATTAGTAATATGGATTGGCAACTTATGCTTAGGATGTATATAATGAAGTAAGTCCTGGTTTAAACATCAGTTTTGTAGGTTAATATATATATGATTAGAGCGAAGACTTCCAAAAAAATGAGTTATAACCCTAATTTGAGTTTCTCGAATTTGATCCACCTCAATTTGGACATCCTTTTGAACTTCATCTCTGTGTCCTTGTTTAGAAATCTCAAGGTCAGTTTGTTGATCCTATCAGAATTCACCTTTAGTTCGCATATCACATCCTATATTGCAATATCCATCTCATCCTTATTCTTTTTAAACACCTTTCCAGCCAGTTATGCGAATCTTTTGATCAAATTATGATACTTTTTGGCACCGTTTTTGGGTGGTTTCACAATGAAATTCTAAACCTCCTCGTATTGCTCTTTATCAATGAGGGATTAACAAAAGAGGGATTGAATCATCTCAATGATACTACTAAAACAGTATTGTGTAAAAACATAGGAAAATAGAGCCAACCAAGTTTGTGGCAATGTGAACATGAGTATAAAGCCATCCATATTGTCGAAGTATGCAGTGAGAATTGCCATCAGGAGCCAGCATAGACAGTATGTGCTAATAAAGGCAATCCAAGCATATTTGCTGTAATTAGTAGAGACAATCAACTTAACGATATCGCTCAGTATCAACAAGATTAGGAGCATTTGCTTGAAAGTGTCTATGGGAATGTCGTCCAATATTCTTAGGGAAATGTAGAGCAAGACTGCATCCAATAAGGCATTTCCGTTGATCTTGAGGATGAAGGAGGCGACCTTCTTCTTTTTGAATATCTTAATGTTGTTCTTGAATTATTCTATGTAGGTAATTGAGTCTTTATCATATTATCTTCGCATTTTCGATTTCAAACTTACCAATTGTTGAATAAATAAGAGGATGCTTTAATATACAGTGAGCCAAGTACCTGTAAATATAGTGTTGTTCTAACTACAATAGGTTGCATAATAGAGAAATAATATATAAATTATAAGTAATGATCTATAAAACGAGAAAACTAATAAATCATCATAGACTTCAGCAAATATTCTGCTCTCAAAAAACATTAAGGCACTTAAATTAACATAATCCTTCAAACAAACATCAGCAGTGGGTATGATCCACATTTCATTTTATAAGAATTTACGATTTAAGGGATTATCCAATAATTTATTAGAAGTGACTTTCCTGTTTAACTTTAATTTTGTATTGCCCCTCTAATAAGACTGATTCTACATAGGGAAATGGCAAAACTGCACTCCAATATTGGCTTGACAAAACATGTGAATATCATTAAATGAGTCGCCAACAGCCAAAACTCGTTTGTTGCCAATAAAGGAAGTCTAGATGATATTGATGATCTTAGCCTTCTGATTGTAATTAAGTTTATAAGCCACCAAAGAATTGCTAAAATAAAGCAGAAACATAAAGTGAGACAATAGGTAACTGTCAGAGAGGATGTCATTGAAATACTCACCACTCAAAACAATGCTAAACGATTTGATATCAGGATAGGTTGTATACTTCTCCTCTTAAGTGAAAGTCTTATGATACTTGTCAAGAGTGCTCATTCTCAAGGGTTTGGACGATGCCTGTTCATCCAATTTAAGTTATTGTGAGATGATGGTAAGATGGTTCTTCATCACCACTCTAGCATTCTCGTTGTCTAAGTAGAGCAGAGTGTCATGATGATTGACTATTTTTGATTTGAAAGCGATTGGCAATACTCTGCTGATTTCATCTCCACTCAAAAGATACAAACTGAGATCAGCCTGTTTCATTTGATTAATCAAAGGTTTGGTGTCTTTTCGCATCTATTCCTTGACACCAACAACTTGGATTATCTGCATATCTTTGGAGAGTTCATTAAAAGCATTCATTCCTTCTTCTCCTTGATAACGAGACATAAACAGACTTGCATCTTTCTCCTTTAAGTACACTTTGGAATAGATTACTGATCTCATTCCACACATGTGTAATTTCTGGAATACCTTATCCCAATATTCCCTGCTTCCTTTATCAACATCAATGTAGACAGGCAATGAATTGGTTTCTTCTCTCATAATAAATATGTATTGTAAACTTTCCATTGGATCACTCTCATTAATCAATAGAAACTTCTCTTGCAATTTATCAGGATAGAGTACTAACACTCCCTGCTGTGTGCCATTATGATAATTGGCCATAACCTGAAATTCCAACACTTCACCAAAGAAATCGATTATATAGACCACTTTACCATTGAATTCATTGCAACATAAAAATTTAATGTCCAACAGACTGACAAATCTTAGGAGTTCCTAATCAAATGTAAATTGTGTTGAATCATGCATGAAATGATCTTCACTTGGAGAGTATCTGGAAACAATCTCTTAACACAAAAGGAGTGACAAAATGGCTTCCTAATACAATAACTTATTCAATCCATGAATAAGATGCTTATAGAAATCATTCTCTCTTGAAAAGATCACTTCCAAGTCCTCCTCAGCAACCTTATCCATTTGCATAGACTTTTTAATGCTCTGTTATCTCTTCATATCTCTTGATGAATTCTCCAGTATCTTCCTACTCATTATCGATTTGTTATCAAATGATCTTTGCTCATCCTTATAAGATGATTACTTGATGAGCATTTCATCCTCTTGAAGTTAGTGCAAACCCCCTTAACTAGCACCTACTTAGACAGGAGCAGTAGCAAGGGCCTTCTTATTGAAGAATGGCTTTGGTTTATTAGTACATAGTTCAGGAGTGATTCTGTAATGAGTGTCATCAAAATCTTCCAATTTCATATTCTCAAATTCTCCATCTCCGTCATCCATTGGATTTGCAATACTTTTACTACTAGCCAAGTCTTGTCTCCCTGATTCATAACTGGGTATCTTCTTTGAAGTCCTGTGTTGAATAGTCAATTTGAATATTCCTGTATGTCTAATCTTTTTAGATTAAATCTCAGGATCTGACTCGTCAATCTCCTCCATCTAAAAGTTTGGATCCTGTTTGATTTAGTTTTGAATGTTTTCCTTAAAGATATTCCATTAATTTTTATTCATTTTGTTGTAACTGAACTTATACATTGTATCTTCCACTATCAGAGCATGAATCCTACATTCTCCAGTAGTGATCGTCCCTGTCTTATCGAAACACACATATTCTGTCATTACCATGTCTCCAACAGATACTGGATTTAATTGCATATAATCAATGCTGGTACTCTGGAATCCCTTGTATTTTGTAAACTTGAGGTGTGCATTTAATACTTCAATTAAATCAATGCAATTGTAAAAGTATATTGGAGTTGTCTTCAAATACTGAAGCAAATAGAAAACTAGAGTGATGATATCAAAATCAGCTTGATTGTATGGTAAACATGCTGCAAACGAAGCGAGAAACCAACTGAAAATTGATATGATCAACGATATCCCAAGAGTGAGTGCAAAAAACATACTGGATTTCTTAACAAAAAACGATTTCTTTTCCTACTTCTCCATGTTCAAGTAACAAAAACAATTATTGCCAGTCTGCAATACCACTCCAATCACATATTAGCATGTCTTCAATTACTCTTCTCTAAATATGATATTTCTATTCTCGAATTGCTCCCCCTTGGGATCCTTTTTCAATTTAATAAATCCGAATATCTAACCATCTTGAATGTTGTACTGAATGCTACCTGTTAATAGCTTCTTGTAATCAAACCCTTGCAATCTGTTTCGCCCATTCTTTAACATTGTCAATTGTGTTGGTTACCTGGTCTGATCCATAGTTTGACCTCTGAAATTTTAAGTTTATACTTAAAGAATTTCATCTGACACATCCAACAACAACATGTCAGCCGGGCAAATTTCATTTCGTTTTAAATAGATGATATCACCCAATTCCACTTAATCCCATGAACAATTCTCATATAACGATGTCTTAGGCTTTTTGAAAGATGATTATTATTGTTGTTACTACTGAGTGATCAATTATTTGGGTTTGTCTCTTCTTAGTCTACGAAAACGAGTCACCTTTCGACCATTGACAACAAAGTCCTCCTTTCTCTTGATATGATCAAAGTAAAGAGCTTTGGATATTTATAGCACCAAATGCATTGTTAGAGGCACTACATACACTACAAGTTCTTCACTAGTTGCTCCAAATACAGAAAAATGGAGAATCATCACAATAAAATAAATTACTACTCCGATCCGTTCAAATTATTTGAAAAACAGGTTTAATACTGAAAAATTAATGTAAGTGCTCTTAACCTTGTTTCCTTTATTGCTCATGATATTCATACACTCTCCCTATTCCATTTCTAGCTGTGATACAAAGACTTAGTTACATGATACTTATATTTCACTTGCTTTGTGGCGACATGCTGAAACTTGGTCTTCAAATATTCAAATATCAAAAGTGAAAGCTATTTCATAAATTATTTTAATATACTTTTTATTTTTACTAATATTAAAAAACATCCTAATATGATCAAATCATAATCGTATCACTATCTAATTTACATCAACCCACCCTTTACACCTTCAATAGTATTCCCAAAATTATCTAATCTTGGATTAATTGAATTTTAATTATCTTTATATTTCCAAGCTTAGGTATCCATCTTTTCATATATGATATCGCACTTTCATCTATACCTTTTTTTAGCTGTTTCCATGTTGAATTAGTCCATTAAAGACAAGATTTTAGAAGAAAATCTTGTATCAATAAATTAGACATTTCTGCAAAGAACAGCAATAAAATGGAAACTTGATAAATGGAGAGGAAAAAGAATCGAATTTTGAGATTAGATATTCAACCCTATTGCTAGGGGAATTTTTGGCTATTGATTCTGTTGAATTTTTAAATTATAGCTGAAATAAAGAATTATTAAATTACTCAAACATTTAAGATTTGTTTATTTAGGTCATACTTTCTCATTTGCAGCAAATTCTTATAACTATAATACTAGAATACTTATTATTATTTACACTCACTTAACAGATTAAACTATTATTGCATATAGGGGAATAATTATTAAATATTGTAAAATTGTCTGAAAAGTACGAATAAATTTGTAACATTTAGAATTTGAGTTTTGATTGATTAATTATGAATCAAATCCAATAACAATTAATGTTCTATTTGCAATCAAAGATTTAAGAAATATGTCCGTTTTTCGTTGATAGAAGGCAATATCATTTAGTTTTTATTTATATATTCTTACAGAATTCAATCCAAATTTCAGTATTGATATTGATTTTTATTTTCAAACCTTATAAATAATAGAGCAATAAGGATGATAATTCCTTAATTTAAAAAAAAATTTTTGATTTTCTAATATCTTTTTATATAATATAGGAAAAATTCTGTATTATGTGTTTTAAATTCATCCTCATTATCAAATTCATATTGAATCCCTGTATTTCGTATTACTTTTCCATAATAAACTACGCACAAGTCTACTAATATGTTTTAATATTTTTGAATAATTTGAATTATAAGTTGGCATCTAATTACTATGAAAATATTTACATGTAATCTAAAATTTTTAAGCCAATCATTCATCCTTTTGATTTAATATATAATTACTATCTTTAAGCATCCTCTGAAAAACTACTATTGGAGGGTACTTTATCAATTAGACTAATGACTCATTCTAAATAATGAATAAGAACAAAACTTGTATAATCATATCAAATAGATAGCCAACTAATTAAAAACCACCATAACATTTTGACTTGATTCATAAAAATTAACAATATCTCAAAAAAGTGTATAGGAATTAAATTAAATTATAATATAGCCATAGAATATGCTCAATCAATTAAAATTTCTATTAACAATTAAAGTACAAAGACTCTTAAAACCAACCTTGACTCCTTTAAATATGACTTTGCTCATATATGTATTTTTGAATATTTACTAAATATTAGTTATCATAAACAGTACCTTGTAAAAGTTTACGAAATAATTGATTATCTTTCTTTATGTTAATATCAATAGGATGAATCAATAAAAAATAAGTTTATCAAATAATTCAGAATTAAGAATATATTACTATAATACAAAGTTTTATTATTTTTAATACAAATATGATAAATCAAAATTGGGTGTGTAATAAAAACCCTTGCTTTTGGATTCTTTAATTGATGTTACTCTTTAATGCATATGTTGAATATATTTTAAAAAAGATGATAATTTTAATTAATATATATTTGAAATTTTATTAACTGCTATGAGTTCAGACTAGTCAATTGATAATAATTCCAATCATTGGGAATAATTTGAATAATTCAGAAAAAAAATCACATAAGAATGCTAGAGCGAAGAAAAACACTTTAAAACTAAAAGGGATTCTTACACCTCATTAGAAAAAATCAAAAAATCTCCAGTTCATGATGAAAGCGGATCTAAGGAATTGCAATTCATAGTAGATAGCAAACCTCCAATTCTTGTATAACCAAGTGAAGCTGACAGAATTGTTAAATTGAGAATAGAGAATTAAGAATTGAAAGAAAAATTAGAGAAATATGAGAAATATGAACAAGAGCATCAAACAAATTCAGATGAGCTAGAGCTGATCAAATAGGCGCATGCAAAGCAATTAAAGTCATAAAAGGAATACTACGATGTTGAAAATAATTAGTTAAAAAATAAAATAAATTCGTTCAATGAAGAATTGGAAGAATTAAAAAAAGTATATAAAGAAAAAAATATGAAATTGTATAATCTTGTACTCCAATTAGAATAAGTATTTATTAATTTTAATTCAATAGGAAAAATAACAATTGATAGACAAGAACATTTAGTTACTAGAGAGTAGATAATAAAGCTCATAATAAGATATTCATCATCTTGTTGAAGAGAGAACCAGAGTATTGAGTGAGCAAATTTATTAATTAGAGGAGAGGAATGCAAAATTATAGGTAGAGAAAAGTAAAATCGAAGATAAATATATGAACTTATTGAATGGAAAATAGTAATCGCAACAAAAAACATTAAGATCAGAGAGATCTGAAAGGAAAGAAACTAAGAATTGTGACACAGATCGTAAGTCAGTTGAAAAGCTAAATCGATCTTCATTACAGAGATCTGATTGCAAACCTCCAATGCCTACATCAGTTAGTTAAAGCTTTGAGTAACTTCCACCAAATTAAAAATCAATATTGAAACCCTCTAAATTAAATATTTCTTCAAAAGAGAATCTCTAAACAATGAATCACTCAAAAATACTTGATACACCTAAATCAAACAGAAAATCATCTAGAGCATAATCTTCTGTTACTAAAAAAGCAACTAAGCCCTAAAGTTAAACATAAAAAGTTGTCAAAAAGAAATAAATTTATTCTAAAATTAAATGAAAATTAATATTTGTTAATTATAATATAAAATTTGAATTTGAAATTCTTTTATTTTCAAAGTATTATTATGCTCATCTGAAAATGCAAAATACAGTATAATTTTAGAAATAAAACCTTTTAAATTATTTTGAGTTATTACATTAAACATATCTTAAAAAATTAAGAGAATATCAATATTAATTGAATTTATTATGATTTAATCAAAATCTTTCTCCTCTGATTCTTCTAGCTAATTAAATATCTCTTGACATTATTGTAACTCTTCTTGCATGAATTGCACATAAGTTGGTGTCTTCAAATAATCCAACAAGATAAGCTTCAGCTGCCTCTTAGAGTGCTAAAACAGCTGAACTTTAGAATCTGAGTTCCTTTTGGAATTCATGTGCAATTTCTCTGACCAATCGTTAAAATGGGAGTTTTCTGATCAAGAGTTCTGTTGATTTTTGGTATTTTCTGATTTCTCTAAGGGCAACGGTTCCTGGTCTGAATTTGTGTGGCTTTTTCAAACCTCCTGTAGCTCCAACGGCTGGTGCTGTTTTTCTTGCAGCTTTGGTGGCCAAATGTTTTGTGGGCTTTTTATTGCCAGCAGTACTCTTTCTTGCAGTCTACTTAGTTCTAGCCATTTATTATTCCTTAATTTATTTTTGAATTTATTATAAGGTTTATCAACATTATTAAAATAAGTGATTCTCTCTTATGATTGGTCGGTTTAGAATAAGTTGCATAAACTATATTTATATTTATGATAATATAGAAATTATATTCATAAAAATAAACCTAAATTTAAAACTTTTATTTATTAATCTTTCATATAATTGAAAATACTACATCAAAACAAGGTAGAGAGATGTTAAGATTATTTTTAAATGAATTCTTTTTTGATTTTTAATATAGTTTATTATTTTATAGTTCTAATGGAATATTTGATTTTAAGTAGGTTAGAATGCTCATAATATTTGAGTAATAAGTTCACATTTCTAAATAATAAATCTGTTAATTCTCAACTATATATTATCATGCATTTATTCATATAATGAAATAATTTATTCTTTAATTCATATTTTCAACGTTTAAATCAAGAATTAATGAAATAACATTTAATGAAATAGACAATATTGTTTTTTGGAATATTTATGCAAATTCAAATATCATAAATAAAATTTAAATTTCAATTTATTTTTAGATATATATACAATATTCACAAGACAAGTGTTCTACCTAATGCAGAAGCTATTAATTCAATTCCTAAAGCCACTGTTTATGTTCCTTGAATGCGACCAATCTATTTTCAATATTTTATAATACTTATTAAAAGTCACCAAAAAACTCTTCTCTAAATTCAGGGGTTGTTTCCAATTAAGGATTTACTTCAACCAAGTCCATTCCTACTAATTATTTTGATGATGCTAATTTCCTAAGTAAATAGTGAGCTTCTCTATAAGTAATTCCTCCATCCACAAGAGTACCAGTTCCATGTGCAAATTCAGGGTCAATTGAATCAACATCGAAACTCACATGAATAGGTTTTCCTTCAAATTATTTAAGAATTCTATTCATCACTTACCCAATACCCAATTCTATGATTTCATCCATACCATAATATACTATCTTCTAGTCTCTAATAAATTCTCTTTCCATAGGATCTATATCTCTAATGGCAACGTAAATGAGATTCTTTGGATCCAATCTGTGCTTTAACCACTCAAAACCTTTTGATTGGTTCTACTATGGAACCATATAGATGAGCCAATGGCATTCCATGATAATTTCTATTTGGTCCAATCTCATAATTGCAATCAGCGTGAGCATCTACCCAAACAACTCTTAAATCATCTCCATAATGTTGTAACAAACCATGAATGGACCCACTGGCTACACTATGATCTCCTCCAATATTCAGCATGAATTTATTTTGTTTAGCAATATCAAAGGATTTCTTATTGATTTCTCCATTGATAACACCTATTTGTTGACTGTTACGAAACTATTGACTTTTGACGTTGTGGAGTCTGTAATTCTTACCTTAGATATCTCCCATATCATTAATTTCCCAACCCAAATTATACAAGGCTGATATGAGACCACCCTCTCTGAGTGCTCTTGGTGCCAATTCTGTTCCTGTTTTTGTTTATCCTTCATGAACTGCAGAACCAAACAATCCAACAGCATTACGAACGAATTTCCACTGATTCATTAAAACCAGAAATATTTTTTTATATTTTAACTTATATCACGGCTTATATTTTCATAACAATCCCTACTTTTTTAAATCATAATAAGTTTTCTTATTTAACAGATTTCCATCTGTATCCTCATATTCCTCCTCATATTCTGGTCTGAACTTGCTTCTTTCCTGATCGTATTGGATTTTTTTGTACAAACTGATAGCATCTTAAATTTTAGTGATTTCCTTAAAATGCAAAGTATTTGGTATTCTCAGACATCTAAAAAATTACAAAATCATATACCTCATGCCATAAGAATGTCTCCAACCTTGAAAATGATCCTCAAAAGCCTTCCTTCCCCAATAGGATGTATTTCCACATATTTCGCATTTATATTCAACACCCAAACCATGTAATTTGTATAGCCAATATGGAATAGGTCTTCCATCCCATCCCAATGGTAAATTCTTTGGATTATAGATTGGACTTTCATCTTCACTACTGGCTTCTTCAGGTTGATCTATATTATATAATTATTATATGAACCTAATTATTAATCTTAGACTGGAACAGCCTCATCATCTTCATTTTCTTCATATCTTCTACTTTATTTCTTTCTCACTAAATTCATTGTGTCATTCAATTGTTATTATAGGGTATCCTTATATTATAAGATGGCCACTTCTAAATAAGCCATCTTCTTTTTCCTTTGTCCTTCATTGTCTTCCTTGGGTAATTCTTATTGATTGCTAGCTTAAATGACTTGTTCTATTTGTTTTTCTTTTAGTTTAGCCAATGCTTTGTGTTTTTTTGCCATCAAAATGATTTACGAAGGTATTTTCATTTTAGAATTTCTTTTGACATGCTTCACAATTAATGAGGATGTCCTCTGATTTCTTCAGTCTCTTCTTTTCGATGTTCCCAACCCTTAACTTAACCATTTTCCCATTAGGTTTAAAATTCAATATCTATTTTTTATTCAATCTTGCTAACATCTTATAAAGGATTTACCTAAAATAAATTAATGATCTACTCTTTAATTAAAAACTACGCAAAATAATCCAACATATTGATGAGATATCTCTTGTATTTACTTCCTTCCTTTTCTTTGATATAGAGTGGGATATCATGAAAATTTTAAAAGTTTTGCAAATACCACAAATAATCCCCAATTTTGATTTTGTTACTTTCCTTTAACTTTTTGAGATTCAAGAATTCCTTATAGCTAGCATGCATATCAAGAAATCTACCATGATGTTCTTCTCCGGAGAAATAGGGTTCTTTGAATGGCGGTGCAAATGCTTATTCATAGTAAAATTCGACCTGCACAATTTTATATTAAGATAACATACTTTATTTTGCATAGTTTAAACATTGGTGACTCTCTTGTGATAATCCTTGATTTCCTTAAATCTTTCGTAGAAGTTTTCCCAGACATCACCAGAGCCTCCAACTCCTTAGAGATAATTCATCTCTTCCTTCTTCCAACCATCGGCACCATCAATTAATATCAACGCATCGGCTGCTGTCTTCTGCGCCATTTAAATCAAATTGTGGATTCTATGATCCAGCAGCACGGACTAATTTGGAATCACTTGTTTGCTCTGCATACAAAATACAATGGTCTTTTCAATGACTTCGATCTGAGAAAAGGCCGCTCTCACCTATTCCAAGTAAGTGCTTGACATTAAAATATTATTGAATATTAATTAAATTATACAATGATATATTAAAAAATTAATAAAACAATCAAATTCTTTCGATTGTATTAAATATTTTGATTATCACTATGCATTTTAATCTATTTAGAATAATTATTCAAACAAAAAGTGAAGGTCTACATGTGAGAAATTGAAAAATCCAAAAGATTATGGAAAAGTATGCAAAAAGATAAAATAATTTTAATTTATGAAATACCTCAACTACGATTTTATTGCATCCACACATTTACATTACTTGAAGAGTTATCGTTATAAGGGTACAGATCAGTCCCTCTTATACAATTACATCCTCTCTCCTTTCGCTGAATTATGGCTAAGATTTGTACCCATGAATGTTGCGTATTCGAATTTGATCCAACCCTTATTATTAGACCTAATGTATTAACATTGATGGGACTGGCATGTATAATCTTACCACATATACTCTACTTTTTTGTGATGGGTGACAACTTTGCGGGATTGATACCAAATTGGTTGCTCTGGCTTACAGCCCTCTTGCACATGCTCTATATGGTAATATATGTATACTAAGAAGAATTTCGACAATTTGGACGGAAAGCAAGCTAGGAGAACAAGTAAAAATAAAATAAATGTTTATAAGAAAATTCCTCACCTCTGGGAATGATTTTGGATCACAATTTCGATTCCATGATCATCTTGCTATAGGGTATTCATCTTGCTTTTATGTTCTTCCAATAGGCACTAGCATGACTACTGCAATGCAATTTGGCAATACCATTTTCTCCGTCATCCTCTACATTATCCCCTCTGTACCATTTTATATCATCGCTCATGAAGAATATTACACACACGAGATGAATTTGCCAATTATCAACGCGGCCGCAGAAGGTACCGTAAGTGTGGCCGTAATCTTTGCAGCAACTGCCTATTATGGTATTGATTAACACTTAATTAGGATGCGACATGTGGGTATAAAAATTGCCATGGTTCTTCAATTATCAGATCAACTAATTTGTTATGCTTATTTTCATTATTTCGGTTATTATAACTATGCCAGCTGTGTAAAATATACGCTTTAAACTATTAGGTTCCTCAAAATCAAAAAGTTTACTTCCATCACTTCCTTATTAAAGTAACTAAGATATTTTTTCATTTTTAACATTGTCATTCTCTACAGCATCATATTTTCTCAAAGTAATGTGATTTAAAATCATGTCAGAGCTTATATGTATACTGTTGGATTCACTATGTCAAAAGCAGTTGGTGTTGTTGCGCTTAATCATGTCAGTAATCAAAAGTTACCAGAATATTAAAATTCAATTTACATCTATGTTGTCATTTTCCTGAATACAATTTCCGGATAAATACTTGGGCAATCTATTATCAACGAAGGATTTTTAATTTAATTTGCTGCCACTGCTAGTTTTTTAATTCATATTCATTTTCTATATAATGTGGCAAGATAAATATCCGAAGCACTAAACATTAAAATTTTTTAAATCAATTCAATAAACAAATGACATTATATAAATAAATGGCTTTATGGAAATTATTTATATATTTCACTTATTTTACTGTTCCGAGCATTCTCCTAATTAGTAGATCTGCAGTGCCAAACAAATCGCAAGACCCCTTCCACTAATACAAATTCTCTAAGTTTGCCAACCCTTCTCAAGATTCCGTACCAATCTACCAAAACTAAATATCCATTCTCCCACATCAACAGAAGTATCAATTAAACATGAACCAAATTTCAAATGATCCATATCAGACTATTTATTAAATTCATGCATAATAACTATCAAGCTAGCCCTCCTAGCTCAGTTGGTCAGAGCGTTGGCCTTTTAAGCCAAATGTCAAGGGTTCGACCCCCTTGGAGGGCGGTTCTTTTTTTTATTAATTTTTTAATTAATTATTTAATAATTAACATAACAAACACAAAAGAACTTAATAATTCAAGAGCCTATTAAATTGACTAAGAAACTAATTCAAATTCTAATAAAGTCAAAAATTTTGCAAATTTTCTAATAAAATCAACAGTTAATGAATTTTGATTATTACTCACATAATGCAGATTTAAGTAGAATTGATATGTTAGAAATACTATAACCATATTATAAATCTAATTTTGAAATAAAAATAATTTAAGAGAGCATTACGTTTTCATTTAAAATCTGTTAAGACTCTTCTTTTAATTTTGATGAAAAAATTGAATAGCATTTGTTTAAAAATCATATTCTTTATCACTCCAATTTTTGCAATAGTAATTCATATTTGTTTAATTATTTATTAATTAAATTCAAACTTAAAAGAAATCATTTTACTCTAAAGATTACTAAATTTCTTATTGGGATTTCAGAATCAATTCATTTGATTGATGCTTCATATTTTGTTCTAAAATCTCTAAGAATTCCTACTTGGTATGTAAATCTACTAGCTTATTTAACTATTTTACCTTATTGAACTTATTGTTCTTCTCCATCAGTTTCAATCTCTTCTTCGATGTCCTCAAAAGTTAAATTTGGGCATGATAGGATTATTTAGGTCTCTTTTGTTATTCCCATGTCTTTTAAGAGCTTATTGCCTTTAAATGGCACTTTTTTCCCGTCATAGTAGAGATGACCATGGTTAATAAATTTTTACCAGTCCAATTCATATTCAGTGTTGGAGAACAGAAAAGTTCGAAATTTATTCAAATCCATCCAAGGACATGCTGGCATTTTGATGGCCAGCAGCTTACTCTTATCATCTAATTCTACAATCACCAAAACCAAGTAGAATATCTCATTGCAAACGCATAATCCCTCTTCTAAATTGTCACAAAAGGAGTAATTTTTTAAACCAGGTAGAACTTTAGTAACAAACACGATTACTTCATAATCTAAATTCATTTTTCATCATACTGTTTACCTGCATTATAATACATTTTGAGAAATTTCCAAACATCTATTGAAACAATTTCGTAATCTTGACAATAAATAAGCCCTGGTATCAACTTAAAAACTCTATGAAAATTAATTTTATATTATTCAGGTATCAAGAAGCCATCTAATTTTGGATCAATTTCATAAATAGTGTCATAGATATTGTGATTTTGAATTGATCCTATTTTTGAAATATCAACTCCGTTTGGATTCATTAAGAGAGTCTTAAAATTTCTGAACCTGAAAATTAATATAAACCAGTACCATTTTGAAGAGATTGCATACGCATATCCTTCTTGAATTGTAGAATTCACAGAATAAAATCCTTTGCTAAATTAATTATCAAACATTTACTCCGTATAATAATTATTTTAAATTAATCATCTAAAATATAATTTTATTATTAATATACTTACAAGCAACAATATAATAGACTAATTAATTACAAAGGTCGTAAATCTAGTAGATATTAGATTAAGAAACTATTTTCTTAATGAATTTAGAATCAGATAATTACTAATTAAAAAAAATTAAAAAATGGAAGATCTCCTTGAAAAAAAAATGTTGAAAGAAACTTCCTTGATAAATCACTTACATCAAAAATTTTAATGCAAATAATGAAATGTGAACTATTAATGTTGAATCAAATAATCAGGAGATTCTTGGATTGCAAACTTTAAACATTCTATCTTGAGTTATAACTTCTAAACTGAGAATTAAAATTATATCCTATCTTTCTAGAGATTTTATCATCTGCAAAAAGAAATTAAACTGAAACTGTTGATATTGATATTCTTACATTTCAAGACCTAAACAGATAAAAAACAACTCTTAATGGCAAACAATAAAATTATTTGATTCTGAGTTGCATAGATGAATTTGATAAAGTTCATCATTCATAGCCCCTTAATTACAAGGACATTTAAAAACCTAGCTCAATAATAATCAGCAACTACTGTGAATAACTAGATGTGTAATGAATTGAGATTATCATATTTGCAAAGTTAGAATGCAAATGCTAATTTGGTTAAAAGTGATTAAAGTAGAGGCTTAACTATTAAAAGATATAGACGAAAACTGTGCATTAAAAGCGAGGAGAAAAAATATACAAAGAATATCTTCTTTGGGATAGGAACCACAATATGTTCAAATTTATTTAAAAGTAAAAGGCTGCCAAAATAAACGATTCCAATAAGTTCGATGGTTCAGAGGAATAGAAAAAATAAAAAAAGATAATAGTAACTACTCCGTCCTGTAGACTGTAAGCAAGCTGTAAAGTTCTGCACAGTATTGATGAAAGATTAAACAATTAAATACTCTATTATAAAAGGCAAACTATTTATTTTATATTAAATTTTTCAGAAGATAAATGAAAGATGAAGATCTTAGGAAGATTAATTATAACCTTTTAAAATGTGAATTTAGTCCTGAGTCCTTTCAAGAGGATTTTACATTATTTTTGTACCTAATAGTCTCTTTTTCAAACTTGATATTCAATCAGCATTCTTGATTCAAAATAACTAAACTATTGGAATATTTTATTTGTTGCAATGGTATGTTCATTTTCAAATTTTTAACTCCAAACTTACAGCACACAATATTTAGATATAAAAGTTAATTTTTAAAAAATTGAAATCAGTGAAACACTCATTTTATGATTAAAGAGCAAATCATTTAAGATATAACAAAAAACATCAAAAAAATATCAATCTTTATTTTTGCACTCTTTAAATTTCAAGTTTTTAATCTCTCAACTTTAGGCACTTTACTAATAAATCTTAAAATAAACCATAGAGAATGTATAATAATACGCTTAATTAATATTATTAATGAGATTTCCTCTTAATTAGTTAGCCTTCATTATCATAAGAGAAGGTATTTTTTTATTTTAGCGTAATTCAGAATTAGACTATAAAATAAGATTTTAATGTAATTGATATTTCACTTCTTAGATAATAAATTATTTCTCTGTATTTCGTTATCTTTAAATTATCTAATTTTTGATTTTCTATTCCATTCGAAAAATTCATTTATTATTAAAGTATGAGTGATATTTCTTCTTTATCAGATATATATTATTATGATGAAAAGGGGTTTATAAAAAGTTATTATACAATGATTGATAAATATAATATATAGATTATTAACGAATGCTTTGCAGCAGACGAGTCCGTTCCCATGATTCATCACTCACAAATTTGAATGCCTACAATCAAAATTGTCAAGTAAGAGTGCATATCGACCATCAACAATTTAAAACCCTTAAGTGTGAGAGTTAACATCAAATCGATTAAAAAAAGTTTTGTCCTTTTTTTCATGATGAATCTGACCGAAGACGCGATCTTAAGGAGCAATCATACTAGTAAATAGGAATAACAATTATTTTTTTTATTTATAGATGCTAATTGTGTCCATAAGCAAATAAATGCCCAAGAGGAGATTAGTGCTAATGGTCTCACAATAAGGTTGAGCAAGTCTATCACCCAAATCGATATAAAACAAAATATTGTACTCATTTAAAGGATTGTGAATATGGGGTTTACTGCTCATTTGCTCATTCGGAGCAAGAGTTAATTATCCCAGTAAAATTGGATGGAATGGTTTAAGATAAAAATTTTTGGCTGTATCAATATAAAACAGTGTGGTGTCCTCATACGGTCAAGTAAATTTAATTATTTTTAACGTGATAGTCATGATAGAGCATCTTGTGTATATGCTCACAATGCTTAGGATTTTAGAAGAGATCCAAAAATATTGCAGCCAAAAGAATGTCCTCATTGGAACAAAACAAATCAAATTTTAAATTATGACAAGGGAGGATGTCCAGATTAAGAAGCCTGCCAATATTGTCATGGATGGAAGGAGTACGAATACCACCCTTTGATCTATAAAACTAAGCCTTGTACATAGTAGAGCTGTTCGAAGAAATAAGGAGAATGTGCTTTCTTTCATTCTGAATAGGAGAAAAGGTAAATATAAAGTGTGCATTTAGGGTGCGCAAGTAAGTTGCAGAAAACTCTTGGGTTATTGAAGAACCCAACATTCATCTAGAAGCGAAAAGACAGCCCTACAAAAACACCTCAAATTATTCGGGGCCTATCATACCCAATTATATTCCTTAAGATTACTAGAACAGGGAGAAGATGGAAATAGGATAACCCTTTTGTTAATAGTCACTCACCAACACTAAAACTTCTGATTCTCAATCTAGAAGAGGTTCTGATTTTTCAGATGGTTACAAAACACAAAAGAAGAAACTCAATAGTTAATAACAACAATATTAATCTCAAAAAAAGCCTCGCACTGCTCCTGTTACTCCAGACCAAAAATAGTTAATGGGTAGCAATTACACTATGAAAATACAAAATAATGTACAAACTAATTCTTATCTTACTTATTCGAAAAAACTCTATGAAGAAATTTTGAAGTTACAAGAAGTATTAATTTTACATCAATTTTTAGGGAGAGTATATCTATAAGATTCTCTAAGGTTTCAAAATATAAGAGAAGAGGCTTATGTAGATGAGTGATGAGTAAATCCAGGAACTCAATCTCACTGAGCATCAAATAACTCAACTTATTTAGGCATTAACAGCCATAAAATAAGAACAAAGATATGATGAAACTTGTGGAGATGAAATTCTTAGTTTGATTTCAAACTAAGGCAAATTTTGAAATTTTCAATATACATAAATATGACCAAAAATCAATTTTTCCAAATTAATAATAACTAAATGAGCTGGTAGTAAAAATTGAAAAAATAAATTGGAACATAACCATACTCAGAAATTAAGCAACTAAGATTCAACAATCTCTAACTCAACAAACTCCCAGAGGATTTTGTTTCTGAACTTCATAAATGTACAAATCTGGAGATTCTTAGTTTAAATTAATGTGGTATCAGATCTCTTGAAAATTTGTAACAAATGTGTTCTGTCACTCAACTTGAGTATTTGGACAACTTTACAACTTCAAAGACCTTACAATAAATTGCCAAGACATTTCCCAATCTTGAAGTATTAATTGCAGGAGGGAATTTTTTAAGAGAATTGAGAGACTTAGACGCTCTGAAACCTTTGACCAAATTAGAGACTCTCAACATTATGAACGGCATAAACAAACCAGTATTCCTTTATTTGTGATTTAAAAGGATTCAGATATTCGAAAATACGCTTTTGAAATATTACCAAGGTTGAAACTCTTAGATGAAAAGGATAAATATGGATAGATTTATGTTGAGCCCAAATAAGAAAAGAAGCAATTTGAAGTTGAAACTCAAATAAATATGGAATAAGAGGAAGTGAGTTAAGAAGATGAAGAATCGGCACTTTGTTCAGACGATAGCAATGAGGAGGAAGAGTCTGATAGTGATGATGAGGAGGATAGTGATTTAAGCGATTTCATTGAAAAAAAAGTAAAAAACGAATGATTTTTATGTCTACTTCATAAATGGTTTACTTCTTCATTATTATTTATTTAAGAATAATCTTTTTTATCATGTGAAACACTATCATCATTTATCACAATATAAATGAAATAAGCAAAGATAAAGATCAATATTAGGATCATTATTCAATAGAGATACACTTCTTTAGAGCAATAATAATTATAATTATACATATAATTGTTTCATTTCGACATCATTTATCCTACAAATTAAGTAACTACTTTGCTTGTAATGTCACCTTGCAAATCTTTCATTTTCTTTTTATGATCCCCATTACATTTATAGTAACCAAACAAATTTGTCCAACATAATGACAATCCGATTACGTCTATTACAAACTAATTTAATTACAAAGCATAAATACTTTCATCAACGTAAATGAGATCATGTTTGAGAATGTAAATATTGCCCAAGCCAAAGTAAATCCTAATTGGGCTGTCCAAAAGAAGGTTTTGTCCACTGCATTCACCTATTTGTTTGGCATAGAGTAGAATTCCCATTTTGAAGATCCATCTTCCAAAATTATATTCTCCCACTTTAACCCAACCAACAATCTTAAATTTGGATGAAATCAATTACCTTCCAGTTATATTCTTGACAGTCCAAAAATCAAATGCTGAAAAGACTATCACCAATATAAATGACCAAATGCTATCACCAAATATGAGATAAAATATTAATGCAAGTGCTTTGAACAAAAATGTAAAAATGCAGGCTTTCGGATGTGATGCATGATTCAAATCATAGTTTGATGTTTAAAGCGGAATCGATTCCGAAGTTGAAGCTACAGACAGTTTAGTTGGCTCGTCTGTTGATGTTTAAATTAATGGTTTGGATGGAGCTGATGGCATCTCCTACATCTGAATCTTAAAATGTAAGTCCTATGGAGATATAGATGTTCATACGTCTTCCATTAGTATTAATCCGAAATTTGTTAATATAAAAAAATTAAAGCATTTTTTATTAACAATGTAGTATTATTATTATTATGGTTAATTATAATTAGAGAACATAACTTTATTCATCTCAAGTCAGATTCAATTCGGCTAAATCTGGAAAAAGAAATTCCTTAGAGTAATTAGACTTGAGTTCCAAATTATGGTTTCTTCTAAAACAACCCAGAAATGTCATCAGTTTAGGTGCTTCTTTTACTTTCTCTTCTGCCTTTCATAGTCTTGTTAAGTGGATGAATATTTTTCTTATCTCTTTTCTCATCTTAAGGTGGATCATCTCTAAAAATATTGTAGATGTAAATATCAATTACATTAATTTAAGTTTTCGTTTGATTCTTGTGATCTTAGTGATTGCCAATGAGTTGAAGGTATAAAATGAAAATTAATTAAGATAATATCTCCTTTTTTCAAGATTCTTCAATAAAACCCTCATTGTTCTTGCAACAACTACTTTAGCATTATTCCAACTGAAATAATTTGAAAAATTCTTTAATACTTCAAAATCTTCCAATTCCATAGACACAGGTTGTCTCTCGAATACAGGAATTGAAATCTCTTAGGTAGGAGTTTCAGGAATTAATTTAGTTGTTTTATGAGTTTTAGCAGTTCTACTCCTGTTCGTCTTAGTTTTCGTGCTTTTCCTCTTTTAATCCCTGTGATCATTAATCCTGTCAACTGAGTCCCTTTTGTGATCTACAGATTGAATAGAAGGAGTGACAGGGATATCAACAAAAGGATCCTTGATTTTAGACTTTCTTGTTTAAGACTTTTCTCTCTCTTAATTAACATCCACTTTAGTTTAGGATGAAAATGGCTTATAGGATTCTTCCCTTTTTTATTTTCTAACTAAGGTGATTCTTTTTTTGGTCACCCTTCCTGGGACATCAATTGGACCTGGTAAACAAAGTGAATCATTTTTAGTAGTGAATCTATTTTCATCTTTGATGGAAGGAGTAGCATTTCCAAAACTAGAAATATTTGGATCGAAATCATCATTTCTTATTTTGTTTTAGAAGGAATCTTGAGCTCCAAATCCAGCAGTTTATAGTGTTTATTTAACTTGCATATTCCTCCTCTTATTAGGACTGGGACTATCAATTGAGTCATCACTTTCTTAAATAGGTTGTAGATTTTTGTTGTTGTTATTATTTTCATATTGAGAATAGGATCTATTTTAAGAGTGCTGTCTTGAAACTTTGGAGTAACTTTTGGAGAGAGAGGCTAATTGATAGAATGATCATGTCTTACTATAATCTTGTTCATTGGGTGACCCATCATTATCTTCATAAGAAACATCCAAGTCCTCATCAATAACTGTGATATTGTCAGCTTAATTTTCTCTTGTTTGGAAGTCTCTGACATAGGCAATGGTTTTTTTCATCTCCAAAAGAGTTGCATAATAATTGCGATCAGATCTTTTCCTCTTGTAAACTACATTTCTGTCCTATTGGAAGGGATAGTTCTCCTTTTTAATCACTCTCTCTTTGTCAGCCACATAATGTAGAACTGGACAATCCTTAATTAAATGATTAAACTTTTTGCAAGAATAACAACTTAATTTGGCAGGTTGATAGTTTTCTCCTAACAAAATGGAATCTCTCACTTCGCAAAAGCGTTCCTAAATTTATTTCTAATATTATACTAAATCAATTTAATTAGTTTATAGAACAGTTAATAAAGATTATCTGGGTATTTTGTATGCTCTTGAAAAGCCTATGCTTTTTGCAGATGCACATCTATTGAGTCCTGTAAAAAATGAGTATTCACCAAATGATTCCCCCTTCTCCAAGTAAGAGAGAACCCTTGTATTCCGACCTTGAGGATCATCTTGGAATAAGACGGATATTGTTCCTTTTGTGATTATATACAGAGAGCAATCATCTTGAGTGCCTTATAGTAAGATTTAATCCTCTGGCGAATACCTTACTTCTTCGATGACCAAAGACAGTTGTCTGAGTGTTTTCTAGGAGAACTTTGTTAATACTTTGTTTGTCTTCATTACATTGAATCTTATTTCAAAATTTAGTTCTTCTTAGAGAGAGCTAGACAATTTGGTTGTTATTTGTGAGACTTCCTCATCATTTATTTCTTGTTCTTCTTGAAAGATGTAGTCGTAATAATTCCTAATTCTGGATTGCAACTCAACTTTAATTTGGTTTTTAGTTAAATAAGAATTCAATAGATTAGTACTACGTTTGTAGAGCACTTATCTGGAATTTAGATTGCTTAACATAAGACCAATACTATTGAACGAAAAGGCAAATACACCACAGGCTAAAAACATACTCAAATTGGCACATAATCTTTCATAATTATTCTGAGGTGTTAGATCTCCATATCCAACTGTAATCATAGTTTGGACAGACCAATAAAATGCATAATTGTATTTTGTAAATATGTCTGAATTGGCAACATCGTAGGTTTCAAGCCAAGTTTTTCTAATTCCTATTTAATAGAAAGCCACTCCATGCCATAAACAAGCAAAGAGATGACCCACATAAACCACCATAAATAAGAGTTTGATTAATTCAATAAGGTCCTGTACCCAACCTGAAAAATTGAAAAACCTATATATAAGATTATTTAAAAGATTACTCTTCTAATTTATGCACTCTGGCTTGTAATTTAAACTGTCTACTGCAATAGTAAATCATATAAGGAATCAATTGCCACCCAATTTTCTCATTTGAGCTGTCCACATTAAATTGTTGAGCAACTAGCATTGATGCGAATGAACACTTGTTTATAAGATATCATTTACTAAATCGTAAATCCCTTGTGTATTAACATAATTTATAAATATTTTGCCTCTCTGTTTGATGATGATTCCTTTTTCTATATATGAAGTGTTTATGACAATAAATGCGTCAACGACAATGGAAAACAGAAAATAGTATTCAACTTCTCTCACTGTCAATGTTCCAAATACAACCTAATCGAATGTGATTCCGAAGGAGATATTGAAGGGAGTCCAAAAGAATACAATGATTATGGTCAAAATGTGCAGCAATTGCCATCCTATGACTAAATAGCTGCTTTGATCTAAGATTGGCACAAACCTAAGTTTCTTGCATATTTTGCCAATCAAATTCTTGTGAATCTTGTGTTTAGAGTCAATATATCTAAGATCGTCCATCATAGTGTTTTGATAGAGGTTGAAATGGGACAATTTTTTAACATAAGATTTTTATAGCATATTTTCAACAAAACGGTTGAAGTAGCTTTTGGCCAATACGAGTTTGATAAAATTGTTGATGCCTTCTTTCTATTGGTTGATCAAATTGGTCTGAACAAAATCTTTGAGTTATTCCTTATTTTAAGGATTCATCAAATTCTTTTCTTCATTTATAGAGGTTTTGGGGGAAAACTAAATCATCCCCGAGTTTGGCGATGGGTGAATGTTATCCGTTTCCTTATGAAAACTCGTCAAAGATGGTGGTTTTATTGTATTATCCAAAACTTGAAGCGGATCAATTTTTGTGGCAAATTTGGCTGGCCCAGTAAATTGCTTTTTTACATGGTCATCTAAGGAGATTATACAGAACACTTACCAAATTAGGAATTGCCACTCCCACCATAATCCACTAATAGATCAGATAAACTCATTAATTAATTTATGTCTTATACATTATATGGATTTGCCATGTCCTCCTGTACCTAGCGTATAAGGAGCATTCTCAACTATAAGAAGATTCCCTACACCCAAGTTTCAGTCAACTTCCTTAAGAAAGAACAATTGTCTGAAGAGTATAAAAAAATACACCCTCGTCAAATAATTCCTGCTTTGGTCACTCCAGAGGGTCACTCCTTGATAGAGAGTGTCGCCATAGCGGAATACTTGGAGGAGGTGCATCCTGAAAAACCAATCTTGCCCAAAAACAAGATTCAAAGGGCCCAAGTTAGGTATTTATTTTTAGTATAAATTTACAGAGCTATCGCAGAATACATCAATTCATCAATCCAACCCTTTCAACATTTGGGCATTTAACAATACATTAATTCGCACTCAGAGAAATAATTGGAATGGAAAGATCAATGGACCCACTGGAACATGCTGGGAATCAGCAATCTAGAAAAGAGTATTTCAAGAACAAGAGGTAGATTCAGTGTCGGTGACTAGTTGACATTAGCAGACATCTTGATCTATTGTCAAGTTGATTCTGCTTAGACTAGATTCGCCTTAGACTTTGGATAATATCACAACATCATGAATATTTACTATAATGTCAACAATATCAAAGAAATTGAGTAATCAAGAGGAATCTATTAAAAAGACTTCCCTAAATGATTATAAGTGATTAATAAAAAATAATAAGTATTATTTCTAAATCCAATCCACATTGTTCTTATCCACACGAATTACAATAAATTCTATCTATTAATCATTTCTTAACACTATTTCAGTTAACAAAATTAACCTATTATTACATTACAATCAAGTAGTCTAATAAATAATTAATATCTTGTTGTCATTTTATTATTATTGAGATTGGAGTAAATATATTTTCAAAATTAAATTTAAAATAAACAAAGCACTTTTTTTTGGATAGAGAAGCTAAGTTTGTATGAAATTTTAAAAATAAAATAAAATTATCTTATAAGCATTAAATTATAATAATGTATTTTGATGAAACATAATCGAAATATTAGATATTGATAATATTTTATGAAATAATCAGCAATAATATAGTATGAATTTAGAGTTTAGTTCAATATTTGAAAAGAGAATCAGAATATCAATTAACACTCAAATATTTGTGGAACTTATTCTGATTAAATTATCACCTTCTCATTATGGGTTGATAATTATCAAAATACCGATGTAATATGGTCGGTAATCAATAAGAAATGAGATTAATAAGAACTAATGACGGTATTAGAATAATCTCAAAATTGTTATTTAGTTAATTAGAGTTAGTTAATACATAAGGGTAATAGTCTAATAGGCAATATAAATGATGAAAGGATTCATGTTTAATTGATGTGTGTAGGAAGGATAGAAAGTTTATAAGAAAATTGATTTTGAGTGGAATTTTGAAAAAATTTCGCAGAATTTAAATGAGGAGAGTTTAAAGAGAATTTTTTGATTAAGGATTATGATCATTATGAAAAATTTTAATTATATTAAATGAATTCGGAGTAAGAATGCTCATATGAGGAACAACGGATGTTGAGTTAATACTAATAACATGTTAACACGAATCGTCATGGATCGATTGAAGACTTAAAAGAACATTATGTCAAATTGATAAAAGCATCTTAATTAAAAATTAAGTACCTGCTAATAGCATCTTCAATTTTATTGCTTCTGACAACCATAACTAGTTTGAGTTGTTTGATTGATCCAAAAATGGTGGGAATAGAGTTATGTAAATGGTTTTCGCATTTGCTCACTTTGATATTGTATTTGGCAATTTATTTGGATTTGAAAAATGCGAACATAGAAATTCTGAATGTCCCAAAAGAGAATTTGAAATTGTTGTGTCTTACCTATGAAAAGAATGTATATGAATTCTTGGAGGAGTTTAAATTTCAGGAGAAATTCGATTTGATAAACGTCTTGATGTACAGTTCGTTCATTTGGAGTTTTTGGTTCAGCCAATTCCTATTCATTTTGCATACCAACAGCAAGATATATCCATTGTTAATAATATCTTACATATTGCATATGGTTCTGTATTTGATTGCCTGCATACATTCTTGCTTCCGTCAAAGTCCAGGGAATTGTGAATGTTCAATCTTAAAAACCAAAGCAGGATACCAATACATCAACTTGCCAAGTAATTCCATAAGATAGTCTTAGGGTTCATTGAGACAAAAAAGAACACATTGAAAATGACCATAATTTTGCTGATGTATTATAAAATAAAATTAGCAGTGATTGCTAGTTTTATTGATTAATCAGAGAGTGAGACCGTCTTAGTGATCTATCTATACATCATCTATTGTGGAACCATGATTCTCAAGCAACTCTATCACTTAATTCTACTAAAAATGATAAAGAAAGTGAACTAACGCCATTTAAGTTGTTACTAAAATGCCTACATGTTGTACTACAAGCTCTTTTTCTATGAATCATGCTTGAATAAGACTCTGAAGGCCATCATCTATTTATCGTCATTTGCTTGTGTAATAGTTTGTTTGATGTTCAATCTCAAAAACTACTTCAAATACATATAGGAATCAATTTACAAAATTGAAGTTTACCTAGTTAATGATACTATCTGTTTTGTGATTTCGTTACTGATATACATTTATTATGCAGTCAAAAAGTATTCGAACAGAGTTTCATTGGATCATTTGGAATCATATGAGTCCAGATTTGACATGAGATTCTATGACTTAAATGACGTGGTCCCTAATCCTTATTATAACGCTTTGAGTAGGTACTTGTAAATGGAGCAACAACAATTAGAAGAGAGGAACCATCGAGAATTAATTCGGAAATTGCAATTGTCTCCTGAAAGATCAATCAATTTGGAGGAGAATGTGGACTGCATAATTTGCAGAGAGAAATTACTCTAAGATCAATTATTAGTAGGATTGCAATGTCATCCTTCTCACATTTTCCATAAGGAATGTCTCATAAAATGGGTGTTGTTGCATACTACTTGTCCAACATGCAGATCTTCAATTTAATGACACATATAAAATTTAGTATATTTTTATAAATTTCAATATTTAGTGAACAAGAACTAGGAAATTAATTGTTGAATCTCAAATATAAACACTGCAAATGGCTTCTCACTCTTCACCGATTTGGGCACCTGTCTCTCTACATTATCGAATCCTCCTTAAGCAAATTTTACTGGGTGAATCATGTTCTTAAAATTGATTTCCCCTTCCTTCTCCAATTAGTCAATCATATCTGAAAATGACTCCTTGATCTGATTTATAAAAGAAATATCGTACAGGTTTTTTATAGCGAAACAACATTCGATCCTTCAGCCATTCAGCATTCGAAATATTGGTGTCTTCCTTAAGAGCGTACTTGTTATTTGGAGGACAAAATACCTTCCTGTTATATAAATCACAATACATGCGCCTTCATGTCAAAATATCGCGAAATTAGTACGATCTCTATGTCACAAAGGGTTTGAGTCCCTTCGATTATTCTATTTTTGGTCGGTTGATTCTGTGTCTTCAACTACTCATTCAAGATAAACGATGCAAAATGATTCTATGCAGGCTACACATTTCTCATAACATCATCAGGGGAAATAAAAGGAGCAGAGGCCCCAAATTGAAAACTTGGAATCGAAACTCCAGGAGCCAAATGAGACAACTGAATACTATCATTGTTTTTTATTAACTGAGGAAAAGACTCGCCTTAATTATAAACTCTTTTTTCTTACTTGAGTTCCTAACCTATAGAGCAGGAGGCTGACTCATGTAATCTTACACTACTGGAATGTAACAATTGTAAACAAAATATGTACTACTTGGGGTTTGATTTAATTGTGGTACGACATTTTAATCCTTTTAAACTTCCTTACTAGTTTCTGATAACATATAATAAACGAAAATGAATTTTAAGATTAATTAAATGATAATTGTAACACAATGATCTCATTTGTGTCGTCAGAGTCACAAGTATCAATAGGATTAGACTTTTTGGATAAAGTTCAGATGAAATTTAAAATGATAAATCTAGAATACTTAGAGACCATCAAATATAATAAATTTAATCGAAATTGTTAATTGGCAAAATAGAATTAGACTGGAGTATGTATTTTAATATTGATTCTAACTTAATTTGACTGCTCCTACTATAGTTCTCCTATTTTTTAATCATACTATTAAGTAGTTTTAACTTTCTTTAATATTATTATATTTATTTTACCTTAAAATTGGCAATATTTTACTAATGTTATTAAGGTTGTTATAATCTAATTTTATTTACTTGATGATTCTAGTAATGCCTATGCAAATTTTCCACTTCTTCATCAACATAAAATGTGTTACTTAAAAAATAACTAAATTTTGTATTCAATTATTTAGTTCATTTTATTATTGATAGATATGTTCATAGAGTCAAAAAGCAAAGTAAATATATAATTAAAAATAGATATATGTTTTCATATATTCACCTTTTATTTTTATTGCGATTTTTCTTGCTTTTAGTTCTGTTAATAACTATTTCTGAGTTTTCTAGGGAACCAAAATGGGATGTTCCCAAGAAGGTGTCTTCGTCTAATGCAGAGATGAGCTTGTTATGCAATAGTGTTAAGCGATGATGAATATGCAATAAATCCATTGGCACTTTTTAACAGCTAAATTATTAAAAATTGATATAATTATTTATGTTTTCGGAATATATTAAGGCTTATCCAAAATTCCAAACTCTACTTTATATACTAGGTATACTTGGCTTGCTCAAATGCACAAAAATGCTCTGGTTTATATGGAAATTGATGAGACCAAGTACCAACCTTAAAAAATACGGGAATGGCTCTTGGGTATGCATAACAGGGGCATCAGATGGAATAGGAAAATAATTGGCAATGAAATTTTCATAGAAGGGATTCAAAATAATCTTGGTTGCTAGAACACGTTCAAAATTAGAGGCAGTGGCACAATAATTACAAACTGAATCACACATCATAGTTGCCGATTTTGCTCAATCTATGGACATTAAATTGTTTGACAAAATAATGGATGAAGTAGGCGAGAGAGACGTGAGTATAGTCATAAACAATGTTGGTGCAGATGCTTTTAATCGTTTTCATTTGATCTCAGATGAAGAAATCTACAAAACCATTATAGTGAATTGCTTACCAGTGACTATGCTATGTAAAAGATTCATTCCACAACTGCTAAGAAGGAGATCACATAAATCTGCCATAGTAAATGTGACATCTCTGGCAGGATAGATCCCAACGCCCTATTTCAATGTATATAGTGCAAGTAAATCCTATGGGGAATATTTGACATCTACATTGAGTGCTGAATATCCTGAATTGGAAGTCTTTGCTTTAAGACCCTCTGAGGTCTCAACCAACATGACATTTAATAGGAAACCAGATTTGATGACCATCACCCCTTCAGATTGTGCTGATGGACTCTTGAAGAGAATGGGATGGAATACAAATGGACATTGGAATCATGAGATATAAGCTGAATTCTATCTATTCGCGCCACGTTGGTTATTCAATTGGGTAATGATTAAGGTAAGATTATGGAATTATTAATTTAGTTCATTGCTCCTTAATGGATGAAGGAGAGGGCATCTACAACTGATACTTAGAAGAAAAACAACTGATTAATGAGTGGTATAAAAAGATTTGAGATTATCCTCTTTAAAATTATTTATCAATTTAATATTTTTAGATTTAAAGGTTCGTATTTCTCATAGAATAATTATTTAATATTTATGCCATTAATACAAGTCACTTATTCTCCAAGCAATAGGTCTTGCTGTAGAAATTGTTATGAGAAGATTGCTGAAAATACTATAAGGATAGGGTATTACGTGAAGAAGGGAGGTATTTGATATTAGTTTATTTAAGGAGGTTATACAAACATCCAATGGTACCACGAGAAATGTTTCACCAAAGCCAACTTATGGGGAGTTACTGATATTGAATTGACAGGGTTAGAGGAATTGAGTGGGCAAGATAGATTAAGAGTAAAAGAGAAATTCGAGGCTATTTAGAGTAAGAAAAATCCTGTAAAATTTTGAATTATTATGATACATTTTATTATTAATTAAGAAATTGATTTCATAATACTCATACTATTGATAATAAGCTAGCAGCTTATAGATCATATATTTTACTCTATTATTTTAGAATATATAGATTTTTGGGAATTATTATATTGAATGTATTAAACTATTCAATAGCCAGTCTATTTGTAATTATTACTTATAAGTAATTGTTATTTCAAATAAAGTATTTCTGATAAATTATTTATTTTTGTATCATAAAACAATATAAAAATAAAATATATCTGCTAGTTTTATATTGACTTTATAAATAATTTCTTTTATAAATTATAAATGGAAATAGAAAAATCTTATGCTCAATATGCTAACTACATAGTCAAATAAACCATTGGCAAAGGAGGGCAAGGAAAGTAATTAATTATGCTATTCTGTAGAGTCAAATTAGGTTTAGATGGAGATAAAGAAGTGGCATTAAAATTTGTTTAATTTTCAAAGGATATTGAAAAAGAAATTTAAATACATAGGGGGTTAAATCATAAAAATTTGATAACGTTATTAAATTTTCATGTGAATGAGGAATACACTAAAAGAAATGGTTAGAAGGTGATTAAATCTTGTTTGGTTTACGATTATATGAAAGATGGAGAATTGTTTGAATAACTATCATAGACTGGGCCATTCAAGGAAGAAACTGCTAGAACCTTATTCCATCAACTCATTGATGTGCTGCAATATTTACATGGTTAAGGTCTAGCTCATAGAGATCTAAAACCAGAAAACATTTTATTTTAAGATGGCTAATTGAAGGTATCCGATCTAGGATTTGCTACATTTGTTGGAGGCAATTATGGACATGGAGTCCTAGCCTCATTTAAGGGAACTATCAGTTATATGGCTCCGGAAATTTTAGTTAGACAAAAGTATGTAGGATAATGTGTTGATTTATTTGCAGCTGGTGTTATTTTATTTCTAATGGTGACTGCTCAATTGCCATTCAAGTAAGCAAATATTAAAGATTAAATTTATAATCTAATATGCACCAATCGGTTTGATCAATTTTGGGCTTACAAGGAGAAGTCTGGAATACCAAGGTTCTCAAATGACCTCAAAACTCTCATTAATTCCATGCTTGCCTTTGATCCCTTATAGAGACCAACTCTTTCTGAAATTATCAGCACTTCTTGGTACCAAGGAGCCACCATCAGTAATGATCTTGTGATCAAATTACTAAATGCACGTAAATTAAAAATTCAATCCTAACAAAATAAAGAAAACTTATAGAAAATGCTTGACAAATAAAAATTATAGGCAGCAGACCAAAATTAACAATGTATGTGATCCAACTCTAATCTAGTGACTGTTGGGATTGGAAATTTTAATAGAGGAGAGGACGACTTAACTATTGATGTAACATTAAAACGAGAATTAAAAAGATTTAAATAGACAGATGTAATACTTCCATTTGAACCTCATCTAATATTTGTTAAGCTTATTGAAAACAAGGACAAATTCGCCAACAAGATTAATTTTGTAGATAATCAAAAATATAAAGTAACTCTTTGATTTTTATTCTAGATTCATTACTGGTATTTATTAAATAATGAAGAATTTGAAATGGCCATCTAATTAGTCTAAGGACCAACCGAATCCACTGTGGGGATTGATTTCTAATTAATCAAAGGAGATGGATTGGAATTTTATTAAAAAAAAATATAAGTGGAGGATATGCTTTTATAAATCGAATGATTATCAAATTAAAATATTATTATATGTTTTGTAAATTTATTGCAAAAGCGGCCACTCAAGTGATCAAATACTAATTTAGACCATTAATAGCAACAAGCATTATCAAAAACAATCATTTGAACTTACATAATCTAATTGCATTTCAATTTGAAAGACTGCCGTCATTACCAGAAGAATAAGAAATTGAAATAATTGAACTTCTTACCAAAAGCTGTCTACAAGGCCTCTCTGTATGATATGAATATTTATATATTATATCTAATTTACAATATTCGATATTCCTCTATGAATCCATTTTTAGAATCTTGCTTAAAATTTTATATAATTTAACAGAAAATTTTGGAAAATAATATTGTGGTAATTTCACTATTTTTTTTATCCTGATTTTCTTCTATTATGTTCATCCTTTTGGTCTACTTCTAGATATTTCTTCGACTCTCCTTTATTCTATGCACCCTTGCCTTCATCCTTGTTATTTTTACTACTTTTTTTGCTTCATTAGAATTAATAAATATGCTATACTTGGCTTTTTCATCTTTTTTATCCTCCTTCTTCTCAGATTTCTATGGGGCTGTTTCATCCTCCTCCTTCATTTTCCTTGGACCTCTCTTATAAGGTGGTAGTTCTTGATATTCCAAATCTTATTTTGAAGCCGATCGCTTGAATTTTTCTTCAATTAATTTTTCAAATTCTTCTGATTTCTAAGCAAATTTTCTAGAGTAATATTAAAACAGCATATATACTTTTACCAAATCTCGATATCCTTGTGGTATTATTCCAACTTCTTTTGAAAATCATCTTCATATCTTTTTTTATCCTTATTTGGAAGTCCCCCATATTTGTCAGCCAAAGACTTTGTCAGTTGTGCCATGTTCATATCTGGATTCTGATTGGAATATTCCTTTCTATGCTCTGCAATATAAACTAAACAGGCAGAAGCAGGTTTTCTTGGTTTTTCTGGAATTTCCATTAATGACTTATATTTTTTTATGTCATGTAGATTTCCTCCGTAATACAATATCAAGTCTTCTTTGTATTTGGATTCCATCTCATTGAACTAGTCTTCATATTTCGACCTCTCATCATCCTCTAATTCTCTCCACATTTCTGAGATCTTGTGACCTGCATCTCCAATTTAGAATTTGCCTTCTTTTCTCAGTTCAGGTAATTTTTCTGCGTAGAATATTTGATAGCCTGAAATATAATTTCTGGTTGGGGGCTTTTTGAGTACGCCGCTTCTTAATTGCATTAATTAGGAGGGATTATTTAAACTTAAATTTAATGAATGTTTAATCTATTGAATTAGATGTTAGGAACAGAGATAAATAAGATATTTTTGAATGCAATTATATTTATACAGTAACCATTTGTGTTGAGAGTCTCTCTATCAGATTATTTTTATGGCTATGGGGGATTTCTTTTATTATATTTAATAATATTTATATATAAATTTTTAATTAATGGAACATTGTGATCATTGTAGAGAAACCATAAATGAAATGTAGACTCTTGAAAAGTAAGTTGAAAGCATCAAAAATTAGTTGGAGATTGCAGAAACCCAAGTGAAGCTTTTACGATAGGAGAATGAACTTTTAAAGAGTAACATTAAAAAGCCTAATAAGCCGAAGCATTACAATTAGAGTATGCAAAGCGAGATACAGAAATGCTATTAGGAGATTGCGAAATTGCAAGATATTATCAGACACAAGGATGAAATAATTTAAAATCAAATTCGAAATGACGACAGTGTTAGCGATAAAACTGAAATCTATTCCAAGCAGATCGACATGTGTAGAAAGAAAGTCAAATTTTGATTCTTATTATTTATAGAAATGTTAATTTGTTATTCTCATCTTCCCAATAAGTTTTTATCAGTTGGATATGATATTATTTAGTAATCATAAAATTCATTGCAATATTAAGGTATTGTAAATGAAGTGGAAACTTTATTTAATTTTTATTAATAAAATTCATCTCAAATAAGAAATAATGTAGGAATAAAATTCACTATTCTTTTGCCCCGAAAATGAAGAGAGTGAAATTATAAAGGCAAAGACTTATGATGTTTAAACCCAGAGAATACCGGCTAGCTTTTATTCACAATTTTCAGATGGCACTGACTCTTTTATGGATATGAGACGAGAACATTAATGCAATTCTGCTTGCTCTTCATCTAGTTTACAATCCTCTCGAACTCTGCCAGATGAATGTATGCAACATAATTATTCAAAATGTTTAGGTACAAAAAGACACTTAAATTTTAGATTTAGACATCTTATCTGAAGCTGCTAAACAATCCTTCACTTTTGTATTCAAATCCTAAGAAGATTGGTTGGAACATTTCACATCAAAATGTCTAACCTTAGATACTTTTTTCAAAGACTGTGCATTCAATTCATTAATAGAAAAAGAAATTCAAAATGAAGATTCAAAAATCAAATTAAGCATAGTATTAACTGTAGATTACTTTACAAACCTATTCACTTTTTCTTTGTATCTCATATGGAAATGGATCCAAAACGAAAACTAGATGGATATGACAAACTATGTTTCATGTCAGAATTCAATCCCCATATTTTTCAATTTCATCTTTCAATATCGCTCCAATGAGTTGAAGAACGATAAAATCTTTATTGCTTTCATAGAATAAACCATATCAACTATTTCCAAATCAAAATTTGCAGAAGACCAACAATCAAAACCATACTTAGGAGTTGGAATGAGTTAAAATTCTAAACCTCTTCCTGTGCTAAAGGAAAACGAAATATTTCCTTGGCACCCAGAAGAAGTAGCCAAAATATTAAGCATCATTAATCAAACCTTTTACGCAGATTTACAAATTAAAAATGTAGTTGTTAGAGGAGGTCTTAAATATGTAAAATTATATTTTAATATAGTATTTCAAAAGAATTAACTCCTTCTCATAATACATCATTTACTCAGTCGTTAAAAGTCCTTGTAAATATAAGAGATAGGAAGCTTTGTCATATTGGATCGATTTGGCAGAAAGATTATAACTTCAAAATGATCTGGAAGGACTATTCATAGTGTTCAAATATGGCATATAATTATTATTGAAGGATTATATTTCTACGATGCCAATCTTATTCAAACATCAAAATCGCATCTCAAAAATAAATGCGTATTATGAACAACAAATAAAAGACAATCTAAAAATTATCAGACCTAATTCAAAAGGATACAATATTCCTTCCTTCCAAAAATATCAGACTCACATTAAAAGATTGGAATTGCAAGCAAAACAGAATAGATAAGCTTTTGAATAAATTGCTAGTCTTTTAGCAGAGTTGGTGGCAATTTCAAAAGAATAATAATATAAATAATCTATTATGAACCATTAAGTATGTATTTACATTAATATTCAGTTATCATTTTAAGAGCAGCAAATAGCCAGGTTTTTAACTCAAGGGATTCAAAATGAATTGGAGAATAACCTTAAGATCCCTCTAGAAAAAGAAACTTTGGTTTATATTGAATTGATCAAATTGTCAAAGATAATGAATTGAACCTTACAAAATTGACTCTATTAATGTACTTTGTTTTTATAATTGACTATAATGGCAAAAAATATTAATTGTTTTTTTGAAGTTCGCTTTTAGAAATTATTTGTTTATTAATTAGATAATATGATTTATATTTCTCGAAATGGATATATCTTCTATTGATCCATAATATAGACTGCATTCTATGCTAATTTCTATTATAATTTATTAATTCAAATTCTTTCATTGACGAAGGATCACCGGTTAATTCCAAAGTTACACATAATAAAATATAGTCTATCTTTCAAAAAATTTGAATGAATAATATAAGATATGTAGGAGATAAATCATTTGATTGTGCCAGCAGATTTAGGCAAAGAAAATATCATTTTTGTCGGACTAAAGATTGGTATTTATAAATTTAAGGTTGTTGGAGAATCGAAGTCATCTATTTCAATTTCTTTGTTTGAAAAAACGATTGTTGGAGTTAAACTAATTTCTCTTTAGGATTTTCGTTGAATTGCTCTCTTCATAAATTTGTTGTTCTCTATATTGAGGGAATTCATGTCGCTTTCAAAAATTTAATTAAAATATTTATTGAAATAATCAACTATTGGATACTTCTCGATGTGTTATAGTGAAAAATGAAAGGTTACAAAATTAACTGATCTCATTCCCCATTTTGAGTATAAACAAGCGAAGAACTTTCTATTTTTAACAGCCATGACATCAACTGATACGTTTGCTTGGGAAATTTTATTTATTAAATATTATTATTATTAATAAATAATAAAGAGATATCTTTTGTACTATTTTATTACTTAGTTAAATTAATTTTATGAATTCATAAGATCGGCAACACATCTGGAAAAGCCATTGGAAAATTACATTATATATAATTAAATAATCTCAAATAAATAAAACAATGCGAGCATTCATCTGTTTTTTGATCCAGAACTTTTTTATGGTCTTTAATTGATTGATGGCTAAAAATTAATTAAAATGTTACACATGAAAAGAATAAGTTGGAACATTAGACTTTTTAGCACTAGGCTTTTTCAATAAATCATGTTTTTCCTTGTTTGAAAGCGTGAAAACTAATCTCATTGCTGATTCGATGAATTCACTCTTTGTAAGAACATGTCTACCTTCTTCCATTTCAGAAATTAATGGCTAGAGTATTTGAATAACAGTCTAATTCAGATTTCCTAAATTTATTCTGATTGCATCTATTTCACCATCATTATCGTTGTCAATCTAATCGAAAATATTAGAAAGAGAATTAATCACGGCTTACTGTGTTAAAAATTCTGATTTTTAACTTGCTCTCACTTTCGATTAAGTCATCATCTTCTCCTTACTAACAGTTTCTATTGCTGCCCTTTTTTAGGCTAATAATTATGCATCTTTATAAAGATTATCAAACAAATTTTCTGGCCTTTACTCAGGTGGTCTACCTGTTCTGGGTCTAAACATATTGCTCTCATCAGCACTAGAGTTCCGTTCTTTGGATTTATTTCTAAACTTTTATCTTCTTTCTTCAAAACTTAGACCTTAAACTAATTGTTCAGATATTTAATCTATTTTAGGATGAAATGTGTGCTTCTAAGCAAAATAATTTCTGTCTAATTCATTTATTTTTTGTTGCTTCACATCCATATCCTGATATAGTGATTCGTAATGGGGAATTGCAATTTAAGATTATTTCTTTTTCTCATCAACTATTGAGGAAGAACTTAAAATATAATTGGATTAGATTACACTCTATTAATTTAAGGATGAAAGGAGCAACTTTGTTATTCCATTTCCAACTTATAATTTTAGGCATTCTCTCTTTTCTCCTGTATTACCTTTGCTAATTCATTTAAATGTTCCCCAACCGGTTTAGGAGAACGCTAGGCTATTTTAGATGAAAGAGAATTAATTTGAGGTTTATGAGTACATTCAACTAGTTAAGACTTTTGTAAATCTTTTCTTGCACTTTCAGCCTTTTGCAATTTCTCTTCTTTTTTTTGAATTCCCTTTTAATAGAGGATCAAACCATAATTCACTTCTGACTCTTGAGACTTCATAATCTAACTACTAGACTTGTTTTCAGATAATTGCAATTGTCTTTTCAGCTTTTTATTATGAGCGTCTTGATATAGTCTGTCATATACAGTTTAGCTTATGCTTTCTTGTTTCATTGGAGACTATTGAGATTAGGCAATAATCGGAGAAGAGCCTTGTTGCTAAGTTTGCATTTCACTAGATTACTCAGTTGCTCTTTGGTTCTACTTCTTTTGAGATAACTAAATAAAAATTAGACTCCAACTACTTACGTATTGAACCATGTTCATGCGTTCCTTGTGTGCTATTGAGATTTGCTTTTGAATATTATCTATAAGTAATGGTGCCACTCTTTGATTTAGGCTATATTTAATGCAAAAATCTCGTGCCAGTATTTCAGGATCATCTCCCTCGAATACGTCTATTCTTCCACTTCGCTTATCGTCTATTTGGATTGTCATCACTAATAATTGTCCATTCTACAATTACTTTAATCTCTTATACCCTTTACTCCATAGAGCTGTGACTCATGCGATTGTTATAATTAATTTTTTTAATTAATAATTACGTTAATGGATCAATTGGCTCTCAAGAAACTCGTTAATAAACTAATTGATGAAAAGCTCAAATTGGTTTGTGAAGAATGTCGCAAGAAAACTACTCAAAAAAAGCTAGGTTACCACAACTTTAACATTTCCATTCAACCAACACCCATCAATTTTGATTTTAGTATCGACCATGAAAATAAGGAAAATTGTGTCTCTTCCAATAGGAATGCAGCCAATAGAGTCAAAGCATCTAAGAGCTAAGCCCTTGATTTAGGACAATAAATATTCAATGCTGACATAAGGTACGCATCTATCGCTATATTTAAAAAGTATTATTAGACCCATTTCCTAATTTTCAAGCCCCACTGTTAAAGCTTCTCGAAAAAAATCTATGCCTTTTCTCAAAAAGGAAACTTAAACGACCTATGAGAAAGTTCTCAAATCAAAAAAATGATTTAGTTATATAATTAATGTATAAATGTGAGATTGATATGTTAATATATTCCCCATTTTCAACTTAACTATTAATTAAGCATTTTGTTTAAATTACATCTAAATGTAAGTGCAAGAATCAAAATTAATTTATAATAATATATGTAAGTAAGTAGAATTATGATAGTTTAAGAATAAACAAAACTGTACTTGTATTTCCATTTGATATCTTTTATTATATAAACTACTATATGCAAATCTTTTGTTTTTATAATTATGATTTATTTGATTAAATCTCTTAATTATTTTTAATAATCTGAAAATTTCTCTAATATTTCATTATATTTGAAATTGACTTTCTCGGATTAAATTTAAATTAATTGAATTTTGTTTATTTCCATTGAAAAATACAAAGTTTGCTCTTTTTATTTTTTCAATTACATTAAATTATAACAATGTAATTATTATCGAATTTATACCATTTATTGTTTAATATATAATTACTATATCCACATGCATAAACCATTTATTATATAAATTATTTATAATATTGAAAATCAATAATATTAGATGAATACTTATAATATATAAACTTGATTTTTTAATTATTACTCATAATAATTTAATCACATTAATTTACGGACTTTCTTTCCTTAACTCATAGTATCAAAGCCTATATAACCGTCGATTATGCCGTGTTTTAATAATACATTTGGCTGAACGATTCCATTATGATAAACTTCTTTTACTCTATCTTCAAATGTCGATTTATCTAATTTCCTATTAATTTCAATCATATTGATTAATTCAGCTTCTTGGTTCTTCATTTATTGTTCTACCCATTCTTTATTTTTTTCAGATAATTCAGTCAATGGATTTAAAAGTTTCATGTTCTCATTTGTTACAATATGTTTCTAATAAATATGCCAATTTGAGGCTAGTTTTCTTAAATCAAAAAAAGGCTGTGCATATCCCATATTCCCAACAATAGCATAGGGATCTATAATTTTAATTTTATTAACTCACATAAGCCTTATCACCAATAGTCAATAATCCTAATGCGCTTTTGATTACTATGTCTTCTCCAAAACAGTAGATTGGAATTCTACGATAAAATTATTAGTACTTATTAGTTTGACTATACTTTTTTATGAGGTTGGCTAGATTTTAAGTTTGAATGAGAGATCCACCTAGAGAATTAATGATAAGAGCAATGCATTCAGGTTTGTAAATGGACCATTTATCTAGTGAGTCAGCAACTTTCTCAACTCTTGAATAAATTTGAAATAGTTACAATTATGGAGTAATAACTGATGAGATCTTGATTTTAAAGATGCGATTTCTAAAATTCATAAATAAATTTATAAAATTGGTCAATTTTTTTATAAATGCAAAATGGTTTTCTTTTTCTTATATTTAGTTAAGTAATTATTAAGAAAGTTTCTTGTATAGATCCTTGGCATGCTTCTTGTATGAAGTAGTTTAATGTTATGGTTATCTTGAGGTTGTGTTTTGATGATTCTTTGAGACTTGGGAATTTGAAGTGTTATGCTTTTAATTTCTTCTGATTGAGGATTGGACAAGAGATGGCTTCTACAAGATTTAGGTGGTTCAAAGATACGGATTTAGGTATCCTCAATCAATTTCTCAGTACTTCTAGCAGAAGCTCTACGAAGAGTAGTGAGTAATAATTAAGAAGAAGAGGGATAGGCTACAGTGTCTTGTCTGGAAGCTGAATATTTTCTGAATAGTTTTTCTAATTAATACTCATCTTACTTGTATTTTGGGCTGTCAACAATCGACTGTTATTCATGGATGGTTATTTCCTGAGACGTGAAACCTTTTTGATGAATGGAACACTCATATTTCGATATTGTAATGTTGTCAGACTACCACAGTGATTGCAATGACAACTTTTTCTTCTCATTCTTTCAGGCAATTTTGGAAATTGTTTCACTGAAGAGAAAGAAAAGAATCTGGGTATGCTGGAACTTCGCCATTTTTATGGTTTCGGAGTTCGATGAATGGGATGAGATAAATGCCGATGTTCTCTTATTGCTCTAAAACGTATACACAAACTTGAGTTTTATTAATTCATTTTTAATTCAGACTCATTTACAAAGCCTATTAGAAATCCTTATCGTCATCGTCATTATATTCTGTCAATATTTACTCTTTTTATTTCGATTGCTATTTAACCTATTTCTGTGGTTTTCTCTTTGGAATCTACTTTACTTCTTATACTGATGCATCAGATCCAGACTCACTTGTAATGCGTTTTAATCGATTTCGCTTTGAAGTTTCCTTTTAATCTCCTTCTCCACAAACACTTGTATGCAGGTTGAACTCTAGAAAATCAAGTTTTATGTTTACCTCTTTTTTGTATATGCTTTTTGCAAATTTAACATTATTCAGTTCTAGAACCACACTTTGCTTAATGTCTTGGCATCTCACTCAGATTTATCATCAAATCGCAAAATCCACACTTCTCTGGCTTATTGGGACAATTGATCTTATGCATTTCCAATAGACTCTTTTCAAACATTTATGAGCAATAAGAGCATTCAGTCTAATCATCTACTCAATCATACTTTCTAGTGTGACTCCATATGAGCATTCTTTTCATTCGAATCTATTCGTTGATCACAGATTTCGCATTTTATAATGTTACGCTCGCAATAGAGGGAATGAAGCAAATAATTAGTAGCCAAAACTTCTTCCAAGCTCAAATATAAGTCAATTACTTACCAGCATTAACATACCTTTGTTTCACTCATATTTAAAATTAAACTAAATAAGAACTCATTAACACATAAATTATCTAATTCTCTTACTCATCTTTCAAAATCTTCAGAAAACTGACAGAATATCCACTATACTGGCTGTACAAACCCACTTACCCCTCTAAATTCATCAAATTAGTTGATCTATATAACTGACAATAACAAAAATATTCAATAACTAATATTCACATAAAAAAAAGAATTTATTCTATTAATTTGACTTATAATAAACATTTGTCAATCTAATATCTTTATCTAACAAAAAATCTTAACATAATTGTATTTTTTTAAAAACCTCCCAATATTGTTAATTTATTCATAGATGTAACATTTATGATAATTAAATAATGTGAATTGAATATCAACATAAGGAGCAAAGTAATTATTAATAAATATATTGATTATATAATTAACATATTATTTTTTAACATTCAGAATCATTAAAATCAATACACACAATATATATTTTAATGTTAGTCAACTCTTCAAGTAAATCAATCGCACTTTAACAACAAGAAAAGTAAAAATCAGCTTGAGTAAATAAATTGAATCCATATAAAGTATAGATTGATGGTTTCATATGATATGCAATTTGATTCTTATTTACAAATCGTAACGTAATTCTACTTACTATAATCACATGTACTTATAAAATGTGTAATAAAGAGATCAAAATAAATAGATTATCATATAAAGTAAATAACAATAAAAATTAATAAATACTAAAAATAGAATAAGTTAATAATCTTGAAATGTTATCTTTTTATAATCATTCATATTTAAATATAAAAACTTTAAATAATTATGGACCCATAATTGAGTTCATTTTAGTAAGTAGTTCAATAAGATACTTTTAATAAACAGATCTTAGTTATTTGATCTAAATCATTTTAGATCCTCTGAATATAGGAAAATTCTCATCAATAGTGTCCTTGATCGCTTAGTCCTGATTTGTTGTAATCCTGCTTTTTTTGACATAATAATAATTAGTTAAATTTAATTCTTGTGCCCATTTAATTTCATAATCTATAGCAATTCTATTAATTTCTTTGATTTGTTGTGTGTAATGAAAACTCAATCTATGGAATGAGTTCGATCTGAATTCGACAAAGCTGACAGCTGCCAGTTGAGAATTAGCATAATATTTGATCATTTGAGATTGGGAATCACAAAACATTTTTTCGTAACTTTACTTTGAAAACTGAACATAGTTTTCATTGAATAAATGGTGTGCTTCTTCATCATAAGTGGCTTGTTTGGTAATCACATTTAAACTACTCCTTTTTGATTTTCTTAACAAAGCTACAAAGCCACTGGGCCATTTAAAATGTAAATAATTTTTTTTGTCAACTTTGACTTCCATATGCAACTCATTATTTAATGATTAAACGTGTTTGTTGAGTTCATCATGTAAATTATTTTTAAATCCACATTTGGTTATAGATGTATAATTCAATCGTTTTGCCAATGTTAGTAAATAGTGTTGGAAGGCCTACTTAGTTTATAAGGTCTATGGAGTAGGACGGGACATATCGACGTATTATAATAAATTGCTAAATATAGATTATTTAATTGGTTCGACATCGAAATATTCTTAAGTCAACTTACTAGAGTAATTAAAATCTATTACCTCAATGCTTTTAAACACCTTTTAGGGGAAGCGTATTGGCAAATAGGGACTTTGCAGACGATTTGTTGGCAACAACTTTTGGGATTGGAATGGTAGAATAATTGGCCTGATTTGCGCCAACTGTTTTCTTAAAGTTGAGTGTAGAGAGAATCATTAAAATTCTAAATTTATAGGATAGTTCCATTGGCAGTTAGTTATTTACAGCATAGACAGAAACCCTGTTGTTCGATATTAACAGTATTGATATTGATGCTGGCCATCACAAATTTTGTATATTACAATTGTAGAATGGGTTTGCTTAAGTTTATTTAAGGGTATGATAATAGATCATTATACTATGTATGTGAATTAATTTTGCAACAAAATTAAATTAGTATTATTTATGATGATTGTTAATAGGGTTAATTGATCGAGTTTAGAGTTGATGCAATGAGAAATGAAACCATTATCTATATTATATATATATGTTTTAATGTGAAAATTCAAAGACAATCCTTGAGGAAGGAGGCTCCTGAACATTGGATAATACCAACAATCACACCAAACAATCCTAGTGCAGATCCAAAGATTTCGACCACTAGAATTTTCACAAAAGTCTCTGGAGTCTAAGCATCGGCAATGGCACATCCTGAGCCTGTAACACCAACTGCAATACTAAAGTTGATTAACATTATTTTAATACCCACAAATCAGATTCGACAATCCAACAGATACACCAGTCCAAAAGAGGGAATAACCACCAAACAAAGCTGTTGTATAACACTATGCCATTTGATCCTGAGGGTATGACTCAATGGTTTGTACTTTACCAATCATGATGATTGCCATAATCACCCCATAGATGGCCACAGCCTCACAAAAAATGACTGAAATCAAATTCTTCGATCTAATTCGTGGTGCTTTCACAGTCGATCCCAACAAGGATACGCCTGTCACAAATATACCCCATGATGCTCCTATAATTGATGTTGCTAATGCCAATGCCACTCCAAAATAACTAGATATATAATCATTCACATCTACCTCCAAAAGTAAGGATCGATATACATAAATCTTTCTCCCCATGTGGCACTTTACCACTCTACAGCTGTCCAATCATATGGATTGCCCCAATTCATAATACTCATATTTTTATATTATATTTAATTATTTAGTATCATTCTCCCAACCAAGGCAATTCACTTTCTATCTACTTAGCCAACTCTGGTGTCTTTGTTTATTACATTACATACTTGCATTAATGAGCAACTGAATTTTTCAAGATCTTCATTTTAAGGTTATTTAGTTTTGCTTAAACTCCTGTACACTTTTTAAAGATTTTCAATATATTCTAACCCTATATCATCTGGTTGTTTGTTCAATCTTTTGAACCTTCATAACAATCATTAAGAGTACCATAATAGCTTATCATATTTGTATATAGCATCCAAAAGAGTATTCATAATTCCATCTATACAGTTCTACAGTTCCTCTAACTTTTATGTTTTCTATTCAAAATCTAACTCCCCCATTTCCTCAAGTAAATCTTAGATAAATCTTGTTAATTTGACTTCCAACTTCTCATTTATGTTTTATTAAACTAAATTAAAGTTGTCATTCTTTTTCTTAAACTTGAATTAGACTTCTAGTTCTTACTCTTACTCTTTCTAATTGCTATTCTATTGACTTGGACCAGTGGATGCAAAATACTTCTCTTGTTATTGGTTCTAATCTGTGGCTACTTCAGATTAAGCAAATAATGGAGAATCCACTTAATACTCATCAAAATTATTAGTAGTATTTGTGAATTGCAGTGGAGGTATGTATTTGATTTATGATTAGAATGGCTTTTATTTATGTGTTTAATGCTGTATTTCATAAATATGCAGAGCAGCAGAAAAAAAATCACTGACTGATATATTATTCCCCTTAAAATACTTTTTGAATTCCTAGTACCTATCTTCACTATTATACAGAAGTTGTGAGATTTGTTACACTTATTTTTAATTTAATTACAACTACTCATTATCAATACATTATTTGCGGAGTGCTATTATAAATTAAAATGTAAATAATACGATGATAAAAAGATAGTTTAAGTTCTTTCTAGATCACGGCTCTTGTATATAAATAGAAGGTCAAAACTTCTTATCTCTAATACCTTAAGAATGATTGAAAGAGGCTTATGTCTTTTTTTCTAAGTGAATGCAGATCGACAGATGCAAGGAAATTGATGATTTGCTAATTTATATGTTGGTCTAATACTTGATTTCTGGAATGCTTGAATTTCTGTAATAAAAAATTATAGACATAATCTGCAAAGGATATATCGCACACAGTTTAGTATTTAGTTAATTAATTTGTATCATCAATGAATTTTCTTTAGTATATTTCTTCAATGATGAGACAGAGCTCATTCAAATTTAATTTGAGTGGCCTTGAGAGTAGATCCTAATTGGATATTTAATTCATGATGGTGGGATATGCATCGATCAGATCATCGAATTTAGTAGTAATTGAATGCTCTGTCTTGACATGAGATTAAATGTATGTTTTAGACTCTAATTTAGAGATTCAATTGCAATTTACTTGTTGGAGTATATGACTTAAAACTTGCAATGTCAGAATTAGCACTGTATTGTCTGGCTCGATGCTATTGTGGCATAGTAGGTTTCTTAATTGATTGCTTTTCTATACTTATATTGCTTTCAGCTAGAAAAGTAATATATTTTTTTTTGGCATCATCAGTGAGTTCTGAGAAATTGATCATAATTTGTTTCATCGTTAATAATTAATGTAGATTTTGCGCTAAACTCTTTCAAATTCAACCATTCTGTACAATCCTCAAATAATTCAAACTGCAGTGGCCGTCATTATGAATAACAATGAAATACTGCTGATCAAGCGTAAAGTAAATGCCAGAGATCCTCATTCTGGTTAGATTGCATTTCCTGGTGGCAAAGTGGAAAAGGATGAAAATACATTGTAGGCAGCAATAAGAGAGACTCAAGAGGAAATCGGAGTGAATCTAAACGAAAGCCATCATTTGGGAAGAATGGATAAGAATTATCAAGCATACTATACAAAGAACAAGCATCTAATGATAGCAGCTCACATCTTTTAATTGGATGGACATGTGGATTTTATCCCGAATGAGAATGAAGTTGATAGAGTAATGAGATTGCCTTTGAACTCGATAAGTTTATAGAACATGAGTATTAAAAAGTACAAAAACAAATCAGTCCATTTATTTGTTCGTACTGTTGAGAGATAACAATACTTATCTGATATTGTGATGAAGGGATTTTAATATTAATAGTTCCCCTATTATAAATTAGAAAAACAAGTGTTTTATGGATTGAGTTGGCTTGTACTTTGTGATGTGTTACAGAAATTGAAATTGCATTAAGATGTTGTTGATTTCACCTTCAAAAATTATCATTATGGATTTGAAAATGATATTCGTAAGGAATAGTTTTTCGATGAATGGTTCAAGAAGAAGAGATTAAATTAGTTTATGTGTAATTGAGTTAATTCATTTTTTCATTTGACCACAAACTTCACATTTCTCCTCTGTATTCTCTTCGTATGTACAAAATGCACAAGTCCATGATTACAATGTTATGTACAAATTCACTTTCTTAATTATTGACAACTTCTTTTTTATCTCATTTATGTCATTCGTACAGTTCACATAATAGGATTTCCCATCATCATCAATATACGTTAATAAAGGGCTGATTATGTTCATTTGCTCTCTGATGAAACGAACTACCTCATCATAAGTGGGGTTCTCTTTTTCATATAACTTCTCTGACTCTCCAGAAACTATGTTGAATAACATCAATATTAATATTAATGTATTAAGTCTTTATTAGTGGTTTGCCATATACTGCTTCAGAAAATGATGTTTAATCTCTTTTTGAAGATTGCGGAGAGATCCTGTAATTCATACCATTTAAACTAGTTCCATTAAATTGCCCAGATATTAGGATTCAAACAGACTACTAGGATATGGTCACATCACATTTAGTGATTCCGAAGCTATCTAAAAAGCCTTAGCACTTAATGGCACTCAATTAGGCGGCAGATATATAGATGTCAAGGAGGCAAAAGGAACTCAACCTTAAAAACCAAATGTTCCCCCTCCTGATTGTCTCACAATCTTTGTCAAAAATCTCTCCTATGATCTTAATGCCGATCAAATCGGAGACTCCTTTAGACCTTGTGGTAAAGTAGCAAACGTTAGAATGGTGTACAACACTGTATCAAAGAATTTTAAAGGCTTTGCATATATAGATTTCGAAGATCATTAATCAGTGATTAAGGCCTTATAAATGAATGGAAAAAAGGTTCACGGAAGGCAAGTCTAAGTTGATTTCGATGTCAAAAGACCTAAAGCAGGATATAGATACCAACCAAAACAAGTCGAATAATAAAACAAATATAATTAAGAATATCAAGAAATTCAAAAAAAGAAAATCAAAAAGGAAAAAGCTGTCTAAAAAGTTAAGAAAATTAAGAATTTTGCAGAGACTTAAAAGTAAATATCTGCTCAAAGAAATAAGCAATAAATATGATTACCTAATGTTTTATATTTTATAGTTTCTAAAGATTATCATAACTTATCAAATGCTTATTTTATTGTTATAATAAATAAAAGAACTTTTAATTTTAAATAATTATTTCATAGCACACAAATGGTTTTCACTAAGAATACTATTTTAAAGAAGCTTAAATCAATTTATTATGGGGTTGTGAATGTATTTAGAATGAATAAATATATTTAAAATGATTTCTAATTTTTCTGTTGACTTTTTGATCCTTCTTATCAATAGTGGTCTATCAATTGTTAAATCATTTAATGAGATCTTCAAATTTTGTAAATTTATTATTTGGTATCTCAAGTTGAATATTTAAAGTTTTCAGGGTTTTTAACATTATCGTAGTAATTAATTGAAATAAATTTAATGAATATGTAAGATTTCAGATTTGAGGTAGTAACATTTACTTGAAATATATATCATAATTTCACCATTCTTATTTTACATATATTTATAAAATATTTACTCTATTTAATTATTTTTGTTTTAAACACAATAAATGTATTTTAATTCAAATATTTATCGATTACAAGTTTTGACTCAAAAATTAATGTGAACAAATGGCAATTAATACAGATGAATAAGGAATAAGGCTGTATAAAAAATATGGAGTGCAAAAACATTTGGGGATGATGTTGGAATTGGGGTTAAGAAGTTTCCTTTCAGAATTAGATGGACAGAATGATTACTCTTTTTATAATTTCCAATTATTTAGAAAATTACAGTAAGCATCTAACATTGCTGAGGAAATTATCAGTAATTTTAAGATACTTGACTCAGGCATTTAAATCTGATGAATTGACAAGAGCTTGGTAAATATTTTTTTGTTCTTTAATTGAAAAGGATAAACAATTAACAAGTATTGCCAAATATAATAACTTTCTTTTTCTCTACTTTCTACTTGCTACTAAAATTTACAATGCAGGTATTTTACAACTTATTTAAATTTTAGTTTATTAAAAAAGTTAGCTAAAGGAAATGATTTCCTCATTTAAATGTAACCTATGTACATAGCTTCAGGAATGATCTCACTGCTATTTGAATTATTATACACTGTAATAAATTAGAAATATAGGAAACACAAGCGAAGAATAAGGAGATTAAGTTCAAATATGCTTATGAAAATTTTTAGAGAAGATTTGAGTTGTTTAAAGGGAAAAGAATAATTTTTACTTACATATAATATCCATAAATATGAACATGGATTCATGAATAGAATAATATTCTTAGCAATAATCAAATTTGTTTTTTACTATTTTCCAATTAAACAGGTTAAAAAATAAAATTTCAATGTATTAATATTTAACGAAATATGTAATTATTTTGAATCACTAAAGGGAGGATTTCATTACATAAATATACAAAATCTAAATTAATTAAAGATAGTAATTAAATAAAGTGTGTTAAAAATCAATAATAATAAATTATATTATGATTCAAGAAATTATGTCTTGAGTCAAATTTAAAGCTTCTTTAATTATATCTTGTATTTTATCCATTCTTTAATAAAATAAACTAGAATCGTCTTTTAATTGCATTCCCTCTAAATATCCAATCCTCATTTAATCTCTTAAAAGTATCTCAATATATTCTTCAACATCTGTTTTTTATTTTTATAAAAACATATGACTTGCTAAAATCATATCCATCCCTCCTATTGCTAATTCTAAACCAATTCTTTCTTGATCCTGATAAAATAACCATTATTCCAAATCAAATTTACCATAATTTTTATTTTCTTAAATCTCTGAAGATTTATTAAGTTGTGCATCAAAATCAATGTCAATGTTAATGAACTCTTCTTTACTAATAAATAAATAACAATAAATACCAGAAAGCAAGATCAAAATCTACTGGAGCTAGTAAGCTAGATCCATTTTAAATTAAAACAAAATTATCTAAATGAGCATTGCTATGATAATAAAATTTGCTATGATCCCTGAAATATCCCCAACTGATGTCATTGTCAATAAATATTCTTTTTACTTTTCCTATTTCATATCCAATCCTTTAATAAAGAATACTTATATTTTATAGCTTTGAGTTTACATTTAAATTTTCTGTGATACTAACATTATCCTTTTCTTTTTCCCAATCAAATACTCGATTATTTTGATAATCATCCTCCTAAAATATTGTGCCTTATGGTCTCTCTCTGAATTATGTATTATTAAGATCCCATGGATTTCCATTTGGTGACTTTCTATTCTCTACAATCCTTGATTAAACTGTAACCAATCGTCTAATATCATCGACACTCCAATCAGTAACACTGGAACTTACAATAATTCTAAGACCTTGAAGTAAATGTGTTCCAAGTCTGAAATCACCAATTGTCTCATAGATTCCACAATATTTTGGAACTAAAGACATTTCATTTTACAAGTTCTTCTCTAAATTTTCATTTATAGATTCAACATCTCCATATTACCAATAACCAATACTAATATTACCAGTTTCTATGTTATATTTCTTTAATATTTATTCAACCTTTCTATTCATAAAAAGTTCTCTTTTGACTGTATGATCAAAACAACATCCTCTTATTTCAACTGCATTTTCTATGTCCCCTTCAAATTTTCTCAGTGTAAAACCGTCAGTCCCATTTCCACAACCTTTTAATCTATAATTTTTTCCATTCTATTTAATGATGGCACTTCTCATGCCTGATTATTATCCAACAACATGTGGGTACTCAGCCTTTGGAAGCGCTTTGATATATCCTTTCCCATCAAAAAGGTTTTTATTATTTGCTTTAGTATCTAATTCTTTTAGAGCATATGTTGGTGGACACACAATCAACAACTTTTATTGGGGATTCATAAAAGATTGAATAAATCTATAAGATAATCCTTCTCTCAAAGTGGAAAGACTTTTGTCTATTGTAATCTAATCCTAAAATAGAAATGTCTTTTCAATTGGCACTTCTACCAAACAAACTTTTCCTACCTCCTATTCCATTTTTATTAATATTATTTTGCATTTAAACTAAATTTTATATCAATTTTTATCAGAAATAATTAAAATTCCTAATCAAATAAGAATGAATTGTTTATGATACTATTTAGGATAGTTGAATATTCTAGAGAATTAAAGTATGATTAGTTTACCAACACAAAATTAATCCTAAAAGTATTGGTAAATTATTTACAACTTCATATTTGAAATGGGATGAGGATAGGTAAAATTCAAATAATCATTTACATATGCATGAATAATTAGAATAGGAATCAAATTTAGTAGTATTCATATTGATAAAAAACAAAGCCATTAAATATAATCATCTAGAGTCCAAGAAACAATTAATGTATCTTGCGTTGTATCACAAATAACAACTGCTATTCAGATAGGATTCTTAAAAGCTCAAAATCAAAATCTGAAAATAATTTTGAATTAAAAACATTTATGTAAGCTGTTTATTCTTTAGATACAATCATTTAACTTATTAATCTAAGATATAACATAACTTAATAATTTAAAGATAATAAAATGTAAATTTGTTTTTGTAATAGCTTAAACAAATATTATTAAAAATCAAAAAAAATAATAATTAAAATACAAAGTATATATTCTTTGAAAGGGGATTTTGTCTTTTTTTTATGAGAATATGAATATAATGTTATTTTTTTTAATATCTTAAACTATAATTATGTATTACAAGACTTAAATTACAAATTTTAGATAATACTTTGCATTCTCTATTTTCAAATAATTTTCAAAGATTTGTAATTCTTAATATATTTAGTTTATTAAAAATAATAATCAATTATGAATGATAATCTGGGGATTTAGAATAACAGATTTCACAAGAAAGCGGTGTAAAATCGAAAGAGATAAACGTCAGCAGATACAAATACTATTCAGCAGATGTAGAAAGGAAAGAAAAAAAATGAATACTATGAAAGGTGGCTAACAAATTAAAAGATCCCATAATAAAAATTGGATTCTGAGTCAAATCTTGATAATCATACACCATCAACTCCAAAAGCCTAAATTCCAACTAAACTAGAGCCTAAACTAATAAGGGATGTCATGCAGAAATTCGATTCAGAACAATATGGACTTTGATTTTCTTATATATGATTGATAATCTAAAATTCTAAGTAACAATCAATAATTTTTGATTTATCTATCCTTATTTCTTATGTTAATGAGTGATTGAAAAAAAACATTTCTTTTGTGAATAAACATACTTAAAAAAAGGTTTTTATTAAATCATCTTCAGTTGCGATAGAGAAAAGGGGCTTATGGCTAAACTGCTCAATTTAACAAAAGAATCATATGGTAATCTAAAATTTTAGTTTATTGTAATATGCCCATTTATAAAATTACAACTTTTAGTGAAATGTTTCTAAAATAGTTGTTAAATTTTTAATTGAGTTTGTAAAGTGTATTAAAAAGTAAGTAAAATGTATATAATTATATGAAAATTTCTCATTGATAAAACGACTCGATAAGAAATACTTAATTTAGGTTTTGACTGAAATCAAAAGGATACTAGATATTTGTTTGGAAGTTCCAACAGTTGTAGGATAAGGAAGACGAGGTTATTTAAGGTCTAAGTCAGTTTTCCTTACTGAAGGGAAGATAAAACATAGATTTTAATTTTCGTCTGTGTTTAAAATTAGGCATATATAATATTTAATTAACAGTAAATGTTACCGAGCATAAAGAGTTACAAGGAGAATAGGTCTTCGCATAGATTAAAGACTGAAGGGACATGCAGATATCCAAGGAGCAACTCCTTTTTGGGACAAATATCTCGAGAGCCAATTAAACAAAGATTGTGCAAGAGGGATCCATTGAAAGAATTGCAATCATTTGACAAGGAAATAAAATTGTTGGAACAATATGAGAAAAAGCTAGATGCAGCATTTATAGAGAGATTGAGGGTTCAATTGTATTGGCTTAAAATGTGAGCACTTTTATATATACTAATATTAAAATATATAAATTAATGAAAAGTTCATAAAACTTCCGTATCAAATCAATAAAATCAAACTAATAAAATTCGAATCAATACAGATCTTTATAAGTGAGTTTGACTTGCAAGTCGTTGACAAATAGAGTGGTTAAGCAGTTGGGCTAATTTTAAAAAAGTGTTATCTAAATTTAACCAAGACAAGTTTTACAAAAATAGAGCAGTATCAATTGTAGACAGTCACTTGTTTCTGTCACTGAAAGTTAGGTAAGTGTTGATGAGGAGTTTGAAATATGGGATAATAACTAGGACCTGAGATTGAAGAAACTTGTGATAGAAGAGAGAAAGCCCTCTGTTGGATAATTTTTGTAACTATACAAGGCTAGATATGGGTATAATTAGATAATACATAAGAGGATTCCCAGGATATCGATAGCCAATATAAAATGAGGAAGTCATTAAAGCAGCTATAAGTCATGCATCATCGAGTAAAAAGTTATTCAAAAAATATTTTCCAAAAAAATAAATAGTTTTTGAGGATGACAATGATTATTCTCAGCCATATAACATTCAAGATGATCAACATTTCCAAAGCTTCAATCGTTTTTTTAGGAACAAAAAGCTCTAATCTACTCTCAAGATTCCCTAACACAATTAAATCAATAAAAGTAGATGAGGAAGATTCCAAGTTGAAGATGTTTAAATAAATTCAACAATGATTTTATATCTTTATATTCTGTAAACTTTATCTATAATTTAAAAAATGATAATTAAGAAAAAGGTAATTATTTTTTTATTTTACTAAATAATTTCAATAATATATCATTTAAGCAAATGGTCAACTGCATTTCTTTCGTCGACTAATTCCTTGATGGTCTTATCCAATAAGCCTTGATAGAATGGTGAAATGGGTAATCCTTGGACAATAGAATATTTGCCATTCTTAACTGTAACTGGGAAGGAGAAGATCAATCCCTTTGGTACTCCATAGCTTCCATCAGAAGGGATGGCCATAGAAGTATAATCACCTAATGATTTTAAAGACTATTAGTACCTTCAGCAGTTCCATTGACCCAAGTAGTGATGTGATTCATGGCAGCATTACCAGCTGAAGCAGCACTTGAGAGTTTTCTGGCTTTGATGATTTCGGCTCCTCTTTATTGAACAGTTGGGATGAATGTTTAGGTGACCCATTATTAATCGACTGTGGCTTTGTGATCTATTGATAGACTTAGGATATTCTTATACTTTTTGCAGTCATTTAATCAATGTATGGAACCATGGTTGGTGAGTGATTTCCGAAGATTGCTATTTTTCTGATGTCAGATGTGTGAACACCTAATTTATCAGCCAATTGATGTTGTGCTCTATTGTGATCTAATCTTGTCATTGCAGTGAAATTCTCTTTAGGAATATCTTTGATTTGATTGGCCAAGATCAAACAATTGGTATTGCATGGATTACCAACAACTACGACTTTGATGTCTCTGCTTGCATGGTCCTATATTATATAGATCATAAATTCATACATTAATGTATTTTCCTGTTTCTGTGAAGATTTTACCGTTGTCTTTCAACAAATCTCCTCTTTCCATTCCTGGTCCTCTTGGTTTAGCACCTACCATAAGAGCATAGTTGACATCCTTGAATCCTACGGATTAATTGTCAGTTGCCACGATTCCTTAAACCAATGGAAAAGCACAATCTTAAATTTCCATCACGACACCATTTAATGCTGCCATGGCAAATGGTAAATCAATCAAATGAAGGATGACTGGTTAATTTGGTCCAAGCATTTCACCGCTGGCAACTCTGAAAATTAGGGAATATCCCAATTTGACCAGCAGCACCTGTGATGGCTACTCTAACGGGTGGCTTTAATTATTGACCAAATTGGGCAATTGAAGCTCTTGTGAATTGATTGGTAAGGACCTTTTGGAGATACTTTTGCATTTTAGATATTTAATTTATTTCTGGATTTGCTACATCACTACATTTATTTTCAATACATAATACGTAATATTTTATAACTATGGATTTCAATACTAAGGTTGATGAATAACTAATCTATGAAGGCAAGTGGCTGCATTACAAATTCCTCCATTTTGAAGTTAATGGACACAAAAAAATATGGGAGTTTGTTGAAAGACCTCCAGGTCATAGAGGTGGTGTAGAAATCATACCCATCATCAATTACAAAGAAAAACCATCTCAGCTGATTCTCATTGCCAATTTTAGACCTCCCATTAGAAAGTTTTGTCTGGAATTCCCATCAGGCTTAGTAGATTAAGAAGGTACCATAGAAGAGAATGGTCTAAGGGAAATTAAAGAGGAAACAGGATATACAGCACAGATCAGGCATTTTCAATATAATGGAGTACGCATAAGAAACGACCCCTGGAAATCTACAGAGAATGAAGTAAGCATTATTGTTGACATCGATGGGGATTCGGAAGTTAATCTCAATCCAAAATAAGAATTGGAATCAGATGAGAACATTATTGTTTACAAAATGAATATGGGAAAGACTTTGGCTGATGAAATATTGTAGTTGGCTCAGGAAAAGGATTACGAAATCAGTGGACTTCTTTGGTTTTTTGCATTGGGCCAATAATTTACCAATTAATGAAATATAATTATTTTAGTATTCAATTATGTTATTCTTATCCATATTGATAGGAAGGTGTTTGGCCTCTCTCAATCTAACCATTGGAATTGACATAAATAATAAGGAATCCTTAGCCTATTTGGGAAGATTGGAATAACATTATGAATAATTTGAAGAAAAAGGATGTAATTCTCTTCTCATTCAATTAAGTGACCTTGAACATTCGGAATCACATTCTGCCATGCTACACATGCAAATAGAGACATAATTACACATAACCTGAATTACATTGCTTCGGAGGTGGAAGATATTGTTGTAAGCAATTTTGTCTTCAACCTTAGAATTTTCAACTTATGCCAATGGTCAATAGTTACTTACAGAGATTATCAGATAGCAATGCTTATTTGCAAAGGATATTAACATATTTTTAAGCTATATCAATTTCTTTTAGTAAGATTGTTTTGAAAGTCCACATTATACATTTTGTTCAGAAAATATATTGAAAAATTTGCTTAGTTTAAATACAACTGAAATTGATGAATGTGTTAATGCTAGCTTTGTAGGAGAGGGTGATAAGGCATTGTTAGAAAATCACCTACTTGCTTAAGAAATGAAAAAGTAATATAATGAGAGTTCACTAAGTGTATACTTAGATAATAAAGAAATTTAGGATTCGTCATTTCCTGAAATGATTGGCTAAATATGTTATAAATTAAAAACTGATCCGCCTGAATATTGCAATATATTTTCACGTCTTGAAAAAAACACAACAATAAAATTAGATGATTAAATCCTCTTTTTTATTTTTATAGTACTACTCATACTCCTAATTTTGATATCAATAAGGGTCTTAAAAAGAGTGAAGTATGTGATTTTGGAAAAACAATCTATCCCTATAGAAGAAACAATTGGAATTATTTCAGGGGAAAATATACAATGATTTTATGCAATTTATTAGAGTGTTAATTTAAATAATCATTTGTTATGATGACATTTAATTTATTTATTCTCATATTGGCTATCCTAATATCTTACTTAAATAGTTGAATAATAAGTACTTAAAAATCGTAGATAATGTGTTATTAAAATAATCATTTTGTTCATCCCTGACTCTTCCATCACTTCGTCTAATGAAGTAATATGGGTTTTATCCTAAAATCATATAAGTATTATTCCAACTAAATACCAAAAATTGTTATTGGAATGCTTTTTAATAATTTCATTGCTATAATTTGAAACAGATTCATAACTTTATTAACAATGAACACTCATATTTCATTCTATATCAAAATTTAATGTTTGATTCTATATAGTATTTCATTATTATAAATCAAATGATAATTAAGTCTACTTCATGATCTCAAAATTTAATATCTTAACCAATATAAAATTACAATGCCATATAAACCCTGCTCTAATGATTGTCACAAAAAATCAATAACTCTAACCTTTTATATGATTTTCTCTGTTTTCTCCTACGATAAGAGTTTAAGTCCAAAAAATTATAAATACTAGTTTTCAAAGATTCATCTCAATTTGGCACCAATATATTCTACAAAATATCTCGCAAATAAATAGTTACAAAAAAATAAACTCAGACAATTTAAGAAATTTTATTTTGTAATCATCAATTATCAATCATCAAACGAAGATTACAATATTATTCCGGTTCTATAATTCTTTAATTTAATTAAATAAGTTACTCAATCTCTATGCATTCAATTTTTGTTCTAAATTTGATTTTAATATTTATATAGTTATATAGCATTTTTTTAAACGTATAAAGGAGATTCTTATGAATTACAGTGAGTTTTTATTCAGAATGCTATAAATGATTATTCATTTATAGATAGAAATGAGTTGTGAACATTAAGTAATACTGGACAAATTGTAAATACTTATTAATTAATTATAATAAAGAGGTATAATCACAACAATGAAGTATTGTTGATGCTACTTCTTAAGTTATTAAATTCATTAGCGCTTTTTTCTGAAACCTAGACTTCTGCTTTTAGGATTTTTTGGTTAAGCAGAAACATGTAAGAGACTTTAATTGATTTTAGGAGATATCACTGATTTAATCCTAACTTCAGTTCTTGTGGGAGGTATGTCAATTTCAGCAGATGAAAAAATAATGAGAGGCTGTCTAGTTTTTCTTAGATTGAATTTTCTCTCTTGCAATGTTGAATAATCAATTTGGTATTTGTATCTCTCTTTGACTTCTGAGAGAGTTTTAAGGGGTAGGTTCATGGTTTGCAACTTCTGATCTAGAGTTAGTTGCTGATTATAATCAAGCATAGATTCCATGATTGGTTCTTCAAACATTTATAAATATAATAATAATATTGACATTAAAATAAGCCTAATCGATTGAATTATATAATCATCCTCCACATCAGGCTTGCAGTTTAAATTTAAGAGTCGAATGAGTAATTGAATTCTTTAAAAAAATGATAATTTTTACATTAGTTACTCAAAGACCTTTTGCATTATATCTAACACAGTTTATTTTAAATCTTCCTATAAAGCTTCAATTTTAACTATTGATAATTTCTAGTGATTCTAAGTTATCTAATTTTAGTTGTAAATGTTATTCTCTAATCAATTTGATTGACTAATTTATTTATTCAAAGGATTACTTAGATCAATAAATTCAATCAATCTTTCGAAAGACCCATAAGCAGGTTCTCCTTTAGGAAAATAGACAAAAAGGATACTATCATATTAATTCTGACAACATACTTAACAATGCTTTTAGTAGTAGTAAGGTAATTTAAGATAATCAAAAATGACTCATTTCTTATATGATAATTTTTATAGTTTTTTACCCTCACATAATCTTTTTCTTATTTATAATATTAAATTATATCTTATGTTCTTGTTTCAATTTAGATATGTCTTAATCCATAGTTATTGTATTACTGCCCATCTTTAAACTCCATACAATAAGGATGCTTTAGAATTTAGATATTTCCTAGTCTACCCATTTTTGTCTTTAATTTTCAATTTAAAATGGGTAGAGGAATAAGCAAAGTTAATAAATTCATCTATAAGCTTCTATATTAAATATCAATCTAAACCATTTCTATTTTTTTCCTCCTGCAAAGTATAGGTAATCGTAACTATTAATAATTAGAATAGAAGAATAGTATTTCTATTAGATGATTTCAATGATTCATATTTTTAAACATGGTTTCTTTTTGCTAATTTATCTATGGAGTGATAATAAAGTCCTCCTCATCTTCTATTTCTAAGTTCTTCAAGTTAAATTTCCTTTACTTTTCTTTTAAGTTCCTATCTTAATTTTCCCACTTTATTTTGTTTAAATTCATTCAATTTCAACAATTCCTTCTCTCTCTTGCTTTTTTTAATTAATCTTAAAGTTTGTCTAAAATTATACTTTTTCTGCTAATTTCTGTCAACTTTACTCTCATATGGTTTTGAGTTTTTTTCTTTGGGTTCTTGAAGAATGGAAATGAGTTTGAGTAGCAGTTATCAATGAGAAGTGTTCAGAGGTAGAATAAAAAAAATTCAGGGCCGAAACATCAAATAGAAGGAGACTTTAATAAATTACATCTTTTAGTTTCTTAATTTTGCTTTAGTTACAATTTGATCTTGAGGTGTGTGTTGGTTATTTTCATGTATCTTCAATATTAAAAGGTTGGGAATTTGGGTTCAACTATTTTGTTTGTCTTAGTACTCATTATTTTTAATTAATATTATGTAGAAATTTGATAAGGAGAGATATTTTCATAAGAGTCCAGAATAAGTATTTATAGTTTATTTATCAGATAAGAAGGGAGAAACTTGACATGAAGATGCAAAATGTTAAAGATGATCAACAAAATGGCGTCGTTAAGTATTTCATGAAACACAAAAGTTCGGATTAACTGCAGTCTCCCGTTCATAATGTTCAATACTATAGTAATAAAGACAAACCGAAAATGGTACTTTATCGCACTCTCCAGAAAGTTTAAGTCGAACCTGAAGTTAGGATAGATGAAGTTAAGGAATTAAGATGGCGTGTATTATCGAAAAATTGCCAGAACTTGTTGGAATTAAGTAGGGTTGCTCTTGATAAACTGAGTGAATTTAAGTTTATTTCACCAACACCATAAGCTTCGAAACCAGCATCAAATCCTAAAATTAAGTTTCTTTCTAAAAGGCATTCTATCGAACTTCGTTTAGGGGATATCACTACTCCACCTCCATCACAACCTAAACCAGCTCCAAAAATACTGCAAGATCCCTTCTATGCCAAATTTAAGAAATTTTATTAAAAAATTGGGTTGCAAGTTAAGGAGCCTAATAAATTTAATCTCAATCAAGATGATAGATAAACCTTACAGAGTTCTGAAAAATAAACTCATAAGAAACACAGAAGTTTGCATGTCTCTCCACAATAATCAAGTTTGAATTTCTCTCAAAAGAAACCAAAGAATGCGTATTTTCTTTAGGAACTCTTAAAAGTGTCCTCCAACGCTTACAGATTTTAAGTGAGTTTAAAAAAGGACCAATCAGAAAATATCGAAGAAACTAGTCAAAAGGTAAATAACATATAGTCAGATTTTGACAAGTTCCACAAGTTATTAAATTAGTCTGACTCATTTTGAATATGTTATAATGTGATATAAATATTATTATTAATGTTGATAAAATAAATTAAAGAAATTCTACAATTAAAACGTAACTTTTCAGAAGATAAAGCAGATAATAATCTCAAACTCAACAACTTTAATGGTTTCTTAGATTAACAATAAAGATGGGTTAATGGACAAAAAAGACTTGAGGATTGTTTATAAAGAATTGCAAGATTAGATGATGGGAAACAAAAATCTGATGAGTTTTTTTATACTGACTCCACAAAATAAATGTAATATGAATTTAGTTTATTACTTGCAAAACAATTACTCAAATAAATTACGAACATTATGCTAAACAATAAGTTTCAAGATTATCTAATCAATTGTAAGTCAGGAGATGATTACTTATAATCCCTTTTAGATAAATTCCAGTATGTACAAGACTCAGATTCAAAATACTAAGAACAAGAAATCGATACTAGAAAATATTTATTTGAAATAACAATCAAATACTTTAAATCATTAAATATTGATTATTTAAGGAAAATAGTGAATTAACAACGAACCCTTGAATACTATGTGAATTAAATATAAGAAGCTATTCTGGAACTCTTTTATGAGGAATACATTCTGAAATAATAAACTGAGGATTATACAATGAAAATATAAGAATAGAAAAAAAAAATATTAAATAATAATACTAAAGATTAAAATTCACTGATTACTTAAAAACTCAAATAACAACTGCCAGAACCTAACAATCACGAATTGGGATATGAAAATAAGGAAATCAATGTGTTTTGTGCACTTAGTAACGATGAGTAATATGGAAAAGTACTCGAAGAGGCACTACTATTTGATTCCTTTTATTGTGATAAATTATTGACTAATCAATCCTATCATAATCATTAAAAATAGAGAAAGTTCAAAGTGTAATCATAAAAATATAGTAAGTAGGATTTAGAACATTTTATCAGTAATTACAAAGTGAATTAACTGAGAATGACTAAAAAACATATAGGTGAACTAAATAAAACAGACTATTCAAACCGATACTACTAAACCAGAGAATAAAGAATTAAAAGTGAAAATAACAAATCTAGAATAATCGAAGTTACAGACAAGATAAATAAAAGGAGAATTAATACTATTCAATAATTCTTCAAAAACGATCCAGAAATTAAAAGACAAGAGAACAAAGAAGTCATTGATTTCTTAGTCAATTATAATTATAAGAAGGTGCCTAAAACATTATAAAACTTTATAATTCATTAGAATTCAAATGAGGAGAAGGATCTGTCATCAGATTTATTGCATAAATTATTCTTCAAGTACTCTAACAAGTATGAAGAGGATTCAAGCTAAACATTTTAATTTATCAATGCACAAAATTTCATTACTCTATGTAAAGACTTGAAAACATAAATCACGAGCGACGAGGGACTGAGAATATTCCACAAATGTCTTGAGGATCAATCGTTTTTTCTAGATAAAGGGTTGACATACTCATTTTTTCTTGATGCTATTCGAAACTTAGCTTCAATTACAAGTGAGATTGATACAAATAATCCAGAATTTCAAAGGGAAGCCAATTAAGTGAGATTCAAGTTTAGCAAAAAGGAAATCGAGTAGAACTCGGATCCTCAATAGAAAATCAACAAGTAAGCATATTTCTATGTGTTAGATTCCTATAGATTTATATATTTCCAAACAAAACATTCTTTTATGAACCTATTGATCTCTAATTATAAAATTGTTAATATTATTCGGACTTTCTAGAAGCCTTTAATCCTTTAATTGCAGAGTTTTTTGAGAATTCCAAGAATGAATAATCATAATTTATTAATTTCGATGATGTGGTTAAGGTTTTTATGAAAATCAAATTATGTCCATCGAAAATTACCAAAGCAACCATTAGGTATTATTTTTATTATAGCTAAATCGAAGATGAAGGACTTACTTTATAATAATTTCATAATTTCTTGAACTTGCTGGCTTTGCAATAAAATAGGAAGATCATCAGCAGCAAGGAAACTTCAAATGTTATTTAATATTATACTTATATTTTTGAGTAAAAAAATGGGATTTCCAATGACACCATAGCCACATATAAAAAAATCATGATGTTTTATGTTCACAGAGATTATTTGAGGTTGCTCAGAATAACTAAATTGGCTGAGTTCTCAATAGATAGAAGAGAATCATTTTAAGATTTTTGAATAATTATTATCATAATAAACTACGATAAACTAGATTTATATAATTTGCCATTTCTTATTTCACTTGTCCCTTCGCTAGATACAGGGGCACAGATAACTTAAAATCACATTCTGACCACAATTACACCAGTGAATAGCTTTCAACTTTGAAGACTATTGTTGAGAACCTTAAAAACTTATGTTTAATATAACCTCTAAGAAAAATACTCCTATTTCATTACATTTTTTAGAGGTTGGATTACATATCCACTTAACTGGATGTTTCCTCTCACAATTTTATTTTGGATTGGACAAATTGAATTATCAATAATAGATCTGCTGGCATCACACCAGATATCATTATCCTTATCAATTTATTCCGTTTTTTTAAAGTAAACAAAATCCCTTGCCGATACAATCGAGACACTCTTATAACTTAAATATATCAGTTGTTCTTGCTTCTCTGGATGCTTTTTTATACACTTGAACTAATCGATCCTATTATCAAGTTTTATTTAATCTTTAAAATCTCCCATAAATTATATGAACCTTTCGCTCTTACAGGGTACTATGAACTAGCTATAAGTAACATTGATTTTATTCCCATCTGGTAATTGCACTTGTCTAATGTATAACTTCAAAAAATGAGGGCTTTTGATATCGTCTAACAATAAACTCCAATTTTTCTCATCTTATGGAAACTCTTAAATTTTCTATTAGATTTATGTTATAATCTCCTTTCCAAGTTCCTAGTATTAGTTAAATTCATCTGGTTTTATTTCATCATTCTTCACTACCTCGTTTTCTTATTCTGGCTCAACAATTGATTAACGAGTGCTCTTTATGTCAATTACTTATAGTAAATCAATAATCGTTTTTTTCTCATATTCGGGTGGTTTAAATTATCTATAAGGTATTTCCTTTAATTTGTCAAGTTAATAATCAATCTCTTATATAAACATTTGATGCTCTAATTCATTTTTTTTCTTAAAAGAGCGTTTTCCCAAACAAAAATTATTTCCCATTATAATATTATAATCTGTATTTGAATGAGAAGTATTAAATATATTCGGTTGATTTTAGATTTTAATTATCACTTTAATTCACTTGAATAAGTATTTAAAAATAGGTTTAAAATCACAATAATGAAAGTATCATAACACTTTAAAAGAGTTATTTATAAATAAAATTTATTATTTCGAAAATAATAATCTAATAGAAATAATTTAAGGATTTTAAAACTAATTTTACACACATATGTATTAGAATTATTGTATCATAGTTAAATTGTATTCTAATCAATAAATTACTAAGTTATATAAAATGATTATTTGATTAAATGTTTTAACAATGATAAAATTTAATCTATCAATCCCAATTACTTGGTGGAATAGTGTTTAATTTTAGGCTTAGCTTCTCTACATTTCCATATTTGGTTTCAATATCATCTCTAGTTGCATTTGTTAATGCAGTGTTCAAAATTTCTACATTTAAAGAATCTAGTTTAGAGAGTGATTATTCTAAAAGTTACAACATGTCTTTGATTCCTTTATCGGTCAATTAATTTTAACTAACTTTTAATTATACAACCTTGTATTAATTATAATAATACCTTTGGAGATTTAGCATTCTTAACAGCTCTAGCCAATTCTAATGCTCCTCTGTCTGAAAAGGAGTTGAAATTCATATTGACATGTAATTCCTCCAATTAACTCTAATATTGAATTCCATCAGCAATAAATGTAGCTCCAGCATCACCGATGTAGTTTTCTAAATAATTGATTCTCAATGATTTTAATTTATTATGTTTGTAGAGAACATTCTTTAATAATTCTGCACCTTTTGGACCACATTTATTAACACCTATAACCAATTCTAGTTTATCCAAAGGAGGTAACTTCTCAATGGCTACCAAGATAGCCTCAAAGCCAACCCATCCAAAATTCTTTGTAGCTGCATTAATTGATAATTCTTTAAGCTATTTTAATTAGGTTAATGTATTTCCAACATATATTCCTCCTTCATCTTTTATATAATTGAATTCCAAACCCAAATTTAATTTGGTTACATTATTCATCTACTCTACTACTTTCATTAAACTTTCTGTTCCATTATATGTAATGTTGTTGAAATACAAATCAATTCCAAATTCTCTTACTTAGATCTATTATTATAATCCAACGCTGAGAGTCTTCACTCCATCATGTTAGATTTTATTTGCATATAAATTTAGATTGAGTTTCTCTAGTTTAGGAAGCTTTGATAGTATTAATTACAGAGATTCCATCTCTTTCTCTTTTAATTTACTTCCAACAAGTATAAGATCTAGAGCTTTAAGGTTTTTCATTTCTGCAAGAGGGGCAAGTGATTTAATGCCTTCTTCTGACAAATCACAACTGATGAGAGAAATACGAAGAGTTGTTAATTCCGGAATCTTAGATACCTATTAAATAATCTTGAGTCTGCTTTAATTATTAAGAATTGAGTCCATACCAAGGTTTAGATGCTCTAATTCCTTGAGTTTAGAGAGGGTGTCAACCAACTTCATAACTTAGGATTCTTAATTGATTATGGGATTATTTCCAAAAGATAACTTCACTAAAGTATTTTACATAGATTTTACATTCTTTTAACTTGGTTAAATAGCCCAAAGACTCAAAGAAGATTGTTAGATCAGAAATTTAATTGATCCCTAAATCTGCTATCAATTTAGTAGCTTAAACATTCTGATTTAATTAAGATGATAGATGGGCAACACCAGCGTCTCTAATAAACATTCCACTATTTTCCATGATAATTTCTAGTAAAAGAAGAATTACTTACGATCTCCATTTATTATGCAATTAATATTTTAGAATTCACTTAGGTATAATCTAATCCCATATGCAACAAGAATTCCTATAAGTATCCACACAATCTTTCCTAGAAAAGTAGATTCTTTTGTTTATTATTTCTCTTATTTTTGCATCTTTTATTCTTATTTTGCAATTTTATCAAAATTTTAATCAAATCCAATAGTATTATGACATCTTAATGACTACATATTTTCTAGAAGTATTCTGTGATTGATAATCAGTGATCTAATCAAAACTTGATGGCAATCGTTTCAGGGGTGAAGTTGATATGAAATATTGGACATAAATTTAAATTCTTGATAAATAATACATGATTCTATATATATATAGCATATGGATCATGTGAAGAATTAGTAAATATCACATTAAGGATGAATAGTTATTTATATCATTATAGTCAGCGAATAGAATATTCAAGTGGGCTAATTGCATAAGGGGCATTTATGAACTGCAAGAATCCATCTTTCAATGCATTCAGTATGGAATCTATGGGTGAAATGACACTCGAGTTAAGTGATGTTTTCTTTGTAATCAAGGTTTTACAAGCAAATGGCACACTCCATTCTATCCTAATCTAGTTTTTGTTTCTCTGGATTGTCTTGTCTCTGACCAACATTTTATTCTATGAATTGTTTGAGGTTGTTGAAATAATCTTCATCAACCTTTTTTCCTTCCAATTGAAATTAAAACTTCTTGTCTTCTATCCATTATAATAAGGAGATTAATTGTCCACTTCTGGGCTTGACTTTTAATTCTAACTAAGAATTCTGAAACACTATATTGTCATAGATTTCCTACAGAGCTTCCAAGTCATGGATTTGGTAGATGTTGGACAATGATTTCTATTTGTAAAGAGGGTAGTCTTGATAATTTTGAACCCATTGCAATCTCTACTCTTAGGGTTAAGCCAGATTAAAATCAAATATTTAGATCTGTTCTTCTTCCTTGTTGACACAATAACTTCGAAAAAGGAAGAAGTAGATTAGTTACATGATAGTAAAGAGGTAGATAAAGTGTTCATAAGAACAAAATTACTAAATTCCAAATAATGAATCTTTGGCGATCGTTTTATATGGTTTTTCAAGAAAGAAGGCGATGTAAGTGCATAAGAGGGAAAAGAAGTAAAGACCCTTTAATACACAATTCTATGTAGTGTATGAGAGATACACTGATTGGAACAATGTCATATAGCATCTGAAGTACTTCTTGGAATGCAAGGTGATGTTGATCTTTTTGATCAAATAGAGAACGTAAACGATCTGAGTGCAAATGATAAATGAATAAAAGAGACTGGTGAGTTGCGTAAATTTGTAATCCTCTTACTGTATGAATAAAAATATGATGTACAGAATTCCCTTGAATACATAGAATGCCAGTAGTAGTATCCCAAAGGCAAATGCTGTCTTCTGGACCTCTCTTGGAGCTAAAAGGTAGAATAAATTTGATTACAAGGATAGCGCTAATAAATGTATCGTTTAGGCTTTTTTGTAACCACTCTAATGTTGCAACAGCCCAACCAACACTTTCGACAAGCGTAGATCAATATCGTTGCTGCAACTATGTAATTCACAATTGCTAATAAGGATCCTATTACAATCTTCGAATTTATTAAGTATGCACTAAGTATAAGAGATATTATGGAGAACTAAATATTTAACAGTCTAAACGGGTTATATTTTTCATTGCTTGTGATTGCATTGATCGTATTCATGCCTGAAGCAAACGCAAAGGGATTCATTACTATGGATTCATCTTGATGCTTCTCCAACTCAGCCGAGATTCTCTTCAGGTCTTTCAGAATGAGAATGAAGTAAGGAATGAATAGAATGTAGGTAAGCGACAATGCGACGAGCATCCATATGTACTCACTCTCTTTTTCTATGTTTGTGAAGATTCCCACTATGCCTATTATTGCAAATATTATCATAAATAACACTCCCATCATAACTCCGCAGATGCTGCTCTTGACAACGTCTTTGGGATCCTCATCACGTATGTGCACTGATGAAGTTCTAAGTGAAAATGAACGATGCTCTCTGATATGCATCGACGCAGCAATAAGGATCATAATATATATAATATATCATTTTATCATTTTTTCTAATTCTTCTTTCATAAGGGGTTAATTAACCTCCTTTATCAAGGCCAATTGAATTTTTATATACGGCTACATATACACTATCAATCTTTACATCGAATAATTATTTGAGCGTATTCATTCCCTCAATCAACTTATCAAAGATTATATCCTGTTTCGGATAGGCACTCCAAAAATAGACCTCATAAGAAGTAGATATAATAATTTATTGATTATGAATTTCCTAAGGTTTTTCAAAAAAGATAGTACCTCCGAGACGAATTCCAATAATTCCATTTGCTCTTTGATCTTATTCCCAGCCTCAAAATTCACGATGATCTCCTTGATGCCCTGTTACTCATCATGATTTTCTATTATGGCATTCAACATAATCGATATCTCTGCTTACCAAAACTTCGGATCATCGTACTAAAAGTGATTGTGCACCAAATATGCTTGCAACAACTATAACTCCTTCAGAATGACCTCAGACTCCTTGGGAATCATCCTGCCAATTATTATTATGGGTAGCAAAGTCTTCAAATTCTTAGTGAACTTAAAAAAGTAATTCTACTACTCCAAAGGCTTCACTTTCTTAGTCAGACACTGTAAAACCTAAAGAGCCTTGATAAATTCAGCCTTCGATAAATAGTCTAACACTAGTGTAGCCCAAGCTCCGAAGTTCACATAATTCAAATATTCCTATTCAAATTTATTCAAATCATTCTACTCAGACGGAGTCAAACTATCTGATGGCCTTTTGAATTCATTGAATTATGCTTTAAATTTGTTTAATATCTTGTTCTTAAACTAAAACATATTTATATGTAGATTATACATTCTCACTTAATTATCCACCGAAAATTCCTTCTTTGTGTTCAGGTACTTCCCTCAAAGCAGAATCTAAGATTATCCATTTTATTAAGTTGTCATGTTGTGTATTTTGATTTGATAATTAGGTGGCCTTGCATTTTATGTAAATTGGGAAGTTTAAGGTAAATAGAGGTTTAAATTTGATACTTTAATACTTATTTGTAAGAGTACGAGTGTGTTCGTTCACAAACTCAAACCTACTTTGATAGGACTCCACAATCCTATCGATTATTCTAGCCTATTTGTAATCTTCAACTTCATTCTAAAACAATTGGTTTTCTCTGATAATGCTATCCCTCTATTGTGGATTAAGGAAATCCCCATAACCATCCTTTAAATAGTCCTTTTCAGTGCTAGTTTGATACAACCTCTTTGGATATTTCAATTCATCTTATACAAATTCGCTTTTGACATATACAAGTAAGTAAGCATTGATTCCTGGTTTGACACCAATAGCATCTTGAAACACTTTTTCTCTAGTTTCTTCTGTTACATGAATATCATTAAACTTAAACCATTTATTTAATCTGAAATCTTTGATGTAGGTGTAATAATGTCCAGAATCTAAGAATTATCATACATTTTCATACTTGCCATTCCTTCATGAATCAAAATGGATTGTAAATGATATTTATACTTTTTGAAATTGTTATAAGACTCCTAGATCTTCCCTTCAAGGTCATTGTATAAACATTACAAGACTTCTTTTCTTTTTTGAACGTGTTAAGAGTATTTTTAGAGTTATTCTATAGTGTGTTTCTAATCAGAGTAACCAAAATTGGCAGGATTGTCAGTATTGCTATTGTTTTAGATTTCTAAGAACTTAACTACTGTTTAGAGGATATCTTAAAGGTCGTATTTATCATCAAATTTAGAAAATGATTATTATTCTTATTTGATTTTTTTTTGTTTATCAATCAACTCTTTGATTTGAGTTCTAATTTCCAAATATCTCTTACTGTTTTCATTAAGGAAACGATCCAAATATATTTCCTCCTCAAAATAGAACTCATCATTTTGCTTTATGAGATCATCTAAATTAAATGTGTGAATTACGTTTCTCTTTACAATAATCAACTCTTTGAATTTAAAACGACAAAGTCTGAGGAGCACCTTGAATCCAGTTGTAGTTGGTAGCACAAACAATTTCACTTAAATCATTTTTGAAATCCTCAACAGAATTGATAACGAAATTTTCAAGACCATCATAGAGATTGGCATCTTTCAAATTAATGGGGATGAAATTATAAAGTACGTTGCTGTCTCTGCTTTAGGGTACACCAGCTTGGTCGAATTGCAAGTGATGATGCACTTTGCAAAAGAATAATTTGGAAACAACATCCTCGTCATGGATAGTGGATGATTTCAATCTCAAAATAGATGAAGATCCTTCATGAGGTTGATCTTCAATTTTGCTAGGTTAATGTTCATTTTAAGCCAGGCCTTCTCCAATTCTGCTCAAAAAATAATGATTGAATTCTCCAACATCCTTTTAATCGCCAATGGGAAGAACATTCCCAAAATCATCACAAATACTCTTGACCACATCAGAAGGATCTACATATTTTTTATCACTTCCTATCATGCTAAGGAATAATTGTTAAAGATTAAGCACCAATTAAATGGATTTCCCCTATTTTCCTTGGTCAATCTAAGCAGGTGGTTGAAATTTGATAATGATTTTAACAAAATCACTATTGAAGAAGTATGTTTAGAGTAATCCATTGAAGTAACAAGTATTTCCCACATTCTTAAGACCACATGGGACACCATTATTTCTCTTTCTTTATTCAGGCGATACAATTTCAAAAGTAGTTGTGGCTGCTTAAGGATTGGTTTTGTAAGAGTCTATCAATGCTTGATTGAGTTGAATATCCTCGTCTTGTTTCTAATAGATTTATTCAAATATTTGAATACTGTGGGTGTATTGGATAGTGCATTGTTCTTGTCTGACAAAGTGAGTAGAGTATTGATGACATCAGCTTCAGTGTTGCTCTCTTCCCATGCCATGGTGATCAATTATTTGGAAAATCCCATTCCAACATATTGGTCTAATAGGTCTTAATTAATTGGTGTCTTCATTTAATTAAATTATGGATATGAAAGTAAAGCTTTTTGGAGGTCTTGCAGCGACATTTGCAGCATCAGCCATATATTTATTTTTCAGGGAAAACAACAAATCTCTAAACTAGAAGATGTTAGACTAGATCAATAAACTGAAGAACTACATCGAAAATCATTTCTATGAATGCTCCAAAGAAAATGTTAGATATTTCATAATCAATTATAGTTATCCCAAAAGTTAGAAGACAGAAAGGATTTCGTCAATCTCTTAGGGGAAGTTGCTAGCAATTTTTTTGACCTTGACAGAGTAAACGATGAAATTAGTCGACATCCATATTTCAAGAAATTTGCAGGAGTCAACCAATAAGCTCATCTATTCAATCAGGAATACACCTCCTTCTATTTGAGAAAGTATCTATTGCCAATTATCACTCTAGAAACTCACTTGATGCAGTCTAAAATAGTGTCAATTTCATTGTTAGCAAACACAGACTCATTAATTAGGAACAACCCTAATTGTCGGAGAACGCTTCAAAGTTTATTAATTTCTTTTACCTGCTACTTATTTATTTGGTAAGATTAATTGAGGAGACTCTTTTGGATTTGGATGATAACTATGCTTTGATCTAAATGAATTTTTTGTTAGCAGGCTTGCTAGATTAAATAGAATTAATATTAAAGTAATATCCATTGTTGGCAAACCTCTTTGGAATAGCACTCTTAGGTTAATTATAATTAAATGATCCCTAAGTTGGCTTTGGACATTAATGCGAGGATAATTTCTTCAATGCTAAGATAGAAGACACAAATTCTAATCAAAATTGTAAATGCTTGATATTTGACGCACTAATCCGTTACATTTCATTAATTACTCCAATCTTATAGAAGAAATTCATCACCATATTAATTGATCATCAAATATTATCCACTAAAGATCATTTGGTTAAGTTGGGATAAATCCTATTGAAAAACCAATTCTTCTTGAATAGTCAGATAAGTAAGGTAGAAATGTATTATGCTACTGATGTGAGTGTCTTTAATCACATGTTGATACAAGCAACTGCTTATAAGGAAGTGAGATAAGAACTAGTCAAACCAGATTTGCTAGATCTATATTTTTTATATACAGAAAGAGTTGTTGCGTAGAACAACCCGAAATTCATAGCAAAGATATTAACTAGTCTTATAGCATCTCATGTAATGACTTATCCTCTCTTTGGAGACGAAGACATACTATCCTAACTTCTTAATAATGAAAAACAACAAACTTTAATTGTTGTTCACTTTCTAGGAATGCTATTGATATTGGAAACTAAAGACACAGTAGATGTTAAAGAAAATCCCAATGTTTAGATGTTGGATTGGTTAGCATAGAATATGGATTTCATGCTTGCAGTTGAAGTGTTGTCTTATTTACAAAAATAATTCATTTTGAAAATATTTAGGAATAAGGCCAGCGATATACCATTGTTAATGAAACAATATTTGCAATGTCTACGAGTAACTCATAATAAGAGAATTCAATAAAAAATGGCTCAGAAGAAGCAATTCGATGTTAATGCAATTCTCTAATAAATGATTGGCTACCTAACAGCTATTCAGGTGTCAGAATTGCCATCAAAAGAGTCTTTTACTAAGTTAATCAGTTTGATTCCATTCCAAGATCAGAATGAACAATCAAATATATTTTCGAACATACTCCGCATTGTATTTGATCTTCCCACTATTAACTTCCATTTTCTAAAGTTTGTGTTAGATAAATGCGAGAAAATATCAAAAGAATCAATATTGAGTTACAATGGATATTACTCTCATATTTTGACTGCACAAACAGTTTCATTTGACTCCTATATGTTCTCAATCCAGTTGTCATTGTTATTTGGAAGACCTGAAACATTAATAGGGGAAATTAGTAATAGAATGAAGAACGATTTTACTAATTTTGAGAGATATGAAGATTTTCTTACGAGAGACGTATTATTTAATTTGAATTAACATAGATCATATTATTGGTAGACTTATTAGAAAACCCATATTATTGTATGAATATTCTGATGCAAACAGGATCCGAATTCCCTTAGAAACAAGAGATCATGACTTAATTGTACCAATATGCAGCGATATCAATATTGAAATTAAATGATTAGATGACATTGCTCCAATTGTTGGACACATTACAATTATTCATTCATATTTAAGAACTGCCTCAATATATTAAGGAACTATTGGAAGATACGTAGGATGGCAAGGTGAAATTGAAATATCAATACTCTCAAAATTGGCCATACTTGAACCTGTAAAAGGACATGGAATCAGTCAAGTACTTCTTGAGCAAGGCTTCAGATCCATTTGATGAAGTAATATTCCCATTTTAATAGGTAGTTAATGTATGCTCCAGATTCGTTCCCCTTTTTGTTTGAAATCAGACAACAGATGTACTCTTGTGAATCGTTTGTCAAGATTATTGAATTGGCTTTGCAATCAAAAGATAGAATGAAATTGTATGTTTGGATTGGTAAATTACTTTACTATGCAAAACAATTGTTGTTGAAGAAGGGTTAAACCAAGATGGAGGAGTTGTTTGCTTTGGAAGAGTGCAAGTCCTTTATTCAAGAATTGTCTGAAAAAGAAGGATGTAACAAATTAGTACAATACCTTTAACAGTGATATATCGTTATTTTAATTAAAATGGAAGAACTTATATGTCCATAATGTCATAATATATTCAATGAATTCGAGAATACTCCTCTCATGCTCCCTGATTGTGGCCATACCATCTGTCAGCAATGCATCCAATTCATGTTGTCCAATTCTGATGGCTAGTAGATCTCTTGTCCTGAAGACAAGTATTATATTACACTCTAACATTAGTATTTTGGCTAGGGGCAAGTTAAACATCTCTGAATTTCCTAAAAATTGCCAGCTTTTGAAAATGATTTTAAAATAGAGATCATCCATTGAATAACCTGAATATTAGTTAAATCTAAACAATTTTGCTAAGGAACGATTCGAATTATGTGCTGAACATCTAGAAAAGTTAGAGATTGTATGCTTAACAGATAAAATTCGAATTTGTACTAAATGTGCATTATTTGGAAATCACAGACATCATGAAGTGAAATCTGTCGATGATGTAGTTAGAGAAGTTACTCATAAGGCTGAAAATATCATGTAGACTTATTAAAAAATATTGGATAAGTAGTAAGAAATGAGTGAGTCTAAGTTTTATGAACCTCTTACAGATAAATTTTAAACAATGCTATTAGATAGTTAGATGGCAGTTAAAGAGAAATTTAAAGAATTACACCAATAATTAGAGTTAAAGGAGAATAAACTATTGGAATAATTGAGTGGTCTTACTTCGACTCTTGAATAATAGACTAAGAAATAGATCAAAGATCAAATTTAATAGTGTATATAATAAGCTGAATTATGGAAGATCGGAGCTAAAGATCGTCTACTTTATTTCTCAACTAAAACAGATAATGGCGAGTTGCCTTTGGATTTACTTTACAATTAAGAATTTAAAGGCAATGCCATAATTGAAGAAATGGATAGAACCATAAAAATATTGGAGTAGAGAATCAATAATATCAGAATCAGAAAAATAAGAGTAGACTTCAAAAAGGCTGAAATAGAAAAGTGTTTTGATACAATGTGTATCATTAGACACTTATAGTTAAATCATACTGAAAATAGTCACGTTGATACTAGTTTTACAAAAATAGATTAAGAAGACCCTCTTCTACTAAGGGATAATTCAATAGCTGATTGGACTGATAATGACGAGAGTTTGATCACCTAAGTCGCTTAGAATTAAAGTCATATTTCAGTCATATAGGCTAAGAGTCCTTTAAGAACTGAAAATCTTACTCAATCTCATCATTCAATCACTCCTCTCAAATGCATTAAATAAAAAAGTCCGAGTAAGGAATAACCAAACAACTCTCTTTAACCTCCTGCTCCTGTGTCGATTTTACGTTAAGGCATATCTCCAACTCCAAAATTGCAAGAACGTAGAAAGAAAACATTTAAAATGAACGAAAAGTTTGATTAAGTTTGGTAGGCCTTCAAGAACGACAATTTAGAGATTGTGGACTTCTCCAATGCTGGTATGAATTTGTTCTTAAATATTTTAAGAATTGGGGGATGAGGGATGTTAGATAATTGCTGATTAATTGAAGATTTGCAAAAAAGGTGAAACAGCTGAAATTGGCTAGGAACAAGATTAGTGACGATGGTGCTGCAATCATATTGTAGGCTTTGGGTTAAAGTGGGAATGTAATTTCATTGCATTTATCGTCGAATATGATTACTGAACGAACTCTGGATTAGATCCTATAACTAAGTAAATCGGCTTAGCTTCCGAAGAGCATCTATTTGTCGTAAACTCTAATAAATGCTACGAAATCTAAGAAAAAGGTTGAGGAGCTTAAGAAGTTGGGATTCATTGTGAACATTTGATGAAATTATTTGATAATTGATTATTTTAATATTAAGTATTCTTGGGTGGAGAGTGGAGACCTGTAATTTCGAATGTAATGTGGATATTAATTACAAAATATTAAATTAATAAATGCGATAGGAGTAATTATAATATACAAAATGAACATGAGAGAAATATAAAATTATAATAAATAAAAATGATGAAGCTTCCTCCTAGTTACAGGGATCCGAAGATTTTCAACAACAAATATATTATCAAATAATAGATCTCGTCAGGTTCATTCGGTATAGTGTATTTGGCATTTGACAAGCACACAAGAGAGGAAGTGGCTGTGAAAATAGAGAAGGAGGAAAACGAAGATGTCAGTTCTCTGGATAGAGAAATATCCATCCTTAATCGTTTGAATGGAGTGCCTGGAACACCCAAACTCTATTGGAGTGGATTCGAGTAAGACTACAATGTGATTGTAATCCAAATTTTGGGCAAGGACCTGAGTCAACATATCAAGCAATTTAAGAAGTTTAGTTTGAAAAGCGTATTGCAGATTTCATATCAATTGCTGTCTACATTGCAATAAGTGCATGAGAGGGGAGTAATCCATAGAGATTTCAAACCAGAAAATATTTTGACAGGTTATCAACAAGAGAATGGCACTATTTATCTGGTGGATTATGGAGTGTCAAAAGTCTATTTAGATAATCATGGCAAGCACATGTACTGAATTTACCTAAGGCAAAGCCCACTCAAAGACAAGAAATCCTTTATCGGGACAACAAGATATGCATCGATAGCAGCACATCGAGGTTACGAATTAGGAAGAAAAGATGATGTGGAATCAATGTTTTATGTTATGATATATCTCTTAAAAGGGTAGAGAGAACTTTCTTTATATTAGTAAATTGCCTTGGTAAAATTTACAAAATATTGGCGATAGAGATCGAACTGATGTTGTAGGCGAAGTCAAATAGAAGACTGAAGTCTCAGAATTATGCAAAGATGTTCCACCTGAATTTGCTGAAATATTTAAGTATCTTCTCTTTATCAATTAGTTATTTAAAAAAATTAGAATTCAAATCTGAACCAGATTATAAATACATGTTATCTCTCTTGCTCAAGGCATCCACTAATAATCATATAATTCTAGATAAGTTATTCGAATGGACTGATCGTCAAACCAAAATTAAAGATCAAATGATTTGGGCTTTGTCAGAAGAAAAATAGAAATAACCACAAATGAATAGTTCGTAATAAATCATGGGTTCCAATAATCTCCTCAAACCTCCTGAAGCAATGAGAGCCACAGGAGGATCTCCTATTCGGATGGAGTCGAAACATCTCACAAGTACCTCAATTCAAGGCTCTTTGTCTTCCATGATGATTAAATATATCCCATCTTAAGTCGAAAACACAAGCATGTGCAATCAAGATGATAAACGTTCCAAAAGCAAAAAGAGCAAACGAAGTAGAAAGAGTGCCAAGTCCTCTAAACGTTAATCAGTCATCTTTCATAGTGGAGTCTAGATTATTGAACCTAAAGATTAACTTAGAGTAACCCAAATATTAATTATATTCTAGAGACATAAAACTATTGATTCAACTTGGGGATTTTAATAGTGCATGAATGAATTCAGTGGAGATGAGGACTCTTAAAAGCTATCCAAAAAATATCATTAATTGTAGGCAAGCAGTCTTCATCCAAAGAAAATCCCCAAAAGTACTTCTAAAATATGATATTATTTAAAATATGTGGTATGCTTAAATACTCAACTCACTTGAAGTTGATGTCTTCTCAGAAGAGTAACTCCAAGATATCACTAACCATCTTCAATCCATCTCTGTATCTGATTCCTGTAATAATGATACCAAACAATTTTTTATAGAATCAGCAAATATGGGATATGAATTTACGATTAACAATTAGTTGTCGAACACTCAAATAATCATTAAATATCTTCAACTCTGGAATCAAGAACTTCATATCTTCTCCAAATTTATGGGTTTAATAGAATTTAGAAATAGCCTATCAAATTAAGATCAATCGCGTGACACAAGCTAACTCTCGTCTGCTAGTTTTACACTTACAAATTAATCTTTTATTGTAGAAACTTAGTTGTTTAAATAAAATGATAAATCATTTAAATATTCTACAAACATAATGTAATTGATGATGAATAGTATTAGAATTTTGAGGGACCGTCTCTTAAATTTATGAATCTACCTAAACTCTTTACCACTTGCGTAGTCTAGATAATCAGAATAAATAGTATGCATTATAAGCAATTCAGAAACTATAATAACTTACCATTAAATCTTTGGAACCAAAATTAAATAGGAAAGTAAATCTGTTAATGGCCAAATTATAAGAAAGAATGGCTTTATTATGAAAGGGTTCTTATGAATCCAATCAATTCTCCATTAAAGCTTATAAAGTGACAAACCAAGTTCTCACTTCTGATGACTCGTTACTAGAACATTATGATTCACACATACAAATAGAATATCAACAAGCAAGCCTCTTAAACCTCTATCATAACCCATTTATAATATAACCAAGTCTTGTTAGAGGAAAGAGATGTGTTAGTTATTGACAGGCCTAAGAGAATAACCTATAATCATAAAATAAAGGAACTTATAATATATTTAAAGAAATCTCAAATGAGATTATAATGTAAATGAATTTGTGAATGTAGTGAATTGTTGATTGATGCTTGAAGATAATGTTGATAATATCAACCAACATTGTAAGTTTGGAATCTTTTGAAAAATATGTTTAAATTACTTAAAAACTCATGGAAAAATTGCTTTGCTTACTTCACAGAGGAAGCACTTGATTATATGGAAGATGAATCAGTGGATCCTCTATTGATTTAATGGTTATTGTAATTTTATACACTATTTATCAAATCATATTAATTGATATTTAAGCAATATTAGTTCATTCTACTTTTTTATTTATTAGAGTAAATTATATAATTATTATTTATAAAATAACACTTGAAAATAAATTCTAACACTCAAATAAACTAATATAATTGAAGGATTACAAATTTTGTAGATTCAATTTAAAATAATAGTTAAAAAATTATGATTGTGGATGATCACCACACAAAGTTATTAATTAAATTTGATTAATGTACTAGATTATTATTTCAGAAAGACTCTTTAGAATACTTAAAGTTCACTCCAATAGCTTTGAATAAATAGGATAGTTAAATTAAAAAGAATATTAGATTAGATATGGTGAGATTAGGTTGATTAACTATTCTCTAAATGTAATATGACTTAACACTCCAAGAACAATTATTGTTGAAAGTTATATATAAATCATTATTTTTCATATATGTCAGTTACCCAATCAATAAGACGACAACTATCAACCCATCTTTATTCTTTTGAGTTGCAATTAAGAACTACAAGTATGTAGCTGTGTTTTCTACTAATAAAATGACTGGCCAAACATGGACCAGCATCATTGGTTACTCCAGTTTTAATCCCTGAGAAGCCTTGTTCTAGAAGTTTGTTGGTGTTTTCCCATTTCAAGACACGAGTTTATCCTAGATTAGTAACAGTACAGGAGTATTCTTTGGTTCTGACGATTTAAGCGAATAATGGTAATTTCATAGCATAATAACATAATTTAGCGACATCGTAAGCAGTGGATCTATTTAATCTATTTGCAAGACCGTGGGGATTAGTAAAGTAAGTATTAGAGAGTCCTAGTTTTTGAGCAGTTGCGTTCATTTCAGCTACAAAATACTATGCAGGATTATTGACATGTATGGTATTGTTGTCGTTATCAATAGAATCGATTTTTTGTTGGAAATATTTGGATTGAAAATAAAGATAGACTCCAAAATTCTCAGCGATGGCTTAGGCAGAATCATTTCCTGATGGTAACATTAATCCATGCAGGAGATCCAATAAGGTGAGACTATCTCCTTCTTGTAAATTGGAGGATGTTCCACCTATTTGAGTTGCATATTCTGAGACAGAAACTGTAACTTGGGTTGGATCTATTTTGAGTTATTCACAAATTTTAATAGTAACATAAGCTGTCATAGACTTGGTGATGGATGCTATTTCCCTATTAGAGTGTTCATTCTTCCCCCAAATCAATCTACCAGTCTAGGCATCCAGGATGACCCAAGTATGCGCAGTAATGGAAGGAACCGTAATTTCATCTAAATTATTTGAACTTTCTTACATCTTCTTGGTGGTGTTTCACTTCTAAAAATTATGAATTCTTAATTTATACCCGAACTTTTATCTTCTGACTTCATTCCACCATTATGGCCAATCATCATATTATTGATTCATTAATTATTATTATTTATACTGATAATTTTTTAGAATAACTAACTAATTGGTATGCATAAATATAAAATAATTTGATAAAACTATTCTAATTTATGGGCAGTTGTTAAAGTGCTCCTTGTGTAGCAGATGATTTACTGACGATGGATTCAAGTGCTTGCAAATAAACGGATAACCCCATCAAGGAAGAAATCCTTCCTCAATATGATGAGAACAAAATCATTATAATACAGGCTCATTATAGAGGGCACAAAGTTCGCAAATCCCTTATGCCCACTATCTCATCTCCGGAACCCTCTGCTCCAACTTAACCAGACAATCCAAAACTTTGTTTCGATCCTACTCTCCTCTAAGAGAATGATTAATCTATATTTATGAAAAATGGTGCTATCTATACTGGGACCTGGAAAGATGGCAAGGCTAATGGAAAAGGAAAATACTAATTCCATGATAGGTAGTTACTATTTGTTATTTTCTAGTTACATCGAAGGAACTGTAATTTATTCAATATATTTTAGTGGATTGCCAATGAACTTCAAGGCGAAGGAGTCTATGTGAACTCCAATGAATCCTATCGAGGATAATGGAGAGATAATATGTTTCACGGCCAAGGGGAATTTAGGTATTATGATGGTCGAATTTATACAGGTATCCGAATTCTTATATTTAGGCTAATGGAAACAAGGACTGTAGCATGGAATAGGCAAGGAGATCTATAAGGATAAGTCTGTTTATGAAGGAAAATTTTAGAATGGCATGAAATGTGGTTTGGGCATTTTCCAATTGTCTGATGGCTCAGTATATTAAGGAGAGTTCGAAAATGATTTGTTTCATGGATATGGTTCATTTGTAAATACTATTTATTAAGTAGACTTGGCCTGATAAACTCAAGGTTTTTGAAGGTTACTGGAGGAATGGCTTAAAGAATGGCAATGGAACCATGAAATGGGGAGATGGTATTATTAAAATTGATATCTATAAATTAGGTCGTATATATAGTGGTCAATATTTAGACGACATTAAACATGGCTATGGAGAGATGTATTATACTGATGGTCGTGTTTACAAAGGATAATGGAAACAAGGCGTTTAGGATGGTATAGGCTAATTTTTAGACAAAGAAGGGATTGCAAAAAAAGGATTTTGGGTTAAAGGTAAATTAAAAAAGTGGATCTGAGTTAAAAACGAATTTTGATTTTCAATCTCTTCTAATAATAATATAATAAGTATTAATAATATAAAAATAGAACGAGGAAAAATAGATCTTATTCAAATTTTCAATACTAATTTTTTAGATTTAAATACCTCCTCATTAGATTAGTAGGCATCCATTTAATCTTCATCCAATAGATCGTCAGGCAAAATCTTCTACTATTACTATTATTACTGTTCTAAAATTTCTTGCTAGTTTTGTCTATATAAAAATTTAATAAAATTTAAATACTCAACTTAAGCTAATAACACACCCATCATATTTATTCTTAGTTTCTCTTTGGAAATCATCTAACTGCTTGTCTTCTTCATCTAAGGCTAAACAAATTGGGATGCCGGGTTAAAATAACAACTTATTTCAGTTGCTTATTCTTTCCCTTTAAAATCAAAACTACTTTCTTCAGAATCATTTACTCCTACATCAAATATAAGGATTAATACTTGAATCATCTGCTAATACAGAATCACATAAGTTTAGCTATTATTTATAATTATCCTCATATTTTGACAAGATTTATAGAGGATATTTAATTTAATCTTAAGAATTCATTTTTTGTTTTGGAGTTTGTAGTTTATTAAGAGAGTTAGGTTAATTGATAGGATTTATATCAATGTTTAAGTTTCCTTCTGTGTCATTTTGATCCACTTATTCTGCATTAGATATAAACTATTCGAACATTCTAACATTAGATTTGAAATATTTACTCAATTATGGAACTATCACCCACTCTTTTTAAGAATATCTTGGTTAATTGTTCTCTTTGGAGTAACTTTTATATTGCTTCAAATTATTCTTGTACTAAATTTTTCAACTCTTAAATTTCTATATGTATTAGAAATCTCTACCTGTATCATTTTAATCTACGTGATCATGCTCTCTGATCTAAGCTGATAGCCCATTAATTTATTATTATAAATTAACAATTATTTGATCTTGAGACTTTTTAATTTCTAATAACTATTTTTGCTCCGATAAAAGACTCTCATGTTTCTTTTTGATTGAAATAAGAATGCTCTCAACTTTCTTCTTTTCCATTTATTATTATAAGGATTGTTATAGAATCTATATTTATCTTTTAAAGAAATGGTCTATTTAAAGTGCATGAGTCCCATCCTAATTTGAATTAGGCTAAATATTTTGCTAATCTCGAAATATGATCGCCAATAGTTGATTTAGAGCTTAATTAAAATTGATCATAAACGCTGTTTCTTTTTAATCCTATTACAAATAATTCTCTCTGTCTTGTAAAAGGGATTTGATCTTTTCCTTTATCTTTTAGATTTGAGGCTAATCTCCTGACACACTATTACCATTCTTTATTTTCACACTAGAATTGGGTCTATGAAAAGAAGAGTTTTTAGTAAGTTAAGGGGATTATTGCTCTATTTATATCATGGATTGATTCTTTCGTAATTTATGAGATATCTTGACTGTGTCAATTAATTCATTGTTAAATAAACTTTAATTTTTAGGTTTCGTCTGTTAGCCTGCCATCACATTTAAAATGCTGCTTAATTTTTGTTAGGACACCTAAATTGGTGGGTTTATGAACGTTCTGTTCACTTTCAATAGATTTTCATATGACTTTTGTCTTCCAACTGCAGGACTATTATTATTCGAGATATTTTGGGATTGACTTTCAAATTACTGTTTTGAAGACACTTTAGTCAATTTCTTCTCTAGGATCTTTCCATGTAATTTCATCATCTATGATGCATAAATAGCAATCTTCTCATTCTCACTTTATTTTTTCATTGTAATTTGTTTGTTGAGAATAATAAATGATGAAATTATCAAATTCTTCAATATATAATCATTTATTAAAATATACATATACTTATTTCAACAATTGAGTTTGAAATACAATGACAATTTATGTGATATAAAAATGAAAAACCAAAGTCAATTAATTAATTTTCGAGAAGCAAATAATTACTTAAATTAATTTAAGTTTTCTTCCTATTTTAGTTAGATATCAATCATTTGATCTAATTTCTTGATCATCTAACTTCGCTCCTAAAATTAAGTTTGCTCCCTCTTACTTGTAATTAGTGCTTTTTATCTAAATTTAATTTCTTGACACTCTTGCTCAATTAATAATGCTAACTTTCTAATTGTTCCTACTTTGTCTGTAAATCTTTGATCTAAGTAGCCAAACTCTCAATCTTCTTCTCAATCCCCTCACAAAGAAACTCATTATTCTGCTTTCGTTCAGTCGGAGATTTCAGTAGATGATCATCATTCATCATCTTCTTGGCTGTCTAAACATTCGTTTAGCATCGACTCTGAGGACTCATTGAATGCGGTTGTTTTATATAATTCTTAAAGGATCTAAGAAAAGCAATAATCTCTTAAGGTGTCTGCACTTTTCTTTATTTCATCTTTAATAATTTTATTGTTAATTAACTAGAGTATAACTATTTAACATTCATCTACAAGAATTGAAAATAACTCAATATTTTTTAAAAGTATCCAAAATAATTGAATTATATAATATCAAATTTTAATCTTTTTGTAATTCTGAATTTATACATGCCATCAAAAATTAGATTGATATTAATACTTCAAAGAAAAGTTGAAAAAATATAATATATAATTATACCCTTAAATATAGGATGCAGTGGCTAAATTATGAAAAATAGAATCAAATTAACTTTCTATTAAGATTTTATTTTATTCTAAAATTTAACATATCATCATTTATCCTTCTTATCGATAAGATTTCCGTTTTTGTCTAAATAATCTCTACAGATATGACTCAACACATTTATTTGTCAATAAAGTAAATTAAGAATATATTAACTTTACCTAACTTTTTCTTGTCTTACTTTACTTTATTTCCATTTTAAGATTTAGAATTTTTCGAAGACTTTTTTTTTCTTTTTCTCTTTAATTTATTTATAACCAGATAATCAAAATATATGTTGTTAGCATTGCTTGCCAAATGTTAATTGATTGATGTATCTGTTCTTTATTTATCTTTTATTTCCCCCTTGCTTAAGAGAGTTGAGTTGCTTTCTAAAACTAAAATTGATTTATTGGGACACTTCCTGATAACTTAATCTTTTGTCGAAATTGAAGCAAGTAATTTTATTTCATAATTGTTTATTGAAAAATTTTAATCATAAAATGGTTCACTAATTGTAAATATCTTCCATTTTTACAAATACTCTCTTAAAGGTTCTTTTCTTTATTTTGTAATTAATTTTGCTAATGCTAATTTTACATCACCCTTTATTATTAATTTATTAATAACTACGAAAAGAATAATCAATACCTTTGCATTTAAAAATGTTGGAGGCTTTCTCGAGTTATTTTGGTTCATATTTTTTTTTAAGCAACATTATTTTGTTAAATATTTCATCCTTTATTTCATAATGATTTTATGAAGCAATTTACATAATCTTATTTATTACTAGGAATTATTTCAATTTTTGGAATCTTAATTAAAGAGATATTGTTTATTTTCTAATTACAATTGCTTCAATAAGATTTTATAATGTATTTGTTTTCTAATTTAGTCAAATAGTTATTATTTTTGAAGCAAAATGTGCTTCTTGGTGGAATTATTTAACACTCTTACAAACATTGAAACCGAATTAAAATTAACACTTTAACTTAGTTAGCTTTAAGAAGTCAATACCGATTTATTAGCATTATACTTCATCCTCGAAATAGATTGACTTGATTTAGTTTTATTGATTGATTATTGAATATTTTCTTAATAACCCACACTTTATTAACGATAAGTTTTATTGCGAAGTCTATTGATATTTTGTATTTACATATTTATTTTCTCTTTTGTATTGTGATTTAATTAATTCTATAATCGATGTAACATAATCCATACATAAAGGGAAATAAGGAAAACTAAATTATTCTTGTTTAAAATAAATCATTCAATTTCATAAAATTTTAATATAAACATTGTTATCTGTATTAGTTATTTGATTAAAATTCAAATAGATTTATCTCTTAACCTTAAAGTGCTTAATTAATCAAACAATTTAATGATCATTGTTTTTTAGGTTATCATTTAAAAGATCTTTTTAGAATATTTACTCCCCAAGGTTTTAAAAAGATTAGTAAGTTTATTAATTTGAATATTGAAAATTAATCAGATGTGTATAAATGATAGAATTAAGCTTGAAATTACAGACATCATACTTTTTTAATTCTATAGACAATTATTTACAAATTATTCTGATATACAATTTTCGTTCAAATATGGATTAAGTATAATTAACCAATACATCTGATCCAATGAAAGTATTACTAGTAGTGCTATTAATTTAATCTCTAATTATCAAGTTGTTCCAAATAGCAAACTTTTACAATATAACAGTTGAATAAGTCTGATTAATAGTAAATGGATTGTGCTGAACATAGAGTAATTTAAGTAGATGAGGTTGTTTAATTTATTAAGTTCATTAACACTTTAAATGAGATTGTGATGCAGTGAGAGTGTACTTAATTACACAAATTATTCTATTCCATCCAAATGTTAGATGCAATTGTAAGACAAGCATAGAGTTTTAATGTAGATAAAAGAATTATCGAAACCTATTTATCTTATGTTCTAATAGTTAAGGATTATTTTTTTGATTATTGGAAGGTTTCTATTTTACAACCTAAATAATTTGCATTTGAAATTATATTAATAATTTATAAACTGCTATATGAATTTCACGATCATCTTCTTCTTTTTTTCTTTTTATCATCCAAATAGGGGTGTTCTTTAGCAAAAGAGTACATAGATTTCAAATTTAATTGTTTCTTCTCAATATCCTTGTGACTAAGTTTGCAAACTTATTGCACTTCATTGTTGTAAATGATTGATTAGAGTTCCAATGAACCATCACAATATTTTAATGTCGCTTAACTATTTGGAACTATGCTTTGCTCTTTCAATTTTGCTGATTTTATGAATAACTTTTTTAGTGATTTATTGAGATCCTGATAAAGTTATAGGATAGAATGTGGGTATGGATAGGGAGTCTTGCCGATATGTTCAAGTGCATCCAAACATTCTTAAATCTCCCTTTGCAATTCTGGAAGCCTGTCCTCATCGTTTTAATACATTGTAAAATTTGTCAAAATTTAATATTATTAATTAAATTATACTCAAATAAGCCCGTTTTCCGATGAGACTACAAATTGAAGTACATTTTATCTTTGTAGATGGCGCATCCACCACATTTCCCAAAGAAATCAATGACTTAATATAGCTTTGAATTCTCCAAGTTAAAAATCTAGACAAAGTCATCGCTTTCGATGCATATCAATTGACCCTGATTATTATATAAAATGTTATAGAAGGGTTTTGAGATTGCTTCTACCTAATCGAAAGGTACTTGATGCTTTCTCAAATCCCATATTAAACATTTCTTATCCTCACCAGAAGTAGCCACTTTCATTGAGTCCATCGGATCGAATTGAGCAACAAAATTATTACAAACATGGCCTTTTAAAGTAAGGAAAGGTCTCGAGTCTCTTCTATCAAAACCAAGTATCAAGGGTTAGTCTAAACAAGCAATAATAACGTGGTTTGAAATTGCGCAATGGTTTACACAATGAGAACCTTTGTTATTTAGATTAATTACAATTTCTTAAGTATTTTTCCTTATTCAAATTTTCAGCATCGAAAATTCGAATTTGATTATCATTATCACTAACTAAGATCTCTTGATTATTTATAAAATCAGCTTAATTAATGATACATTCATTATTCTGCCCCAGTTTGTACTCTGATGTTTAGCCATTTTTCAATGAAAAAAAAAGTATATTTGAGTTTAAGCCTGCTCTTTTGTTTATATATAGATACATACAATAAAATTTGATCCTCGCATTGACTAATGCTTACGCTATTAAAATGCTCTGGAATTGTTTAAATATATTATTTGTAGCTACATGGATTATAAAAACTTAATTTATTGTATTCAGAATGTATAAGCTAATTAGAATATTGATTGTAGACTAAACATTTTCTCAATTGATAATGGGTAATGTCATTATTTTTAGTTTAATGGAATTTTGCGAATTAATAATAGTCAGAGTTAGCCCTTCTATATTTGGGTATATTTTAGTCGTTGTTTTGTTAGAAATAAGTATCTCTTAACTACGACCTGTGATTTTCTGAGCTATACCATATTCCTTGATTATCTTGATATTATTATAGCATTTTTCCATTTATAACTTGAATATCAAATTGCAACATTTAAATTATAAATAATAAATAATAAAATACCAATCACTTAACAATTACTTTGAATTTTGATTAATTTATGAATGCTTTTGTGGATTGATAGAAAATTAGACTTAAATTTAATAGACAGCTTGATGTTATATAATATAGAAAATATGTATAAAATGTCTGGAATTCTGATAAAATTATTAAGAACTGTGAGTCTATCATCATAAGTTTAATAAATTGATTAATCTTATATTTATGAAGATGTTAATCAATTGTATAATTGATATTGAAGTCTCCATATCTTGATAAATCTTTTTATTTATTGTAACGTATAAGATACACAAAGATTTATTGATTTCAACACTGAACCAATTAGCCATTTAAGTATCAAAGTCATTTGTAACAAAATTATCGATTTTTAACAATTTCAGAAATCAAGTTATGTTACTTAGAGTGAGATGGAAAAACACATTGCTAAAGAGGAGTTGATGAAAGAGTTTGGGTTTGGAGGATGGAAATTTGGGGGATGATTAAATAGATGGTTCTTTTTTTGAGTATAAGTAATGATTCAGAATAGTTGATAGCAAGGGAATAGTGATGGGAATTGTTGAGATTATCTTCAAGAGGTGAATTTGATTAGAGATAATATAAGGAATGTGTATTTAATTAAAACAAAAACGTATTAATGAGGATGTGGAAATAAATTTAAAAACGGGTATTTTTTAATGTCTTGGAGAGTGATTGTGATTTCATTTCATTATTATTAATAACATGAGAATCGTCCCTGTATTGACTCTTATCTTGGCAGTCGCAACTGCTAGAGTGACAAAGACAGAGAGCCCTAAGGAAGTGTTGGCTTAAATTAACAAGGATTCATTTGGAAATTCAGTGTTGTCAGTCCTTTAACTCTAATTGGCAACAGGTGGACCTGTAGGTGAAATTCAAATTCTCTTAAACAATATTGCTTCCCAACTCAATGGAGATTAAAAGAAAGCTGACAAAGTTCATGAAAGTGATACAGTTGCTTTCGAAAAGGTTAGTATAATTCAATTAATCTTGTTTAGATTATTGCTGACTTAGAACAAGAAATTGCTTATCACTAAACCCAAATCGTTGCTCTTTCAAATTTGAGAGATTCAACAACCGAAGCCTTGGGTGAAGCTGAAGCTGAAGTCAGAGTTGTGACCTCAGACATTGCCAATAACGAGAAAAGTTTTGCTGATGAATCTGCTACAAGACAATCATAACACGATACCTGGGTTAGAAAGGATGCAGAACACGTTGATTAAATGGATGCCATTGATGAAGCCTCCAAGATCGTTTAACATTTATAAGCTGGTGTCGCCTTTGCTCAACTCAAAAGTAGATTCGAAAAGGTCTAAGCCAAATTGATGGAATCCAAACACGCACTCTTCAAGGTACTCTCTTTTATCTCAAATTCTAGCCACTCATCAACGCCTTTGACTTAATTAGCCTCAAAGGTCGATAACAAGAGCATCATCAAGATCTTAGAACTCTTGGCTCAAATCAGATAACAATTGGTTGCCAGCAGAGCATCCTTACTTGCCACAGAAGAAAGACAAGCTGCCAATTGGGAAGTTCAAAGTTCCCATTTGTAAGAAGAACACAAGAGATTAGTCGAAAGAAAGGCCTTCTTAGAAAACTCAATTGTTCAATTCAAAGTGACCATCCAAGAGGCTGTTGAGGACTTAGAAGATTAAACTGTAAATTTAAAATTAATGTCAATAGTTATTCCTTGAAGATGCTGAAGACTCATTGGCTATTTAAGAGAGATGGGCTGCTGAATAAGAATCCCAATATGAAGCCTAAACCTTCGAAAGAGAACAATAATTGGAAGTTGTTGAAAGATTATAAGAAGTTCTCACTCAAAAGTTGAGCGCTGCATCAGAATTCCTCCAAATCAGAGAAGAGGTCTTTTGATTATGAAGTCCAATATATTCAATATAGAAATCTTCATAAAATCATTTAATTTAGTTATTACTAATCGCTTGTACATTTTATTGTGGATTCTATTGGTTCAACTCCTTAAAAAGAACATTAGGATTTGCATTTAAATCATTAGACACCTAAATTTAATATTTGAGCATACCTCACTGTGTATTTCTTGTTTCAATTGACCCATCATTTAATCAATAGCCAAATCCTATCCAATACTGTTATTTTGATTCATCATTCCTGTCATGATATTTCCTTGCACCTATATTTCGTCCATAGCCTTTTCAAATTAATTTATGTTTTGATAAACCATCTCCAATGGCATATTTTAAATCTACTATTACTACTGTTCATACTTGTTAGTTCATGATTGGACTGATCTTCGCAAGAGCATCCACCAATTTTGTACTGTTAGTATTTGATTTAATGACACCTTGCATATAATCCATTTTGTGAGCCATCTTCTGCAAATTCTCAGCTTCCTTTTGTTTATTCATGGCTGAAGTCAAGAACAGCTTAGCACCTAGGGGTATTTGACTCAATTCATACCTTCCTCGTTGTTTTTCTTCAAAGCTACTTTTGCCTGGTTCATTAATTTCTCCTTTTCCTTCTCGCATTTCTTTGACTCGTTGGCGAATCGTTTAGAAGCCATCCTCATATCCAAAATTGCATCATCAATTGTAGGTTTAGGTTCTTGGGGTTTAGGTTATTCGTTGCCCATTTTATTTAATAAATATTTTGTTATGAATGCATAAAGCCTTAAAAATTAATATATTCTATAAGTGTTTGTAGAATATATAACAAGATGAGTCAATTACCAATTAAAAAATATGAAGATACTTTTGCATCAAGAGAGGGAGAAACATTTATTTATAAGGAGTATTTTTTAATTCGTGTACAATAATTTATTCTATTTCACTGATTGAAGGCTCTATAATATTATATATAATTATTTAATTTAAATTCTCCTTACACATTACAATTATCAAAAATTATTATATCCAAAGAAGCAGGTAATTCTAAGGAAGACTGAATTATCATTAACGTCAGTGAATTTTTTCCACTCTGGAGCTTTGCTTTTTATCTTGGCAAAACAATTCGTACAAAAATCACTATATCCGCCAGGAGCGTAAACACCTCGTTGATCATTTAGAACTATGTATCTATCTTGGCCAAGATTGGTCGATTTCTTGCAACCATTACAATTATATTATTAAACAGTTTTATGATCATCTACTGGTTGAATGTTCTTTCCAAATCTAAAAATGTCTATATCTTTTAATTCATTCACATCAGTGATTGGGGTATTGATGAAGGCAAGATTATCTTTTATTTCATAATTTTTATTCAGTCTATCTTTTCTTTCAGCACATCGACAACAGTAAAATTGATTTTTGAAGAAATTAAAATATTATGGATCATTTCTGCTCAATCTAACTCCACAATAATCGCATATAATAGCAGGATATCGAATATCGATAGACAAAATTAAACGCTGTTCAATTGATAATTTATCAACTGGAATGTGAAATTAAAGGGATTAATGAAATTATCCTAAAGTAAACAAGGATTTTTATCTGATTGTATACTCACAATTTGCTATAAGTTCTTGGCACTCATTAGTGTGTACATCTAATTCATAAATAAATTATTTGCTAAAATTTATAAATCTATAATTACTCAGTTCCCATTTCTTTTGTTATTATTTTTTGATTAAAAAGGAATTCTTCCAATTAATCAAAATATATTTATTGATTAATTTATTATTTTTTGTACGGATGCGTGGCAAATTCAAATGCAATTTTATTCTCCAATTTGTGAAATAAACCATTCTATCTGATTATTCCATTTTGATCTATAATCATTTGAACAGGAAAGTATTTGACTTCATATTTTTCCCTTGCCAAAATAGGTGTTTCTTTTGAATAGTAAAATTCACTTGTTGGTTTAAACTTATAAATCAAATCAATATCCTCCTGATTATATTCTATTCCTAAATATACAAATCTTAGTTTATCTCCATATTGATCTTTCAATTTCTTATAAAAATTCTCCAATTTCATGATGATGAACACACAAGGAACTAACCAAATTAAAACAAGCATTTATTAAGGCTAATGTTCGATTAAAATTTCTTTGCCATCTTTATTATAGAAACCATCAATAGGGTAAAACTTATCCCCCATAGATCGTTTGGATTTTAATTATTCAATCAAAGTATTTAAATATTATTTTGAATTTTCTTCCTCCTATGCATCTAAAAGTGGGGCTATACCATCTATTATTTCCTTGTACTCTTTTATTGATAACTCCTTATTAAACTTCACTTTTTGTTCATAATTTGATTAACAAATAAATGTTTCTTTAATATGATACCAAGCAATTTTATGTTTTTCAGACTAATATGGAACAATTTGCACTTCAAATTATGAGACAAAATCATTTAATATCTCCCTGATTACAATTTGCTCTTCTGTTTCATATTTCCGAAATGATTATCTAACAACTAAATAATTTTATTCTCCAAGCACCTGTGTTAGATAATTCTAAAATTCCTCATGCAGTTCTTTTGAATCATTTTTTATGTTTTGTTCAATACAAATTAATATTTTGCTTCTATCTATCACAACCTTTGAGCCATCTTTAAAGTAATTTTTTTTCTGTATTACTCTAAGTTCTACAATATCTTACTCTGCAAAAAAAGCATTTACCATATCCATAACTTAAGTTTGTATTTTCTCTTTTATAGCTTTATAATCTTCCTTGGAATACTATAAAGTAATTGAATTTTATAATTCTAGTTTTTGTAATTATTGATCAATAGTCTAAAGGTTATTTGTAGACTTGGCGTATTTTTATAAAGTGTCTTTAATTTGTTGAAGACTAGTGTTCTCCAATACAATAACTTTTTATTCCTTATCCAGAACAACCACATGGGGAAATCTGGTAAATCGCAATGCCTTCATTTGTAAATTAAAAGCAATGTGAGTAGGGTTGAAATGATAACTATTATAGTTTTCTAATTCTAAAATATATTGCGACCAAGCTTCTTAATCGGAGTCTATATTGATTGACAGTATTCTAGCTTCCCTCAATTCGTTCATGATTTAAGTGTTCAAATCTTTCATCAATTGCACGCTTTCCCAATTATTTATAGACTACTATTTTATCAAACTAATACCCAAAAAATCATGACATTAAGAATATCATTAGTCACTTCTAGCTTTTGGTTTGACTTAAATTCTCCATCTTCATAAAGTGTTAGATTAGGAAAACCTATGAAGCTTTCATCTTTGTCATAGTATGGATGTAGGGATTCTATCAAATAATTGGAGACATATTTATCTAAGGGAAACTTTTTTAATTTGTTGGAGACTTCTTCAAATAAAAAGGCTTGACTGATTGGTATTCTTTGGGAACTTTGGTAGAGATATGAAACTTAGAATCTACAAATGATAAATTAAATGTACTAATTTTTAACATTATTTATTTTGTGCTGCTTAATTTAAGTAACACCAATACTTTATGGTAAAAGTGTCAAAATTTCTTAGATTAGAGCTTTCTCATGTTTTTCTGGAATTATCATCAATTCAATGTATAAATATGTTAGAAATTTGGTTTGGATAAATATTTTATAAAGTTGGCAGAATATATTTTCATATATATATTAATTTTGAAGAGTTACAAAATCATTAATAATCTTGTAGAAGATTTCGATTTCCAAATTGGTTAGGCATTCTGAATCTAAAAAACCCCTACTCATTTTGCTTATTTCTCCTTATAATATTGATTTCTTTGCTCATTTAATGTTAAATTTTTTTCAATTTAATCAAGGGGGATTATTGAATCTCTCCATCAATATCATTTTGCAAGATTTCAAGAGGAGATTTAGGTGAAATTTGGCGATCATGTTACACAATAGGACTCTTAGACATTGTATTACTTCTCATATGCAAATTTCTACTGTAATATGAATTCTTCTTTTCAAATTAATTAAAGTCCTTAATATCATCATTAGTTCTGTAACTAGATTTAGGATGTTAAGAACTCTCGAGAGATAATCGATCAGATACTTGACAATACAACCAAGGATGCTGCAAGGCCACTAAGATGTGAATCTCTAAATATACATTAGGCAGATAATCTCTATAGGGGATTAGGGTTTAAAAGTCTCCTTATGAAATCTCGTGCCAAGTGTGAAATGCTATGATTCAACTCAAATTTCCCTTTTAAAATCATCTTAGTTGTGCCCAAGACACTATCCTTAAAGAAGGGAAGATTGCCAGAGAGGATACGAAATAAACATACTCCCAAGGACCATAGATCAACTTTCTCATTGTAGCCGCCCCCTATGAGAATTTCAGGAGCTGTATAATATACATTTCCAGTTCTGGTCCACATGTCTACATCTATGAATTCTCTGCCATTATATTTCTTAAATCTTCTACTAACTCCAAAATCGATAATTTTAATATCTAATGAATTTTGATCGATCAAAATGTTATCTGGTTTGAGATCTCTATGAGCAACTCCTCTTTCGTGGATATGTTACAATGCTAGAAGTATGTGTCTGATGAGAATCTTGATCTATTCTTCGCTAATTGACGTTTATACAAATACGTTAATTTGGTATGACGCATTACTTCTTCCAATGAGCGTAGATTTGAGTACTCCATCACTAAAAATAGTGCTTCTGTTTGTTCGTCGATGTAGCATTCATAAACTTTAATAATGTATTGATGGTTGAGCATTCTTGCATTTTTGTAGGCTTCAGTAAAAGTCTTCACCAACTCAGGATCTCCACTACTAGAAATCTTGACTGCCACAATCTCCCCCGTATCTTCCTTAATCGCCTATTTCACCACTCCGTGTGCTCCCTAACCTATCCTCTCTCCCAACCTATATTTTGCTTGGAAGTCAATCTCCATTGGTTCGATTTGAGGAAATGTCTAAGGAAGTCTATTGTTGGCATCCTCAATTCTAATTGCCCTTGTTTATTTAGAAATAGACGAATACCTTTTTGGTTTCACTTTCGAGTATTCGATTTTCTTCTGCATCTTTGGGAACAGTTGTTATTATAAGGCATTTCTCAATTATTCCTGATTTCGCTTTTATTGCATATTTTAATTTATATAAATTATAATTGGTTATCAATTATTGTTGATAATTAATAGAAAAAATATGCATTAAATAAAATGCCACCTTATTAATAAATTTAAAATTTAAATGATAATATTTTATCTTTATAATTTTAATAATCAATTCCCCAAGTATTTTAATCTCCTCTAAACTCTTGAAATGCCCTTCTTCCTAATCAAAACCCTGATTGCTGGACTCTCCTTGTTCTGATCCTCCCTCAATAGGTGATCCTCCTCCTCCAAAAAGCAATAGGTGTCATCATTGGTCTTCAAAAACCCATCCAGGTCTTCCAGATTCCCACTCAACTAATGCAGTCTTTCCACCAAATAGGCTTTGGGAACTCCCTTGTAATTAGACAACAGGTTCAGAACTTGATCCATGTCCTCGATGGAGAATTTATCGAAATCGTTCCTGGGGAAGGTAGGATCCAATTGTTTTTTGTGTTCAACTTTCACCTTTTGCTACTTATTGATATCGAGTTCTTCCTCCAACTTCTTTTTTTCCTTGTCCATGATTTTGGGATCCAAATTGACCACCTTCAACAATTCTCTGGGTTGCGTATTGCTAAATAACAAATATCCCACCAATCCATGTTCATTTAAATGTTAAGCAATTTGATCCATATTCTCTTGGGTTAGATATTGGAGATAATCCATATATCTATGATAAGTGATTTAAACAACCTATTCTTGATTGAATTGTAAGTTCTTTTGACTACTTGGCTTTCCTCAATGTCCCTAAAATTCTTAGACTGAACTATGCTGATGTCTTTGAGGGCCAGCATGATTTTGAGATCCTCCTATAGAGTGTACGATTAATTCTTCTGTGGCACAAAATCTGGGGCTTGACTGATGTACTTTTCAAAAATTTCCCCTGGTCTCATTGGAAGAAATTTAATAAATAAAAATAATGCAAGGTTACTTAGTTGAGGGCAAAGAAACCAACAATGATTATTCTTATGAATGGTTAAAGGGCAATCCAGATTTGGTGGCAATTGAGAAGGGAATACCAATAGTACATTTCAATTCTGAAATACAAAAAAGAGATTTAGAAATGGAATTCAGAGTATGTTTAAGTTTCTAAGAAGTTGTTACGCAGATTGACAGAAACCTAATATCACAATGAAAACTTGCATGATTTTAATCCCGACATCTAGAAATTGAATAGGTATAACAATATCATACCATGTAAATAAAATTTAATCAATAGTCAAACATTCTATTGTCAAACTCAAATAAGAGGCAGAAGACGAAGAGAATCTCAAGGACACCTATATAAATGCCAATTTTATCAATGTATCCACTCATATTCATATGTCGATTAGCTTATTAATGGTAAAGAGAAAATGATTATCGCCACCCAGGGTCCCTTGACTCAAACCTTTTCACATTTCTGGAGAATGGTGATTTAAGAAGACATGACCATGATTATGATGCTCTGTAATCTAAGGGAGAACCAAAGAGTAATTTCCCTTATTATCATTTAGGCTTAATGCGAGTAATATTGGCCAAAGAATGTTGGAGAGTCCATGCAATGCGGAAACGTTCAAGTTAACTTACTTAGTTAGGATGATTTGGGAAACAACATCATCAAGAGAGTTGTTAAAGTCACCCAAGAATTGGAAGAGAAGACAGTTATCCAAATTTAATGGTGTGGGTGGCCAGATCAAGGAGTCCCTTCTCCAAGTGATTTTGAAGTCATGAGAGAACTCTTGAATATGATTAATGAGAAACTGCTATCAGATTAAAAAGTAGTTTTCCATTGCAGGTTATTCTATCTTTGATTTTATAGTGCTGGAGTAGGTCGTACAGGTACATTAATAGCTTTGGCTAATTTGATGATCCTATTAAGAGCCTACAAATCGCATATCGGAGAGGACAAGTCAAGTATTTATTTGGTTAATATGGACTAGAACTTGAAGAGAATTCTGAACTTTACAGAATCTCTATCTTTGGAATTGTTCGCCGATTGAGAGAACAAAGATGGGGAATGGTCCATACTTCAGAGCAATACATATATCTATATAAATTTATTGATGAGGCTATTAGATCTATGTTTAACATATGAAATGAAAAATAAAGTTATTATTTAATTAACCAAATAGTATTTTAATAAATGTATTAGATTTCATTGATTGAACAATTTGGTTCTAAATTTCGTTTCACTCACTTTATGAACCTATTCATACTTTTTATCCATTTCTACATGTTTAATGTAGGAATTCGGATGGAAAATTTGATCATTTAAATAAGTATAATTGGTAGTAGTAGTAGTATTTGTGGGAAAATTTGTATTCCTACTTGTGTATTTGCTTTAATTTAATTGATGTGGTTTCACGATATCATTCTTGGACAATTACATAGTCGATTGAGATTAAAATAGAGGAACCTTCACTGAAGCTTTAGTTGTATTGTATTATTGGAAAATGTCTCCAGTTGATTACTTGTTGGTCTCTAGAAGATATTGCCTATTATTGGCTTACGAGCTCTTCGTTTAAGAAGAAGGATTCTAGAAGTTTTATAAATACGAACTCGACTAAGTGGCGACCAAAGGTTTAGATAAATTGGAAACCTTGCTCTTGGGAGTAAGAGTCAGTATTTATGAAACAGTTGACGATATTTTCTAGGTTGATTCTCCAGTTAAAGCATATAGCTATTAAGACCAGATATTCAATAATCCAGCCTTCTTTCTTAAATAAGCCACGCAGGATAAGGCCAAAATAGATTAGTCATTTGAGAAATAAATTGAATCATCTAAATAGAACATTTTAAACATACCCCTAAGAACAGTGAAAGCAATCTCTACATATTTATTTTCTACTTCCCTTACATAATTACAAATCTAAGTCTCATTTAGATCTTTTAACTTTACATGGACTTGTTACTATTCTTTATTCTCCTTCTATTGGGATGACTACTGTTATGCAAGACTGTCATCATCATCAATTACTCCAAAAGAGAGCAAGGTCTCTATGCGATCTAACAATGTGATTCTTTGCAATTTCCAATCAAGTGATTGTATAATACTCTTTTCTGCATTTCTGAAATCTTGAGTTGTATAGTTGTTTATTTCTGGATGGGATGTCATTGATGAGTATCTCTTCAATTTACTTATGAAAGGAATCTTCTCATCTAGTTCCTAGGCTTTGGCTGCTAACATCAAAGCAGTTGCAGCATATAAATATATTTGTTCTTCATTTACTCCCTGCTTATTGAAATAGTGATCTAAGTATGCTATGGCCAAAAATTATGTAGTAGCACTCAGATTCAATCTCTCTGATGCTTATTCAATGAAATCAATAACTGGTGAACGATTTATTTGATGCTTTTAAATTATCTGAGGAGCCAAAGCATTATTCAATATGTTCATCGGATTGAAAAATGCATTGTATCTCATTTTGATAGTCTTGTACACTCTTGTCTATGACTTGATTCTTTAATCGAATAATTTACATTGCTAATAAATATGCCACATTGTTAACAAATCAACTTCCCAGAATATGCGATCTTTGTGTTATGCATGCAACCAAACACATCCAGATATTAGCTATCATAATTCAATACGTATTGTTCTGTCTAACTCATATACGTTAGATTTTATTTTTTATTTATATTATTCTAATAAGAACTCTTAGAGATTATACAATTCCATCAATCTGAATTAATCTTATATAGCACCAAAATAACCGATATGATAACAATTATCTTACTCAAATATTGAAGTAAATGTTTTAGAGATGCAATACTACTTTCCAAATATAAATCAAGTTCTATTAATCTAGTCTTTTAGTAATCCAAAATTCTCGATTCCCATAAAATAACTGAATTCAGTAAATTGATGAATTAATTAAAATATAATGGTAGTATGATAAAATGTAATACATCCTGCTTTGAAATACGTAAGTTATTTAAATTGAATCACATCGATATTCTTATCCTAATAGTATATTCACAATAAGTACCTCAAAAATAATCATATTTTAGTCATCGAAATTCTTTTACTCTACTCAATTTTTATTTAATTCTTCTGACATGACCAAATTTAACCAATTGATATAAAGAATCAATAAATATAAACATAAGTATCTTAAAATCTTAATAAAAATTTATATGGTTTTTAAATTAATTATTTAAGTTAAATAAATATATTTGATACCTAAATAGATATTAAATTTGATCATTTTATAGAGTAGGATGTCAAAATGTTGAAATATCTCAAATTATTATTAAATTTATTATAAATTTATAGACCTTCTATTTTAAGATTGCTACATAAATCGTATTTCTAATCTGATTTTCATTTACTACTGATGATTATCCTACTAAGTGTAATGATAATTATGTAGGATCTTTCATTCATCTTATTTATTGGAATTAGAAGAAACTATATTTATCTTAAAGTAAGTTATTATAGGTTTTTTCTAATTCCCTTCTGAATGTACTTATTTTTTCAATCTAAACATAGATGTTAAGATTTCAATTGCAATTTTTATCAATAATTGTATGTCCATACATTCAAACTGGTGATATAAGTATTTTAGATTGTAAATGGAATTAAAATTATAATGATACTAATTATGTATAGTAATGATCAATTAAGAAAAGGCTGATGAAGCTCAATTACTTTTTGGTGATCGACTAATCTTTTAATTTCAATCTCTATATTTATTAGTTGAAGATTAATAATCATTCAAAATAATATAATCTGTCGAAATCAATTTAAAATATAGCTCCAACGTCATAAAATGTCGATAATAATTTTTTATTGTTCCACTCATCCTTTTTAAGAATGCTTTCGTATTTTCAACATCATTTAAATTTCCTAAGTGTACTACGAAGTATTTTCAGATACATTTGACAGATATTACATTATCCTTAAATAAAAAATAAATAAAAGATTCTAAAATAATGTCCCTAATATACCTAAAGTGATTAAAACGATATTCAACCAATTAAGGGACACTTTTAAATCTTAAAAGAATTCCTCTTAACTTTAATTAAAATTGTAGTTATATGAATTGATAATAATTATAAGAGTTGTAAAATTGAAAAATTAAATAATATTTAAACTCTTGAAAACAGCTCTTTATATCAAATATGATTGATTTCCTAATTTATATCAATTAATTCAGATGATTAAAAGGAATAGATAAAAAAGTGTGATAGATGAAATCTAATCTTTATTGACATTTCATCTATGGATATGATGAAATCTATAAAATTAATAAATAAGAAGTACAAAATTCACAAAAAAGAAGTTATATAACATACTCAAATTGGAGGAAGAACTAAAAGTAATACCATATGGAATAGATGATTATTTAGTTAATCCCATATATAGATTAACTTAAAGATGCATAATTCATAACTTTGACAATTATTTATTTTTTATGTATATTATTGCTCAATTATATAGGAGATCAGGAAAATTTATCCAGTTTTGATTAGGACTAAAATATTATTAATAATAAAAATATCGTACATATAAAATGGGTAACACCTAAGGAAAAGAAGTACAAGGCAATTAATATATTAGTTATCTCCATAAATGAGAGAGAGAGTCCTTAAGCTATTTGCCAAATTTGATGTTGATGGTTCAAAATCGATAGAGAAGACAGAAACAATCAAATATTGGTAACATCATTAAACTATACCTTCAGGAAGAGCAATTTTGCAAAGCTTAATACTGAGGAGCTATTCAAATCAGTTGACACAGATAATAGTGGTACTATCTCTGAAGAAGAATGGTTAAATTTTTGGACCTCAGTATTAAGAAGTGGACATACTGAAGAAGAAATATCTGATGAAGTATTTAATTTATTGAACGTTTAGTTAGAATCGATTGAAACAGGATCATCCTGGTGTAAATTTGAAAATTTAGATAAAAAAGGTTGAATCCCATAATATTTAATAATATATTCAAAGAATTTTTTATTTGCTTAATAATTCAATCTCTTAATTCTTTTATGCACAAATAATTCAATTTATGATTCAGAGGTTTGATAACTTATTCTTTGAATTTTATGTTTCAATTTGTTTACTTCCCTTGTCTTTTTTATAGTATTTCATTTAAGTTCAGAAACAATGCATTGATAATTTCTTTAATATAAATCCATAAAATATTTATTTTCTTTTTGAGTATAACAGTTAAGTATAAAGCATAAATTTTTATAATCATATGATTGTTCTGTTATAAAAAAATACTTAACATAAGCTCTGTTTAATTCTCTGAGTGATTTTGCCTAGTTTAAGAATGCTAAACTGGCTTATGAAGTTATTTTTCTTTGATTTCATCATATAGTTATCTTATTTGAATTGAGGAAAGTAATCTTATAAAGGAATTTGATTGATTATAAGATTTATTTAATCTATGATAAATAATATTCTCCTTTTTCACAATACATTATTTTATTTTCATATTCGATCAACTGAAATTACATAATTTATTATGAATAAATAATATAATATCAAAAGATTTGAAGAATTATATGCAAATCGGTCAACAAGATTTACCTAAAAATAAAACGACTGAATAATAAAAAAACATCATTTTTATAGAGAATTTGGATAAGGTAAATCATTTTAATTTAATAAGGCTATTACAGAGGACTTTTTATTTCACCAATTCAAGCGATTCGGGGACATAAGCATTATAAAATTGATGAAGGATAAACATAAAAATATTTCATGTGGATAGGCCACAATCACATATTCAGATGCAGCATCAGCTGAAAAAGCAAGACAAACTTTAGACAATTAAAAACTAATCAATAATATTATCAAAGTCAAACCGTATATAAACTTTAATGATACTGAGAAGGATGCTAATATATACATGAAGAATCTTCCAAAGTAAGTAAAGATAGAAGATCTAGAATAAGAGTTATCTAAATATGGTAGCATCCTTTCAATTGAAATTCGCAGAGATGCAAAAGGAAATTAGTTGAAGTAAAACTAATTTAAGTATTCTCTAGTTACGGATATGTTTAATTTGAAAAGAAGGATGATGCTAAACTATTCCTAGAATAAATAAATTAAAATCCCTTTATTTATTAAGGTAATGAAATACACTTTGAATTATTCAAATCGTAATCAGAGAGAGCTTAGTAATCAAATGAATTGTTCCTAAGAGGATTTTCAAATCCTCTATCTTAAAATATTATTTAACAAGATAAAACTATTGCTGCAATTGAGTATGGTTGGTAAATGGTTATAAAAGATTACTTTCAAAAATAACAAAATATTCAAATCTAAAGTTGTTTTGTAAAATTTGATAAGAACACAAGATAACCTTGGGCGATGATAAAGTTTGAACACTCTGACTAGGCAAAAGCTTAGTGTATAATTTGTGAATCTTAAAGAACTCATCCATGTGTACAATCAAATATCCTTTATGCACTTCAACTTATTCAACAAAGCGATATTAAATAAGCTAATTTTTCTGAATTGAAACTCTCCTTATAAGAAATAGTCTCTATATATGAAAATCTTGCCAATCATAAATTTGATATTTTCAGTGGAGTGAGTGATAACTTCTTTTATAATTTGAAGCAAGACAAATCGTAAACTATTGATGAAAGATAACTCTATATATAAAATATCAATGGTAGTTTACATAAAGATGATATTTAAGCATTTTTATCATCATTCGGAAATGTTATATCTGTTACGATGAGGTAAAGTACAAAACCTTATACACAACTTTAAGACTGTATTGTTTTGTATTAAACAATTTATGATGCCAAATTGGCGTTATCTCAAATATATGATAGAAAATACTCTTAAAGTGTAAAACATATTTTTAAAAATGGAATAATAAAAATAAGTGTATTCTTAGGAAAGAATTTGAGATAGGAATATCAATAAATGAAAAAAAAAAGAAAACGATTGATTTATAAGCCTATGATGATTTAATTACCTCAACCACCATTTTTGTAACTCTAAAAACCTTTGATTTAAAACCATCCTTTTAATTAGGAACCAATAAATAATTTCTTCCCGTTAATAAAAAAATATGGTACAATTGAAATAATAAAGAATTAGATGAGCGATTTCTCAAAACTAACTACTTCTGATTAAAGAATGATATTGGGGAACTTATTATTTAATAAAGTTTAAAAAAAGGTTCAGGATAAAGGTGTTGCAAACCATATCGTAGGTAAATATCTTATTTTATAAATTAGGAATGCTTATTGAGCCTTCTTCATTTACAATATCGGACATTTTTGATTTTTTTGAAAATGATCAAGACTTAAATGATTATATAGAGGATGGACTAGAACTTATAAAGGAAAATCAACAAAAAATTAAATGATTCAATATATGAATAGAAATTATAGATATTTTTGATTTCAAATACATTTTATAATTTATATTATTTCCTTATTTGAAGCTTAATAAATTAATGATAAGAGGTTCCCATAAATTAAGTATATTTCCTTCATAACGTCAGTTCCTTTTTATAAATTTATGAAGTTTGTTGTTAACAAATGTTTAAACCTTTAATGCAATTTTTAAAGCATAAAAATATGAATAATAGTTTATAATTGCTATTGTATTTCTAAAAGTTAAACAACAATATAAATTTTTCTCTAATAATATTGAAATCAAATTGATTGTATTTTAACTCAAAATCAGTAATGGGATTGGAAGATGAAAAGACTGCATATTAAATGAAATAACTCCTAAGTAATGCAATTAAGAGATGTTAAAAAATAGAAAAAACAAAATCTTATATATAAAAATGTATTCAAAGGAAATATCCTTTGTAAAAATTATTATATTGAATGTTTATAATAAGGTTATAATAAATTATTTGTAAATTTGATAACAATTATTCATTAATGAGAAATTAAAAACTTCAAAAATTAAATAAATTAAATTTATTTGTTCTGTTGTAATTTTATAATATGCTTGTGTTTTTTACGATTAGAATTTGCATATTTCATTAGAACTTTGATAAAATGAAAATTGTTGGAATAATTAGAATTAAATGGATTAGTATATTTTATATTATATAATAAGTTAATTTTTGAAATGGCAAGTCGTTTTATTCAAAATTCATTTAACTAACAAGAATCTCAAAGGCCAAGTAGAGCTATGTCAGAACACTAAAAAAGTAAAAGTGAAAAAGGTGGTCAAAAAGTACATCATAAGAGTCATGCATCTCATCACTATAATCCTTTGGTTATACCTTGTGATTGGGTCTTGGCAGAGAATCACGCTAAAGCAAGAAGGGTGGCAAGAGAATTGGAAGTTGAGTATTAATCAACATGCCCTTGTTGTGGGTATTCTATAGAGAGAACTGATTTAGAATATGATTGCGATCCATTAGAGATGAAATTCTTGGGATCTGGATTTCCATTGTTTTATATGTTTATAAAATACTGTATATTCATCTTAGTAGAATTTTGGTTATTGAAAGGGATGTTTTGTTTGGCTACAGATTTGATGGGGGATTATTGTTATAATTTAGAAAAAGTAAAAGTATAGGAGCATGCACACCACTCTATTCATGATCATTTGAACTAGTAACATCATCATAAGCATAAATCAGATAATTAAATATGTGGTGGGTCTTTGTGGCATTTTGTGAGTTTGGCAAATGTATATGATAGAGAGGATATTAGAAATTTATAATCTAACTTATCTCTTGTTGTTGTATTTGCCAATATGGTTTCATTTCTGTTCTTCAGGAAGGCTCAAAGAAGCATAGATATTGAAGTCGATGAATCATAGCTAACTCCATCAGATTATACTATTTGCGTTAAGAATATTCCAAATTTAAATCAGGATTACAAGGAAGTGTTGAAGAATATATTTTAGAATTATGCTGCTGATGGAAGGGAATTAACTGTGACTAAGATTGTATTGGTGTATAATTTAGACGAAGTAATCGAATTGGAGGAATCATTAAAAGAAATGATAAGGGAGAAATAGGAGTATTTATTGGAGAATGGGATGAATTTTGCAGATTTCAAAGTTAAGTAGTTGGATGAGAAGCTAGAGTCTTTGGAATAGAAGATTCATTAGAAAGAACATGAACTTTTTATTAATAAAGATAAGTTTGCAGGAATAGCATTTATAAGTTTTTTGACTGAAGAAATGAAGTAGTTGGTATTGTAACATAATCCTCATACATCATGGGAGAGAATCAAGGCATTTTTTAATAATGGATTGACAGGGGATGTAAAAGAAAAGGGTTTGATTTTTGAGGGACATAAATTATATGTAGAAGAAGCACCAGAACCTAATGATGTAGATTGGGAATTCATTCATATCTAAACCGGATAGAAAGTGAAGGCACGTGTTATTGCATGGTCAATATCTATAAGTTTTATGGCTGGTTGTTTCTTTTTAATTTGGTTTTTGAGTGAGTTGGCAGAGAGAATGAATGAGTAAGTGGAAGAATAAGAGAAAAAGGGTATTAAGGACTCATTGACTTAGACAATAGCATTTTTAACAAGTTAGTCTATTTCTTGGACTGTCGTATTTTTTAATAAGTTTGTAATTGGAAAGGTGTATCATTTAGATAGTTGATTTGGAGAAAATATCAAATAAGACTAAATTCAATATCAGTTTTGCTAGAAAACAGTCCAGTTGCTTTGTTTATTAATACTGCTTTAATATCATTGGTGATAGATTTCTATTTGACAGGGAATGTAATTGGTAAAGGTGGTTTTATTTATAATGAATCTAATGTGTTCTTACTTAATGCATTTATTCCACCTATTGTTTGGTTTGTGGACCCTTGGAGTATCTAGAAGGATTATCAAAGGTAGAAATAATAGAAGAATGTAAAGAATTGTGTGTTGACTCAACAAGAGGCAAATGAAATTATGGAAATGCCTGATTATTCTTAGGCCAAAAGATATGGTGACATAATGAAGACAATGTGGTTCACATTTTTTTATGGAGATATAATACCTTTAGGCATATTGTTCAGTATTATGGGTTTAACATTGTACTATTTTGTTGATAAGTATAATGTACTAAGGAGGAGAACAATCAAAGGAATCATTATCAAAGCATTTGAGTATAGAAATGATAGAGATGTTGGAGTTGATCATAATATTTACAGGGATTGGCAATACTGTAGTATCGAGTATATTGTTTGGGGAAGTCAAATGGTAAGACTTTATTATAATCATAATTGGAATTGTGTACATTTTACTGCCAATGGAGGACATTTCTAGTGTGTTATTTCCACTCGAATAGAAGGATGAAGTCTAAACTTATTATGAAGCTGAGGAACACTTTAATACTGATTATGATAGAGAGAATCCAGTAACGAGAAGAGAGATATTACATGAGATTGCAAAGAAAAAATGAATTTTATTTTATTTATTAATGATTGTAATTAAGACAGAAGAACTTAATTATCTAATTTATACCTACTTTTTAGAATAAGGATATTCGCACAGTGCATTTGCTTTGATCAACGAAGTGAAATTAGATTAGCAACTTTATCGAGATGATGTTAAACCAGGCCAACTGATCAATTTATTAGAGAAGGCTTTGTTATTTTAGCAATTGCAAGACCATATTCAGATCAATTAATATTATGAATGCAAAGTGCCCCAATTACTAATACAAAAGCATGTTTGTTAATTTACAGAGAAAAAGCAATTGGCTGAGAAGTAGGAAAGAAGAGATCGTGAAATAATGATTCAGAATGCATTGATGAGGAGTCAGGAATTTGTGTCTCGCAATGGACAAACAATGGATTTGAATGTTGAATTATAATAGGACATAATACAATTACAGGACGAGATCTTGTTGAGTGATTGGAATGCACAAAAAAACATTTTGGCAATATATCAACTCAATTGCATTAAATTGATCCAAAACAATTAAATACTACAAATAATGCCAACAGTTGTAGGTGAGTGCTTTTCTAGAGTCAAATTAATGAAGTTTGATAGATCGAGCGGCAACAATATGTTAATAGTATATGAAAATGGCGCTGCAAAAGTGATAGACACTACAATTCAAATCATTAAAATGTTCAACATCAAAAATGCAAGCAAATTATTGGACTTCCATTGGAACCTCAATTGGCCTAATGTGGTTGCTCTCATTTTTGAGAAGGATGTCGAAGTATGTATATAAATAGATATGCTTAGATAGTGGACATATATAAATGCCAAACTTTGAAGTACTTAGAAAATGTGATTCATTTTGAGTGGAGACATTTTGATCACTTCATCGTGATGGATCTTAATTATTACATAAATTTAATGCAGATTGATATTGACAAACCACAATTATAATTAAAAGCCGAATTAGAAACCACCTTGATCGAATTCAACAAAAGGAAGACCTTATTAGCTTCCTTCTCAAGCACCTTAAATGTCATAAAGATATGGACATTGTAAAATGATGAGTATGTGTTCGAAATTACAGACGATCAGAAAATTTTGTAATTTTGTTGGTGCTCTTCACAAAATGCCAATTATTTAATCACACTAACATCTTAGACTCTCAATATATGGGATGTTGAATTCGGATAGATCAAATCTACTTATGAAATCGACTTCAATGTTGCTAAGATGGTTTCTATGGATCTCTTGAATGATACTCCCTAAGTGGTGTTGATTGGTGAAAAGGTTGTGCTGTACGATTTGATAAACAAGAAGAGAAGAGTGTTCAATTGCGATACTCCTAATAAAGTGCTGCGCATCAATGATGAAGAGATACTGTTCATATTTAGGAGTAGTTACATTGTTTACAAAAAAAATTGATATATTACATAAATATATATAATTTATTATGTTCCAAAGTCAATTGGAGTATGCTGGGAAGACATCACAAATATAATAGAATGTGGTGGGGGAAGTATGTAATTTTGAAAACCAATTCAATTCAAGAGTGGTGTATTCAAGGAAATTATACTAATACCTCTTAATCCAAATGATCGTTATATGTACACTATTTGAATTAAATTGCTAGCATTATTCATATATTGGGTATATGCTTCGCCTTCTCTGGATTCCTACTTAGAGGGTAAGCCATGGCTATTTTGGCTCTGTCTCTTCATTTCAATAGGCACTGCTACATTGGCATTGATATTCAGAAAGGATGTTGCAGTATTCCCCTGGAATTGGGTTGTGTTCGTCACCTTCACTCTCTCAGTTTCAGTCGTTTGCGGTACATTGGTGGCTTTGGGAGACTCAGTTATCGGTCTTTTAGTTTTCAGCAGTCTTGCAAGTATTCAATTCTGAATTACTATATAGGCATGGTGTTTTTCTTGTTTATGTATTCATTGACAGTCAAAAGAAGACTCACCTATTAGGGATCAATACTATTTATATCAGCTAGTATCCTCCTCATTTTTGAAATCTTCACAATCTTCACTGAGGTTTCCCTCTTTTGGTTAAGTAGTGTTTCACTCTTTGCTTTCCTATTGGCATTTCTATTGATTTATGACACCTACACTAATGTTAAGTATAAATATCATTTGAATTTTCTAGTTCAGGAGATCAATACGATGTCAATTAAGCAGATGAAGTGTCAGGAAGTGTAATTATCTATTGGGATGTGATCTTGCTTTTCTTGAAAATGAATGAACTTATTAAAGATTACTTAGTGAGGGAACGCAATTGAATAATATTATTAATGAAGATTATTTTATTATTGCTACCGTATCTTGCATTAAGCACAATCCATCCTGAGGGTAACTTGAACTTTGTTAAGTATTGCAAATACTTCAATTACCCTGTAGAAGAACATGTTATCTAAACAGAGGATGGCTATCTTCTTACCTATTTCAGAGTCTAAGCAAAAGGAACAAAAATGGTATCTGGCAAAAAAGTCGTTCTTCTCCAACACGGACTCTTGGATAGTAGTGATACATTCATTATTAATGATGAAGACAAAGCACCTGCCTTTTTGATCGCCAATAAAGGTTATGATGTTTGGCTTGGTACTTTTTAGATTTATCATTTATCTTAGGAAACAACAGAGGAAACAAACACGGCAGAGCTCACGTTAAAAAGAATCCCTTCTTTTGGTCATTCTGGGATTTCACTTTAGAAGATTTCGCTATCTATGATCTTCCTGCAGGATTTAAATACATAGTCAATAAGACTGGTCAAAAAATTCAATACATTGGACATTCCTAAGGAACCGCTTAAATGCACATTCATTTATCTCTCTTCAAATAAAGTATTGTCAGAGACAATCTAATATAATTTATTGGAATGGGACCGGTAGCTTGGGTGACTACCAAGTATTCTCCTTTGGTTCGTCTACTGGACACCAATTTCTTAGAAGTCTTGGCAACATTTGGATTACATGAATTTATGCCTGGAGATTCCTTCCTCACATCTGAAATAGGTAGAGTAGTTTGTGGACTAATGGAGAACCTTTGTGGAGATTTAATTGGATCATTTGTTTCAGCAGATCCAGTATTAGATAACTACGATCGTTATGATGTTCTAGCTGGACATTCTCCTGCTGGTACTAGTGTAAAGAATCTTAAGCATTGGTAATAATTTACTAGAACTGGGGAATTCAAGAGGTACGATTATGGAGACAAGGAGAACTTGAAGAAATACGGTTCCAAGAAAGCTCCCTTGTATGATTTATCAAATATTGATGTCAAGTAATTCTTCAGTTTTATAAGTTAGAATATTCTACATTGCAGGATATGATGATTTGTTGGCTGCTCCTAAAGATGTGAATCATTTGTTCTCAGCATTAGTAAATGCTCCCAATAAGGGAACTTAAGTTCTATGATGCTGGACATTGTTCTTTCATGTGGGGAAGGACATTGCCATATCTT